TAAAGGTTAGAAGAGGAGGATAGTATTATAAACCTAAGAAAGGGGTATAATAGAAGATAAGAGATAGAAGGATTAATAACACTTAGGGACAACCTAAAGGTCTTTAAAGAAGGTTAATAATTAGGACTAATAATAATACAACCCCTTATATTCTAAAGCCTTAGCAGAATGCTACTATAGAATATATTATATATTATTCTAAGAATCCTATAATATTCTAAGACGTCTTAATACTAGTATATTATAGAATACTAGAACTACTATAGAATATCTTTAGTATATAGCAAGTAGGAATATAACCCTTAAGGTTTATATTAAACCTGAGTATTAATCTATAATATTAGATCTTAACCTAACCTTTAAGCTAGATAGTCTACTCTATACTACTTATTATTACCTCTTGCCCTTAAGATAGATAGATTATATCTATACTCCTTAGTACAAGACCCCTTTAGTTTCCCTAATAGTATTTATCTCTAAGAACTAATTAATTAGTGCTTATAAGCTTTACTTAAAGTATAACCTTAATACTAAGCTATTCTATACCTGCCTTATTTACTAGCTAATTATACTTATCTCTAACTACTCTACCTATAGTAATTATATCTTAAATAATTTAAATTTACTAGTTTATATTAATATTCTTCTACCTAGTTAGGGTAGGTATATAAGCCTATACTACCTTCTAGCTAAACTAGACTAGACCTAGTAACTTATTTAAGGTTAAGGTAACTATCTTCTATTTAGTAGCTTAAAGAAGGTATATAATGCTATATATTATATATAGGGATAGTTTATTAATATATCCTAGTATAGCTAATACTACTTTAATTAAGAGTATATAGTCTTAAATTAAGTATATAAATAGTACTAGTACTACCTTAATTTTTATTACAAGTATAGTAAGAGAAATAATATAATAGCTATTCAGTTTAGGCTAGAGAGATATATATATATTAATATAGGTTAAATATTTAGCAATAGTAGTAATAAAGATAATAAGAATAATAAGACTATAGCTATAAATTATAGCAGTTCTTATTATAAATAGTATAGAATACTAACTAGTTTATAGTCTACTCCTACTATAGAAAGACTAGGCTTAGAGTTATAGATCTTCTCTAGTATTATAGGTTAAATATAGTTTAAAAACTTAAGATTTTTGAAACTCCTATAGGGCTACCTAATATATTAAACTAATAGTTATAGGTAGCTATACTTATAATTATTAAGTTAAGTTAACTTTTATATATATAAGAGTTATATAATATATTATATCTCTAAAGCTTTTTAAACCTATAAATAATTTATACTATATTCTTAGAATATACTTTGCTATAATAAGTATATAATAACTTTTATACTATAGGTAGAGGGCCTTAGCCTATTTTATAAGATTTTTTGCAATATACCTCTATTTTTTATATACTTTTAATAAAATTATATAAATAAACTTTTAACTTAACTAGACTAGATAGTATACTTTACCTTAATTAGGTAGATATATAGCTATTAGTATAGCTTCTTTAGAAGCTAGATAGATAAGTTTAATCTTATTCATCTCTATCTAGCTAGAGTACCTCTCTTTAACTAGAGTAACTACGCCTAGTATAAAGAAAAGAAGAGAAAAGCACAATTAAAACCTTTACTTCTAGTACCTTCTTAGAAAAAATACTAAGAGATATCTAGGTACTTAACTACTATACTATTCTCTTATAGATACTTTATATTAGATATCTTAGCTTATTTTTAAATTACATTATTAACTTTTATTTTTATATTTAATAAATAAGATTATAGTCTTTACTAAATATCTTATAAAAGTTATATATAATTTTTCTATTTTTCTATTTATTTCTTAATCTAGATATATTTAATATAAAATTAATAGGCAGTATATATATTGTTTGTAGTTTTATATATTATATCTCCTTTAAACATAAGCTCTAGTATGTAGATTAACTAGTAGAGGGAAATTAAGCTTAGACAGATTCTATTCACAAGGGCTAGGCAAATTGAATCGAATGTATGTGCGCGCGCGCTTAAGGTGTGTGTTCCTTTGAGCTGAGCAACGCGGTAGTGCCAAACGTAGCGCTGGGTATATCAGCAATTGGCTGACGCTGCAACGTCTTCAGCTTGGTGGGCCGTCACTCCGCCTTTTTGCCGGCTTTTCGCCCACGAAATTCGGCTCGTCATTGTTGACTGCTCTTTTCAAGCCTGTTCTCACCTGCAAGGGTTTGCCCAGTCGACGTGACTCTGGGAGGACACGAATTCACGTGATTGGAACCCGTCCGCTTATCATTGTGAAACAGAGGAATGCAGTTCCCACAGGTCGCAAATGGACACGCTCTGCGTCTGCCTCCGCCCGCCTACGTAACGGCGTCTACCTGGCGGGGCAACTCCGCCCGCAGGGCAGGATGAAGCATCACCGTGACACTCCCACAAGCTGCACACCGCTCAGCCCTCTCATCCAAGTCCCTCGAACCTTCTTGCCACCGCCCTGTACCACACCACTGCCTCGAAGCTTGGTGCACTGTCCCAAGAACACGTGAAGCCTGCTGGCGCGCCCAAGCCTACCAGACCCGCCGGCTGCACGAGCTCTCCGTTCTCCGCCCGCCACAACCCACGACTCCCGCCTCCAGATGATCCCGCCTCCCCTTCTGCCTTACCCATAAACCAGTCTCTCCTCTACCTTCCTCGCAAAACTCCTCGTCTACAGCAGTGTCCAAAGATTCGTTATAATAAGCTCAGACTCTCCTCAACCTCTTTCGCAAACCTCTTCCTCCATCTTCCTCTCCTGTAGTGTTCAAAGATACGTTGATCCTCAACGTCTTCTCTCTTCTGGATTCTTTGAGAGATGACACAAAACTAACTGCGCGACAGAAGTCTGCGCGAAGCAGCTAGGCTGTAGAGTCCTAGACACGCTCGCTAATCACGCTACATCTAGCGACCAGAACCTGGGTGCACAGGTCAGCTGCTGAGCGACGAACGCCCGCGCACAAATGACGTAACAACTCGCGGCCGCCGTCGGCGAGATTGAGTCCCATACAGCGCACTTCCTGTGGCCCGGCGGTCGTACTCGAAGGATGGCTGCTTGTTGAGAGAGGGCACCAAGATGAGGAGACAATTCGGCAGGTCACGAGTAGATGGGATGTACAAGAGCAGTGTAAAAACGAATTCAAATACCATTCGAACTGTCGACGAAGACGCAGCTGCAAGTTTTCAAATGGAACTTGGTTCCACAACACTCGCTAGTGACCCTCTGTCTATCCACTGCTAGCGAACCCCACCGCCCTATGCTGAAGTTCAAGTATTAGCTAGGTTGCTGATGTGACGCGCTTCGAAGAAAGAGCGGGCGCGCTTGAGTCAGGTGATGGGTCTAGAGGAAATCGAGTGTCGACGTCGCGCGACGTCTTTGAAGGCTGTGCTAACTTGAATGATGGCGGCGTTGCAAGAGGGGCGGGACCGTGAGGAGTGGGAATTTGGAGGGCAAGGCGAGGTAGGCTGGAATCATGCTGCGCCCGAATGCTGAGTGCCGCAGCCACATGCCACGCAGCTAGCTGGTCACCAATCGAAGCCGCGCTCTGGGCGCATCAACACCACCACAACACCGTAGGATGACATGAGCTGCGGATCGCTATGACTCCTGCCAGCCTGCGACACGAACGTGCTTCACATGTGGGTACTGCGTAAAACGCTGTGCGCATCACTTGTGGCGTGATCGTAATGATTCAGAGTAACGCCCCCGTCGACGAGCGAATGTGTGCATTTGCTGCCTCTGCTCGTAGTGGAGCCAACGCCAGCGGCAAGAGGAATACGGTTGTCCCGAAATCGACCTCACCAGACCCAAGCTCTTGATTCTAATCTCCCCACACGCTCTGCGCTCCCGCCCTGGCTCACATAGCCAGTCACGCCACCGCTTTCCACCCCTTGAGTTCTCCTACTCTGCCATTTTGACACTAGCTCACACCATAGGTGATGAACAGACTTCCACCGACCGTCAGCCAGACTACCAGGTCTATATACCCGCCTTATCTGATCGTTATTTGTACAACATCCTCTGGAACACCCTTCACTCGAAAGCGCTGCGTTTGATCGAGAACTCAGCCATAGTCATGCCCTTCAACACGTCTTTCGGATCCGTTCAAATGCTGCGCCACCTCGTTCCCGAGCTGTTCTACGCCTTCGATGCGCTCAATGACGTGGAAGACAGGAACATCGAGGATATCCAGAGGTCGATTGGCCAAGCCTTTGTCGTGGTTGACAGCGACGGCACAGGACTTGGTGGTCTCATCGACACAGACAATGAGGCACCGCACGACAACGACAAGGTATCCGAGCACCACGTCAGCAACTGATGGGAAAGCGCCGACATGATTGACTTAGGCAAGGGTGTCGATATCGTCAATGCATCGAGACTCAACGACGACTACGAGAGGAGAGCACATGGCCGCGAGTGTTTGGGTCAGATCTTGTATCCTTGATCATGTTGATAGCTTTGACGACTCCTCTGTTTGTATGATTGTGCTTTACATGATTGAATGCAAGTTCTACATCACACCAGTCTATTTCGTCTCACGTCAGCACGGTGAACTCGACTTTCCGAAAAGCACAAAGTCGTGGAGACCGTGGCTGCCCTGTGTAAGGCACGTGATCGATCAGATTGTCGAGCTTTCACGTTGCAGAATAAAGGGCGGACTGAGCCAGTAAGCGGAGTTTACCACACAATAGTAAGGTAGAGAACACACTAAAAACCTTTGTAGAGTACTTCTTTGCCCACCATGTAGGTAATACTAAATTAAATTTTAGTCTTTCGTATCATAATTGCTGTGTGCTATTTATTGGACTTGGCAAGTTTGGAGGTCTTATCCACCGTTTTGCCGGGAAGCTGAGACCTGAGCTAACGCCAGCGTGTCGCACTAGCGACCGCGTGTCTCCATCTGTAGCACGCGTCCATACTATAGCATCAGCGTTCGTCACAAACGTCAAGTCACTACAGAATGCCTTGCACATTTGTCTCCTCTCTGCTTTTGCGAGCCGCCCTCGAAGACCTTAATCTTAATCCCGAAGAGCGCGCCACCACAATTAGCAGCATAGAACACATCACATACATCGAGTCCCTAGACGAAGACACGGACGAAGAATACCACGATTCGGCTCCGGCCTCTCCCAGCAACCTCTTCTCGCCCATTGAAGGCGACTCCACCACCCCTCCCACGTCTGCATCCATTGTCTCTCCCCTCTCTCCCGCGTTTCCGGCGCCTGTACGCACAAAGCGCAATGCCAGCGGGTCGCTGGACGATAGTCCGGAGGACAAGGTGCCGCGCCTGCGTGGCGGTGCTGGTGGCCCCGACCACCATAATAGACTTGTTCGGGTCGTGTACGACCATAAGAGTTCCGTCGATGAAAACGGTCTTCCCGACCGCATCAACCTTCCCGGCGAAGTAATTAGGCCGGACGGCGGAGCGCCTGTGCCCGCTAACAGAGATGCGGCTGCGGCGGCGAACGCCGTGTATGATTTGGCAGAGAAAGCCCTTCAGGGGTTCAGAGTCGTGTTCGACCACACAGTATACATGCGGGAACAACATAACAAATCTCCCCATCTTCGTTTAGTCATCCGCTTTGGATGCAATTATGTTGCGGGAGTAGTGATTGGACACCCGAACTGGTCTTGTGCCTGTTTTGGGCAGGGTGATGACTCCGTCTTTACAGACGCCGCTCAAAACCCTGATATGTATGACCTTGAATTCTCTCCCTATAAAATGTCAAGCAAATTGGGATGCTAATGTCAAATGCGTAGTGTGGCACATGCAATCTCCCACTTTGTCCTTATGCACCTTTTGGGGTTCGTCCCTGCATACACACGGACAGCAGAATCGGCAGCGGTCTAGGAACACCTTGCAGATGTTTTTGCTCTTGTTATCAAGCAGCATGATGAGCAATCTTGCTCAAACTGGAAAATTGGAGAAGGTCTGCTTTTTCCGAAGCACAAATATGCGCCATGTTGCCGCGATTTTGAATTTCCCGGCAAGGCGTACAAGTACAATCCTGACGAGCCGGACATTGAACCGCTGAATACCTCCGGCAATACCACAAGAGGAACAAAGAAGTACGCCAAGAAGGGCACACCGACTTCAAATGTCAACGATACATCTCTATATTCCAAGGTCGATAAGACGGTTGGAGACTACAACAAAGTTCAACCCGGGGATGACCGATACGTGAAGTCACTAGTCATGAGTCACGCTTTCTACCTCTTCACCAAGGCTTCTCAGAAGCCGTCGTGGGAGCTTAGTGGTAAAGTCTGGTGGAACGCCCTTGCAGCTCTGAACGAGAACGAGCATAAGTACATCACTATCAAGATGTGGTCGGAGATTACCCTGGTCGCTGCAGCAGATGCTTTTGGTGACGACATTGTCCAGCAGCTAAGATCAGCTTGGGCGGCGGTGAATGTTCTTTTTTAAATAGTACAAATGAAGACTGCTCAACCTTCTAATAATGAAGTTGTGCAAGATAGGAAATATTACCTGTGTCGGGAATAAATCTTGGTTTGAGGATATAAGGTTCCAAGTTTATCTAATCTGGGAAAACTTGATGGTTGAAGCCGCTCTCCGTACCTAGGTACGGGTCGGCATCAACTTTGGTTCGCACAATTGGCTACCGCACTGCTCGATACCCCCAATTATATAAGTGCAACTACCAGCACTTTGCCTACAGTTCTCACCCATCATCGCCTGAACAGAACATTGCCAGACTTTCTGTAAAATGTGGACAACTTGCCACGACCCCGATATAGAGATGAGGCAAGACTTTGAGGAAGACGCGCCTAAGCCTCGCTACCGTGGCCACAGAGGAAGACCAGAGATCGCGGACCCCCCCCACCCTCTGTCCCGTGGAGCCCGCCATGACCAAGATACCATTCCGGACATCTATCGGCTCGACCCCAGCGTAGTGACCGCGCTCTCAGCAGGCCCACGCATCTACAACCTCTGGCGCCTATCTGGCAACATGTACACCCGCCATACTACAGGCTACCGCGAAGATGAATTCTACACGCTCTTTCACGCTTATTCTCATGGCCTCTCCCTTGGCGCCTGCGCGGTCCCTTTCCGCAATGCAGTCATCGAAGCTGTGATCGAGCTACTCGACGACTATGACGGGCCATGGCATGAGAAGGGTTGGCGCGCCCTTTGGGACGCAACGGTGCATCATCCAAAGTGCCCATTGCGCAGGCTTGTTACACTTAAATTTGTCTTGAGCGAGCATGAGAGTATGTGGACATGGTTGGGTCCGAAGGCTATTGGCGATGAGGAAATGTTGGCGTTGGCGAAGGACACACAGAGGCAGCTGCCGGTGGGGAGGAAGGGGCGGGAGACATGGCAGGAGGTTGTTGATGAGAGCACTCGGTTTCATGAGCCATGTCCTGGGCAGGGCGGGAATAGGGAGATGGCGATGCTGTGAGGCGGTGAAGAGGGTGGTGGAACGTGGATCATGCTGTCCTAGCCGCTCCGTGTGTGTCACGGCTGAGGTGAAGTGAAGCAATAATCTAGGCTGCAATATCATTGCTCACGCACTGTCCGACACGGTACTTGCATAGTTATTTTGACGAGACATTTGAAGAGTAGCCATGCCCACTATACCTACAGACGGTAGAATTAGTCTCAGAGGCTTAGGACGGGAGTCGTCTGCCTTATCTGGCGAAGGAGCAACGCACGTCACCGTTCGAACAGACCGACCAGACTCCGGTCAATATACAGGCAACAGGGAGACTTGGAGTAGCCAGTCGGAGTAATGCAATGGGAGAACCCACGAACTTACATCACAGTACACTACATCTGGATCAGTACAGTACCCACCTTCTCAGCGGATTACTTTGATAGATGAATTCGATCACTCATGATCATGTTTTATTGGCCATTCAGGGCTTCCGGATTTTGACTTTCTTGAATTGCATCACCATACTCCCCAAAGTACGGTCCCACCCCAACTCGCCTCGAAACATTCAACATACAAAATCTAGAGCTCCGCTCTTCACCCAGACCCAACCAATGCTAGCGTACTGTTAGCGCCTGAGCATGTGCACGCCATCGGTGGCGGTCGTAGTACGCACTGCCAGTTCGGCCGCAACGAGGGTATCCCCTTGTCCCAGGGCCTAGAACGTGAGCCGGCGTGCCTCCCCTTGCTGTCCGAAGCATTTCCGTGTTCAGCATGTGCAGGCTGTGCGAGTCTACCAGCTACGTAACGGGACCTTGGAGCTGCCTCTCTCGCTTAAGGTCGACTCAGCTCACTAGGAGCGAGACCTGTAATCCACGCACGCCTGTCGGTTGGTTTTGATTGCGCTCGCGGCTGCTGAGTGCGGTTACAGCCCCTTAACGCGGATGCGAGAGCGCGTAACTGGTCGGGCAGCGTAGGCATATGGAAGTTGGTTATACCAATGTTCGATTGTCTGGGAATCCTCTCCATGAATGTGCGAAGTTTTGGTTAATTTACCTGGCTGTAGGCATGTAGATTCATTGATCCTACAAGGGATTGCAAACACCGATCTGCTGTATTTGTAGTAAAGCCGGGAGCGGTGCAGCGGAGGCAGCATGGCTGACGTGAGGGTAGACTATTCTAATCGACCTGGGGAATGTCTGTGCAATCCATCAGTGAGTTCGAGTGCAACAGACGGTAGAGATAGTGCTGGACTGGAGAAGAGTATGGTATCGAGGTGTCAGGTCTTAAGGTATCTACGTCGGTTGATGCTCTAACTACGACGTAAAGCGCCACAAGCGCGACCACGTAAAGCGCCGCAAACGCGACCACGTAAAGCATAATGCTGCCTCCCATCTAATCTCGAAATCCTTGCCACCATTATTTCCAATCGCCGCAACACGCACATTAAAATCCACTGTAACAAATGTCAGTACTCCAGAACCACCCACATTACTTGGGAGAAGAGCCTTACACCAACAACGCTCCAACAGAGCTTTGTCCTGTGAGATCTTAATTCACATCGTGCAGAGAGCGAGAGAATATCCCGGTGTGCTCGGCCGAAAGACTGGCTCTAATATCGTACACAGCTTTCAGCAGCACCTCCTCAGCGTGGGGTTCGCTACCACAACTGTTCCTAGCACGTGAGCATTTGGAAACGTTAACTCGGCATCCCTGGATGCAGGTGCCAGCACCTGTTCGGGAACCTGCACTTGCTGCTCGCCAGCCATCCGCGCTGCTACCTCACTTTCCGCATTTCTCTCCGCTTCCTGCCTGGCCTTGATCTTGATCCTAGAGTTCCAGATGCGCATCTTATTGATCAGCATCGTGCCGTAGTAATACGTCGTGCTATCACCATCAGTGCTGCTAGGCTCCCTTAAGAACGCAACAAGGTCATGCACCGAGGGACCCTCGCACGTGACGATACCGGCAGACGACTTGATGGGGTGATGGGCGAGCGCGATCTTGCACAGCTCGGCTGACATACTGGTCTTGGTAAAAGATTCGTCGGTGCCGGGGATCTTGACCTTGGTGTTCAGGATCGTGTTGAGCCTGTGGCGGATGCTGCGGGGCTGAGCAAAGTTAGTGAGGTAAAGTGCGGCGGGCGCGAGACGTGCGTTCTCATAGCAAGGGACTTCTCGCTCGCCCCAGTGGCCGATGTACTCGCGGAGCTTGATGTCAAGGTAGCTGCCCTGCGGAGCTGATTGCCCTTTGGTGGCGGTGTCATCTTTTGGTGCGGGCGTCCTCTGCTGCGCGGAGGTGCTTTCCGAAGCGGGCGGTGGTTCAGATGGCAGCAATGTGTTGTCAGTGGATGGTACAGGCTGCTGGTTGGCGGTGTCGTCCGTAGGTCTGCTGGCAGGGTACGGTGCCGCACGCGCGTCCTTCGTAGGGGACTTGGAGCCTCGGACAGAGGGCATAGCGAAGAGCTTTTTGGTGGCAGCAACTACGGCGTTGCGAATCGTAAAATTTGTGCTTAATAGCTTGGTTGGCGGGTTTGCAAATGCAGGGAATCTGTTGTGTTGTGTGTTGTGAAAGGAATTGCGCTAATTTGCGAAACGCGTGACGCGCCTCTGCACTGCTGTTATATCTCTAGTGGGCGGATCCGGTGCCGCTAGTATCGTTTGTCTCCTCACGGTGAAGTGTGTTGCTTTGCTCATTGCCGAAGGTATTCAGACTGGCAGCCATCGCATCTGAGCTACTGGATAGTGCGACATAGCATGGACATGAATAGAGTGCCAAATCTCTTCTTAAAGACAAGATGAAGATGTTCTGAAGGTACGCAGGCATGCGGGATCTAGTTAGATGCAGTCTCTTATCCTTGTGCTGGCCCGCATGGCTTGGTGACGATGATCTATCGGTGTGCAACAGCCTGACCTGCGCCCATCTCTTTGCACACATGGCCTTCGGTTGTTTGTTTCACTGTTTTTCAATCATGATGCCCGATGTCATCTTTCGTTGCTGCGCAGGGAGGTTGCCGTAGCGACACTCTGACGTGCAACTTCAACGTCTGGTGGATCCTCTCGAGAACCTCTGAGAAGGACATCGACAAGGTGGTGGACTTGCTCGATACTCCTAATGAGTGAATACGGTCAGATTATCTCGACTGCGTGATGAAAATACTGTTGTGATCCGGACTGTCCCATCGCCTCACGGAACGGCCGACTTCAGTCGGTGGCTGACGGATGTGGCTTTTCAGAAAATGACGCCGCAGCACAAGGGTATACATTTGACGGAATGGTACCGTGCCCAGAGTCTTCATCTGCCAGTCAAACGATCCCAAGGCTCCTGGTTGGCGGGATTAAGTCAAAAAGAATTGCCAGCTTGTGCCTATGCCGATCAAAGGTGGGCGACCAGCCCTGATGTGAAATTGATTCATATACCGACAAACTCAAACATCCAGTCCTAAATTTACTGACCAGGTTCCGCATACTCGGTCCCGAAGGCCTGCGGCACACCAAAGTCGGGGGTTCCATCTTCCCTAGCACTGACGGGCTGCACCATGACATATCGGCGGTCATCGCACGCACCACCCGCAACAGAAGTAGCATGGTAAGTGATGTACGTTGTGTTGCCATCTGGGCTGGTAAAGAAGCTGTTGTGCCCCGTGCCAAAGTTGCCGTTCGCCTGTGTCAACGAGCAGCCGTCGCTCTTCTTCCACGCCGTCGCCGCCGCCGGATCGCTGACACCATCCCATTCGAGCAACGCAACGCAGTAGTCGGGCGTCCAGCAATAGTTCGCGGAGTACGCGATATACGTCTTGCCGCCGAAATAGAGGCCGTACTGGCCTTCCTGAACGGGCACCTCGGACTGCTCCCATGGCTGGTCGGGCTGCGAGATGATACTGATGTTGGCGCCGGCCGAGATGAAGTCGCTGTTCAGTTTGCGGACGCAGGTAGACTGGTGTGGTACGCCGGTCATGCATGAGTAGACGAAATAGTTGCCCCACTCGTTGAAGCGGACCACGGTGCCGTCGAGAGACCAATCATCCGTGACCTGGTTGGCGTAGGTCCATGCGTCCCAGGGCGATGCACCGCCTGTGTCGCTGTCAGTATCGGATATCAATCATCTGTAGACTCTGGTATTACCCTTCAGCACGTGCATGCGTTGGTCATCCAGATTGTTTGCATTGCCAGCTGTGTAGTAGAGGTACCATGTCCCATCAAAGTAGTGGATTTCGGGCGCCCAGACACTACAGCATCGATTTGGGGTGGTGTCCTCGTAGATAATCTTCGGTGTTGCAGTCTTCAATCCTTCGATGGTCGTGGCCCGTGCGAGTTGAAGGTTGGTCCACTCCGTAGAGATGAAGTAATAGTAGCCGTCAAACCATGATATCTGTGGGTCGCCCTGTGCAATGTCAGCCAATATCCACACTTCAATGGCAAGGCTGCTTACGCCTCCTGGGTTGCGGATAGGATTTGTGTAGGCTACTGCAGAGCCAAGTAGGCTACAGAAGCCGAGCGAGGCAGACACAATGCTAGAAATGAGCATCTTGACCTGTGTAGATATTTAGAGGATGATTTATCTTCAAGTAGGTCGTTCACCTTTATACCTGCTTGACGCAAGACCGCCAACCTCAAGATCCACCTCAAGTTCTCCAGCACCATGACTACATCATCGCTCGCATCAAATGGTTTCGGCGAACGCGCCGATTGCTAGACTGTGAGTGTACTAGGTACATCGTTCTTGGCAGACCGACGTCAAGGCGACAATGGAGCAGTCCACCAATCAGTCATGAGACGTGCTTTGGTCTTTCTTCGGTCACATCCAGTATGCGGGGAAGCCAAGATCTTTTGATGGGCGATCCCGAGGCTACAATATTGTACGAGTCTTCATTTAGGGCAGTCCGATTGATGCATCACTAACGCGGGAAGGAGCCCCGGAGATGCGCCGGAACAGGAGTGTGCCAAGGAAAAACACGTTGTGCCTATTTTGTAAATTAGTGGAGACACGTCGGCAGACGCAGCGATGTTTGAGCGATGAAAGAGCTGCGAGAGATGCTATAGCATTGGCGTTCGGTGTAACCATGTCCACCGATCTAACAATGCAGACATACCTAGACGTCGATGATTGTGTTGATGTTGATGACAATGTGCGCTAGTTCGATTCCTCGCTTGTTTGGCCGTGCTGAGTCATCATAGCATCTTCTCTCTACCGCAGTATAATCTCTTCACTTGCGTTTTTCGGTAGTGGAAGAGGCTATTGCCCAGCCGTGAGGCGCCGCTATACCAGAAGTACCCACCGCTTCATCGACCGACGAGAAGATGCTGGAGATCAGGCAAAGCTCCACCCTGCCTTGCAAGCAGACTGAATCATTGTCTTGGCACTGGCAGCATCGAGGATGGCAGCGCCTAGTCACTACGAATGAGTCTCGATCGTCGAGATGCTGTAGGCGTCCGCAGCATACGGATCAGAGCCGGCGCAACCCTGGCGGATTCGTCGTCCCTGTAGCAGTCTTGCAATTCACCGGCAGGCAGGATTGTATACACGGTATGAGCTTCGGGAAACAGCATGAAGATGTAACGATTGCGAAGCCGTCGGTGCGTAGCGCCGTGACATGTAATAGGGTGTCGCCACTAGCTGCTCTCACTAGTGTTCTCGACTGCGCCCGCTTTCTCCCGTCACGACATCACCGACACGGGAATTTGCATCGAGAGCTATTTTATCCATCGACATCGAGAGCTACTTTATCCATCGACATCGAGAGCTGCTTTATCCATCGACATCGAGAGATGCTTTATCCATCGACATCGAGAGATGCTTTATCCATCGACATGGAGAGATGCTTTGTCCATCAGCGTCGAGAGGTTCTTTGTCCATCAACATGCAGTCGACGCTCGCTACGATGACACGAGCTCTACCCCGTCCTCTTCACCTGAGGATGCCCTTCACAGCGACAACCGACGGCGACGTCGACGTCCGATGGCCACATGGACGAGGCCGCCCAGTTCACTCGGCCTCGGCCCCCAGAGACTGTGAGCGCGACTAGACCACGCAACTGCAGCACCGAGAGCCTTCCAACGATAGACGCAACGTAGCCGCAACGTTGACGAGGGTCACCAACACTGCAGGCCATGACCCCAACAAGCAGAGAGATGGCTTCCGGTCGCCCAACACCAAGTATGCCAACAACCGGCAGACGTCGCTATGCGTAGCTGAGGATGCATCGCCAGCCAGGAATTTTCGGCCGGCAGCTAGGAATGCTCCGATCATCGGGTTCGGATGTTGCAACAGCGCCGACGATGCAGCCCGATTAGCCGAGGGCGACCACTCGCGACTCGCGGCCGCTTGACGTTGTGCAACGCCCACCGCCCATCGCCCGCCGACGAGCCTTTGGCCGCCCATGCCCAACGAGCTCTAACCGCCCACACCGCCATGCTGTCTGTACAACGCGACAACGTCCCCGCCCCTCCCCGTCGCATTGCGAATGGAGTCGATGCAACGCGCTGCTTTGCACATGCAGACAGGCTGGCATTTGCGCCGCGCTGAGCCTTGCACGCCCGTGTGCTAGGGGCTGCAGGACACGCCCCTGCAGCGCAATATCCCTGCAACAAACGAAGATGCGACAGCTCGCCGCGAGATCCTTCGGCGTTCCGCGAGATCCTTCGGCTTTTAGGCGCGCTCGCCGCCCCTCGTCCTGCCCCCGCACACTCGTCTCGTTTGCTTTTCGCACCCACCAGACCTGTGACCGAGAGCGGCCAGCCACCCCTCAGCAAACTGCGTACGCATGCCAGACGCGTCGGACGATCCAGACTGACTCTATACCAGCTCACATGGTCCACATATCTGGGGCCGCCGTCGACTGCTTTGGCCGTCGCGGCAGGAAGCTTGAAGATCTTCTTCAAACTGGCCCCGAGCGACTTGGAACAATCGCCCCGGGCCATACAGACAATGCCGAGCACCGCGCCCGTGAGGCTGAATAGCTCACGAGGCTCAATAAGCGCCTGGACAAGGCCAGGGTGCTGCCGTCACCTTGCACGGCAGACGCGGCTCCAGAGGTTGAGGCCGAGGTCGAGGACCCGTTCGAGCTGTACACGATCGCCACCGACTTCGTCATGCCACTAGGCAGCGTTGCCAGTAAGTGATGCAGATGCCGTGAGCGCCACACCAATAGCCCTCACCCCGGGCTCCCGAAATACGCCGACTTGGCTAATCCGAGACGCAGCTCCTGCAACACCCACTCCGGATCCACGAGCACCGCGTTCACGTTCGCGTTCGCGTTCGCTCTCACCCAATCCGGCCCCTCCCGTGGCGAGAGGACCGCGATACAGGAGTCCTCCAAGGTACTTGCGCGAGGAAGTGAACAAGGCGAACATCATAGCAGGCACCAGAACCCGATCTCGTCATCAGTGAAATCTGCACTTGAGGGGCGCCTAGCGCGCAAGTACCGCGCAGACACAGACGCCACGTCTGCATTACGACATATCACGATCCTAACGTCATCCATCAAGTATATTAGCGTGTATTCATCATTCATTTCAGTCTTGTCAGACAACGAAAGCTTGTTCAAACGTGCTGTGCCCGTGTCTATCAATCCAGTTGCTTCTGCTCTCCCACTCACACGGTGTACCCTTGGATTGACCCGGCCACCAAGGCAGAAGAAGGACTTTCTTTGCGCTCCACCATGGCTTGAAGCGAAAGCGAAAGCGAAAGCGAAAGCGAAAGCGCAATGAAGAGACAATAGCACGCTGCCCGGTCCAGGCAACCTCGCTGCGCCCAGCGGGAGCTATGTATAGGCGTCGTGCCCGGCGGCTGCTTGGTGGAGGTGTAAAGGATGAGGCTTACTGTGTCGCCCTGTGCGAAAGCGGGACGCCCTTTGACATGCGCGCGCGCGCACGCCGAGGAGCTCCACGCGCGTCCTCGTCGCTCGACGCGCTGTGCTGTCCACGCCGACGTCTGCGGTGCGGCACTGCGCTGTGGTCGGGCGGGTGCGTGGCGCTGCGAGCTTGGGTGCGGGCGTGGTACTGGGCGTGGGAAGTCTGGTGATGACGTAAGCAGGCGCTGGACGGAGTACGCCTCGCTCCCCCGCCACAAGCGAGTTCGCGGTTTGGTCGAGGTTTTGCAGAGCTGTCGTGCAGCGGTGGTTGGGGAGACTGATGACAGATTGGGCGACCGTGTCCACGTCTTGCAGCGCTTCTTTCCGTCTGGCTTGTACGAAAAAGCTGGGCACTGTCTTGTCTGTCTCTCACCTCTATAAATCGGCATCCGGTGCTGTCCCTTCTGAGCCCTTTCTTCGCCTAGATTGTTCAGTACCTTGCTACAAGTGTTGCAGACATTTTTGAGGCGATTATCGTTTAGTCTGTGATGACACTGCTTCAACAATCTCACCTGTATATCAATTTGTCGCACGATGCCTACAGTCAATTATTACCATACCGCAGAAGCCTATTACGCAGTGCTGCTCGGTCCCTGCCCGTCTCACATGTCTTCATCACCACACGATGAGCTCCGTTGTGGACAATGTTCACGACAAACGAAGGTACTCTCCCTGCACGTGACGGGCCCGCATCAACACTGTGGGTCCAGAGTGAAGGACCATACCACACAGTTCTTACTAAACTTTGGAATCTGAAGCCTCCCCTCTTCTTATATATACGAACTCTCCACCTCACTCGAATCACCCCACTCAAGCTACCAGCATTCAACTGATAGCTTCCAACGCAACACAAGCGCTTCCCTCCATCTTACCACACTCGCCCTGTTCCTCTTCCAGGTCTTCAATATGTCGGAGCAATCACCAAAAACACACATCGTCGATACTGAACTCGCCCGGTTGCTGTACAAACTTCAAGTACAGCTCGTCCAGCTTACGTTGGCTATGACATTCGCGGTCGTGTTTTCGGTCTGGATGGTTTGTCAAGTAGATCTCGACCCCAGCAAGGGCGATGTTCTTGATGACACAATCTATATCATTGTCATGGTTGGTCTTGCCATGAACATCGGCCACATCATCCCAAAGCTGTGGGCAGCCAAGCTCACCACAGAGTGCGCCATCCAAGATATTGCTGAGCGCAATCCTATCGAGCATGAGAACCGTCATCAAGAAGTCATATCCGTCATGAGCACCACTCACCCAACACTCATCGATTGCGCAAACCAGGAGCATGAGTGGGAAGTGAAAGATCTCGAGGCGCAACTGAACAAACTCCAGCGACGCATTGTGGAGCTGGAGAGCGATCATAGGATTCAATCATCCGAACTACAACACTATATTGAAGCTCAACAAGGATGAAGTCGAGTAGAACAGTGTCAAATGACACCAGTTTGCTATTCCAATCTAGGGCGCAAATGGAGTCAACGCCGGAGTGGGAGACGTTGAGAAACCTTGGTGTGAGTTGAACCACACTTTCCAGGATGGCGTGTTGACTTATTGTTTTCGTTGTCTGTATAACACGCAAGTCTGCTGGACCGGATGCTTGCAGCATAATGCAATGGAAAAGACAAAGCTTACATAGTCAACTTGAATTCCTGTCGTCTTTGTCAGGTCAAATCCACACCGATGATGTCATTTGTGAATGAACAATGCAACCGACATGGTGCCTGATAATCAAAGTCCGTTCCCTTTGGATTATCTCAATGTAAGTCTCTGTAGGCCTAACATTGATGTCCTGTAGAATTTATAAACCTCCGTCTCCTCTTCTATAACACTTTCTTTAGCTTCGATGTCGTTGAATGAAGATGTGTTACTGAACGGTGAATGGTAGGAGCTACGCCATGTTCTGGCCAACACAGTTCCATGTGAGAGAGAACCGAGAATGGTACTGTACATGAAAGCTCGCCTAACGCGACCCCATCACCTTTACTGCGATTGCTTCCACCAGTTTCCTTGTGCTCTTCATTCTATCTTGAGCAAAACTGGAAGCCTTGAATAGCACATGATTGCAGCATTCAGTGATCAAAGCTATCTATGAAATTACTCTGCTCTCTCATACCCGAAATCATTTGGCTCGATCGACTGTGTTGTTCCGGTTGATCGTGTTCCATATGAACAGTGAGCCAAATCGACACTTCAAAGAACTCTCCATGTGCGTCAAACTACTCGGTCGGTGCGCTCGATGTCATCATTGATAATAACGGTCTTCTCTGATTAGCTCGCTGCACCACTTGTTTTTTTGGTCGGTATATATACATCTAAACGCTCTGCTTATAGAAATGCAAATGTATGGGCATAGAATTTGTCTGTCAGCATCGCGTCCACTTTGCTCCACTGCTTGTGCTTTCTCATCATCGTTGGAACTTCAATATTCGCATTTCCACGGACCACCACCTCTACATAGAACCGAGACCGCCACCCTGAGCTCCATCCACAGCATCCAAATGCCAAGCGCCAAAGCAACAACTCACCAATGGCAACTGTACGCTACAACTCCCCTACCGAGGCATGTCCGACTACCTGACGTTTTGCGCGCCGAACTGGCAACTATCGAATGGCGCAGAGGCTAAAGCGCGGAGGAAATACAATGAACAAGTCAAGATGGCGGCTCATCGGGTGCCAGAAAACCAGGGTAAGACGGCTTTTGGAGAGGGGCAGAACAACACGGCTGACTGCAAAGGAGACAAGGCAGTCGGGCACAGAACCTCTGGACATGTCACGACTGTGGTTCAGAAGTTAGACATCGTTTGAGGAGCTTTTCACGATGCTCTTTATGGCAGATCGCGACGAGGCGGTGGTAAAATCGATCTGGTTTCGGCGATGTTTTGCGGGCAGGTGCATTCACGCAAGACGCGTCAGTATGCAGCTGCTGAGAAATGCACGTCTCAAAGCTATAAGAAAAGGTAGGGATACTTGATGTTAGGCTGAACTCTACGATTAGACGATCATCCATCAAGGCGGATTCCGTTGTATAAGTAGCTGCTAGTCACAGGTACGCTATAGAAAAGACTCACAATAGAGGCATTGATGTGTGCTTGCATGCAGGTTTGATTAGCAGCCCACTTCATGTCCATGCGTTACTGTGAAATACCAGACTCAATAACTGCCATATCGTGTTGGAGTCAGTGTTGACCGGTGGTCGAGGAACGAATCATACAGTACCCATATACCTGAACGGTATCCCAACCACGCTCGAACGGCTGAACAGGGTTGCCGCCGCGATGCATCAATCTGGAAGCGGAAGCCTTTAGCGCACGAGTGTAATCCCGCCCGGGCATGTCTGTCTCGCGATCTCTGCTTGAAGAACAGCTTCCGATCTCATCGTCTCGTCTCGTTACCGCCCCACAGCGATGATGAGGCTGGCCGAGATCCCCGGACCACCTGAGTATTCTTGAATCAGGAACATGTGCAACATGTACGCTCAGTGCTTGTTACTGTCAATCAAGAGAGACATGGAAGTTTCGCCTCGAGGGCGAGGAGTGCCTAGTCATCGGCTCGCAAGCCCTGATGAACAGAATATGGAACGAGCAGCAGTTCTACGAGATCCAAGCGGCCGCACCCAAATAAGCCCGCAGCCGCGTTTACGACGATGGCCTCAGCCCGCAAGAGAAGAATCAGAGCATCGCGCATTGCATACTAACTCAAATGCCCATCTCGCTCGTGATACACAACATACTTAATAAAAAATACATCACTTTGCAGCTCGTACGACTTCACGCGCTTGACATTCGATATCATCGCACATTGCACTATGAACCATCGTTTCGACTTCTTTTACACCGTTCTTGCAAAGAATGACAGACTTTTTGAAGACTGACGGCGATTAAGCGAGTAGCTAAACGGTCTGTACTATGGCTTGCTGCCTATGCGTGTTGCTGAACTGGCGCGCTGATAGCTGCCGGATCCCGGGACGTGTCCGACACGCGCACGACTGTCGGTCGTGAGTTTAATGCTGAGGACTTACATCTACGGGCTATTTAGGCCCTTTGAGTCTCTTTTCATCATCTGCTAGTCGCGAGACTTTAACATTATCCAGTTCGCCACTCTCCATGACATTGCTGCTGCCGCTACTTGTATCGACCTCACGGCGAGCCGCAGGGCGGCCGATAGGGTCGTGACATATATCTGCAATTCGCACGCCAGATACTGCCATGGCCTGAGCACGCAGTACGGGTCTGGGGCGGCTGTTATCGATTCTTCACGGAGAAGTCGAACAGAGCCTCGAGCCGGGCACGAGCTCATGCGATCACGGCTACTCAGCACCGTGTAGTCCTTCAGCATGTATAAGCCATTGATTTCTTCCTCCGTGATGTCTCCTGCAAGCGAAGGAAGATGGTGGTTGGAAGTAGGCCAAATGTACGGTGAACTTGATCAATCCCCAGTTGAGCCTCGATGAAACTTGTGCTGGGCATCGTTCGTATCAAGTAATTGCCAGAGCAGCTCAAACCATGAAATGTCTCGACTGTATAGATCTCATTCACGACCATCATCCTCAAAAAGTCGCTATTATATCTTCGACCGTCGAGCTTTGACGAAGGCCTCGCCAACCCAATATTGTTGATGGCCGTAGTGGTTCGTGTTCGTCTCGAGACAGGCATTCTAAGGAGTTTCTGACGACTCAGTGCGGGACTGTCATACAATGGATCCGGTGAGCCGTGCACTCGTGTGGCCTCTATAGCATTTGACTTTTGTAGTTTCGACACACTCAGTAAGTCAACATGTACTCAGGCACCGTGATGACGTGCTGCTCCACTCAAAAAAAAAAGCTGACAATGATCACTGCAACACTTATCATGTTCATTATCAGCAAGGGCACTAGTGTAGGTAGACCGTTTGGGTTTTCTGAACATTTGTTACCACGGCTGGTTTTACTTGCTTCAACAGTCCTCTTTCGCCGCTAGTCCAGGGTTCAGCAGAAACGTTAGCAAGTGGAAAGATACGTACCTACCAATATTGGGAATGCAACAACACAGTTGAACAGATCAGAGAGCCGTGTGCCAGCCCTTTAGCCTCTAGATCTGCCATGCTGCTAAGAATCTACAACTGTTAGATTCTGTGCAGACTAGCTATACGTAACTTGAACGTACCTGCGCAAAGCTAGAAGCTAGGCACTTATTTTTAAGACTAGAACTGCATGCACTGCTTAAGAGAGGGATTGCTACGTACTTAAACATAAGGTTGCAAAGTTCTATTGTAAGAAACACCTTAATAGGCGTAATAATGTTTTTGTGTTAGATTTGCTGGATAAGGTTAAGCTTCCTGTGAAGTCTTGCGCTGCACAGACTCTTAATCAGAACCAGATAAGAGAACGTCTGGCTGCTGCTTAACTAAGCCTTCTTCTCTACCATAGTAAGCAAAGTCTCCCTGCTACTGTTAGGGAGACCTACTGCCCTAAGTTAAAGCAGAAAGAGCTGCTTATATATATCCTACGCAGAAACGTCTATAGAAGCCAGGTGCCCCTATAATCTAACGCCTAAATTAGCAGCCTTGACAATTCTAAACTTGCAGGGTAGCTAGTCTAAAGCTGTAGGACGCCTATATGCTAGATCTAAGCTGCGTAACAAGACTACTTACAATAATGTTCTAGCAAAGCTAGAACCTATAATCAAATCTACCTTCTCTAAATCTTTAGGGGACAAAGCAGACATAGTTAATAAGGATGATAAGAATCCTGTCTAGGAACTTATATTAAAGCTAAAGCGTGTGAAACGATTAGAGGTCTTGCTGTTTATTGTGGGGGCGGCGTCTGCGCAGGATGATTGGATCTGACCTTGTGGTCAGTTAAAGGGATGTTGCACTACTCTTGATAAGCTCTTTCAGTAGGACCAGATGAAGTCACTGAAAGTGAGCAACAATCTGCAGGACGCGTCATCAGCCTTTGATCATCACAAGAAAAGCTGAGCATCTCTTTAAGATGGGGTCGTTCTGCTTTGGGACTTCATTACAGCGTCTTCTTCCCTTTGTCGCTGTGGCACTACAGACGATAGGTGAGTCTCCTGGAATTCTGAAAAATTTGTTTCCTGCGTACTAAACAGTACTGCATGTCCACAGAGACCCGCGTCGCCTCCTTTGCGGTCAACGTCAAGTGCCGCACAATATTACTAGACCGTTTTCGGCAGCCATCCCCAGCGTTCTTGTTCTGGAGCGTTGCAGGTTAGCGTACTGTAACGTACCGTACCATCTGATGTCAGAGTTATACCTGCGATTTGCGCTTACAGGGATTGGATGTCCGATATAGGTTCTAGCGCAACGCTATTGATACTCTATTACAGTTCTATGCACTGTCCTAGTAACCCTTTACTTCAGCATTAACCTAAGATTGCGGGCAATGACCTCGGCCATCGTGATCTGGCGGTTCACCGAACATTCTCATGCGCAGCCATGGATGGATCTTGAGCTTGACATACATAATCATGGAAACAGTAGGACGTACTGCACTGGAGTGACTTACGTTGCAATAACTACTACACTATTCTACCTACCATCAATAGAGCGGATAGTGGCATTCTCTCACTGAAAATTCCTATCGGCGGAATTCTCGACACTGACACAACACTCTCACTCGACTGAGAGCACACAAATCGCAGGTGACCTAGAAGGGGAAGAAAACCAGTCCTGTGCACATCGAGTATCCAGCAAAAATAGGTAGGTAGACTGTTTGCGGAGTATCTCTTAGTCATGGTGTTACGACGAGGTTGAAAAGCCATGAAAGCGAGTCAGAAGTAGCGGTACATTAGGAGTGAAAAAAGCAGGCTAAGAGGAGGTTATATTCGATGCACGAACTTCTCACCCTTGCAGTCACGACTGCGAGTAAATAGAAACCACACGTAAGCCAGCTGCCACGCCAAGAGAATCATCCCATAGGTCTGTCGGCGTCTGTGTGGCTCATTTAGCATGAAGGAGGGAACAGGTACGAGTGGGTTGATGTGACAATGCTACTCTGTGCATTTCATCATGCGTAAAGCTTTTGTGGAGGCCTGATGCACACGTGCTGAAAAGTCGGACGAAATAGGTGATGCGATTTTAGCGTGCGGATTCACTCAGTGTCATCGTGATGTTTCAAAGACGTGCAAAGCTTGGCTTGGCATCAGCTTACGCTCCCTACGCTCATGCGATAGAGTGCCCGTCTGCTCTGCAATTCACGTTGATTGACACTACTCAGACCAAGGGTCATGCTACAGGTCGAGTGAGCATGAAGAAGGGTATGTAATGATGCAAGGGCAACGCCAATATACCCTTGCCATGCATTGTAGCAGATGTCGTACATAACGTAGCTCATTATCATTGATATCTGTAGAGTCCTCAATATTCGAAGACTTGACGCGACACAGTGCCCACCAGCTTCTTTAGGAGTCAGCCGTACCAGTGTTCCACCCAGCAGCCTTACCTCAGCACACGCGCGGTTTAAGAACTGCAACATGTTCATCAAAAGGGCTAATCGCTCTTGATTAAAAGAAAGAGCTCTAGCTGCTCAACAGCATGTTCAAGACAAAGTAAAGAAGAACCTACAACTATCTTATGTCGCCACGTTGGTATTTCTCCCAATGTCCATTGGGTACTCAACCGCGCGATTGAAAACGTAGTTTGATATTTCGTCTTCGCTTGGATAAGAGACAACGGCCATGTCAATGGATCGCGTCCGCCTCATGGCATACATGTCATAGTTAAATGTCGATCATAAGCATTAGTGATCAATCTCGATAGAGACCTGCAAGTACGACTCAAAGTGAAGAGCGGAGATCGGCAACGCTGACCGTTTGTTCGGTTGCCTAAATCGCTTGTAATTCTCTTCCTACACACACATTACATTTTCACTCGAGACCCACACACCGCACTCAAGCTCTACAACCACCTCACACTTTTCAAATCACAGCTCTCACATCGCAACTCTCGCATCGGAATTCTCACATCGCAACTCTCACATCGCAACTTTCGCCATGAACAACGCAAGCGGCCGCATTACTTGTACTATTTCCACCACTCAGGCGTTGACTGACGAGGATCTCGGCAAGACCACCGGCGAAGACCAGGTACAAATTACCATGCGACCGACGCAACAACCAGCTAGTGACACCTTTTAGGCTATTATTCGAGCTTCATTGACCACATCTGCGGAGGAGATGTTTGCAGACGAGGGCGCGATTGTAGCGTTCATGTGCGCTATCGAGGAGTTTGCCATCACAAACTCTGAGCTCGCAAGCTCAGCAAGCTCCATCAGGTCCACAAACACCGCTCTTTCTGTCAGCTCCGCTATCTCTCTGTCCTCATCAAGCTGCGTCTCTTCGATGTCTTCTGCAAGCTCGGTCACGCTTACGGAGGATCTGCCGAGCCCTGCTGCCATGCACCCCATCACTCGCCGGTTCATCGAGTCCCAGGTGCTTTACGACCTTGGCTATCCTTTCACCGTCCCGGAGGGATACTATTCCATCGCTGATCCGCAGGTCTACGTCTCTGCCCCGCCGCTCCTAATCCCCAGCACCTCCACAGCTGTCCATATCGATGTTGACAGCATGCCCGCGACCATGGCTGCAGCTTCGAAAACTAAGAAGAGGGGTCTTGTATCCTCATTCAGTACGCCAAGACTAGCAAAGTTTGTACAAAGTAAGGATTTCGGCTGACATGTATCTAGCATCAGTGTTCAAGAAGTTCGACAAGGACACTGCACGCACGCGTGGTCTCAAGTCCTCTCCTCGTCCTCAGAGCTGCCACTTGTTCTAGAGCGTCGAACCTAGAACATATTCCGTATCGCACAGCGATATCAGAAGACGTACTGTCCATTAACATCTCAATTTTGTAGCTCTCAGCAGTTCACATGCGAAGACCATACTTGTCGTTTGTGTTGCTCGGAGCGACGAGTATGGAGTTGAGAGCGCTGTTGATCTGCAGGCCATGTTTCAATTGGTGCCACCATTGAGTTACAAACGTCCTTTACACTTTTCTTCACTTCTTTCAAGCTTGACAGTATGATTCTGTCGGATTTGAGACAGGTCTTCGTCACACTCCGACCGCCGCCAGCCCTGATGCTGCTGGTTTGCCTTTCAACGCTTGGTTGCAGTATTGGACATCCGAAGGATTTGCACCTGATGAAAGGTCGAGACTGAATTTCTCAAGATAGTTAGTTGCTGGACATAACGAATAAAGATTGTCAAGGTGCAATAGTGTATCGTGGTCCGTGACGGTGGCTGTGCGTAAGTGTGTCATCAGGCTAGATTCGAACTGGACGCTCTCGCTAGGACGTGGCAACGTACGCTAAAGATGTGCGGTGTAGTCAATGCCGTGGCCTTATCATTCTTTTGCAGCCCGTCACTTTTGGTTGTCGCGACGCCTTTAATACGTGCACGAACGCGACACATCGACTTACACCTCTTGCGCTGCAAATGAGTGAGTCAGTTCGCAATACTGCGAATATCAACGTAACTTGTAGAGCTATACATGTCACCTAAAATACTCAAGAACGCTGATCCCTGTCCTTTAGAGAAGCTCCACAATGCGTATGCCACCAGCCATCGGGTGCACCGCAGCGAGACTGCGTAATCAATGTCGCTTTCTCCACTGCGTTACACGAGAAGACCGCCGCCTACTGGATGAATACGACTCATAGATCTATGTACTATAGTCCGCGATTGGATTGTTTTTGTATCAAACCTTTAAGCTGCGCTTTTCTCTGACTTCAGCAGGCCGCAGTGTTACACCTATCGAGCCCAGTCGACGATATAGGCAGCTGTACACCTACCCCAGTTCTCATTGCTAATATTGCTCGCTGCGATTCTTGCTTATCGCTCTTCTCCAAAGTTATTCATTATCTGTAAAAGACATTCAAGCCTTCACAGATGTTTAGTGGATGCTTGTGACTCGCTACTATGATGCCATAGGCTGCTGCCTAACCCAAGCGTACGGCCTTTCACTCGATCGTACGTGACCAAGACAAATGCACCGCCCCGCAGAATACTTAATTCTCGATCCCAACACTGACAGCAACACTCCAACAACCACCTGCCCGCAACCATCCAACAACCACCCGCCCGCAACCCTCCAACATCCACCTACCAGCATCACATAGCGTCTGAAATCCAGCAACATGCATGACTTGGTAAATATTTTTCTGCCCAACTTAACATTCCAGCTAACAGCCCATAGAGCAGTACCCTGCACCCTACCCTTGAGTGGCTGTTCTCAGAGGAATTTGCGCTGTTGCTCCACTCATGGATTGTGCTGCCAATGCTTCGCGGCTTATCCCCTACGCTCCTCTTACCAATCTTGGGCGGCGTTTTGTACGCCCTGGAGCTCATGTTCTCATCCAGACGGTGTCTGAATCTGAAGATGAACAAACTCCGCAGTGTGTACTACATCTCCCTGCTCCCACCGATATTGTCTTCCCCACATCGGCTGGGATGGACTGTGGAATAACCGTTCCTCTCAGTCTTGCCTACCGTAGATTCAGGCGGTATCCTGTTCGTTTGGGACGTTCTTGCTCTCATTCTCGTCGGATGCTTCCTCTCTGCCATATTCAGTGCCGCAAGCGCGTGGAAGTTCAGCATCCCTTCGCGACGTTGGCGGCTGGAGATGTGCCAGTGGATCGGAGGTCTGCTGCTCATTTACTGCCTTGTCCGCACTTGGGGCTCAGAATCTATTGTGAGTACTTCTTTCACTCGGGAAGATCTCTGCTAACCCTTGTCAGGCCTTGAAGCAATGCGAAGTGACGTTGTATAACACGACTTCGGACCTGAAGATGTGCACGAGGAACTGTGTACCGTCCGAACTCGAGATCACCCCAGAGGTATTTTGTGGCATTACAACAGGGCCACATCTTACCTTCGAAGACTTGATACGTGATCTACACTTCTCATCCGACGTAAACTACAAGATGGTCAGCGACGTCCAGTCCAGTCAAATGCAGGGCTTCGAAGCCATCGCAGAAGAGCTGGAAAAGGACTATGCACTGTACAATTACATTGTCCAGCATCTCCGTAACGCCCGGTCTGACTACCAACGTTACGCTCGCATAATCACCGAAGACACGAGGTCATCCGCGCTGAGCATTATTCGCAGTCCTGAGAACGCTACAGTTCTGACCTGCCAAGCCCTCGGTCGTTTTTCTACTGTGACGAAGGAATACATGAATAGTGCCGAGCATAGGTTGCTCCAAACCAGCTTTTCAGAACTTGGGGGCGCTCTTCAGTTTAGATCAGTCTCTATCGGCCATCACTTTGGCAAGGCAGCCAGTTACTATAAGAAGAGCTCTGTCATCGATATGTCCAGGCTCAAGAATTTAAGCCGCGGACAGGGAGTCCAAATCAAGTGCGCCGCAGATTGGCAGCTTGTCTTCTCTCGATACCTTGAAGCCCTTTCGAAAGCCTACAAGGACATCGATAAGCTCCATGGTCGGTGGTGCGCTATCTCGCCCACTAACAGCGGCGACAGGGTGGTAGTATCTTCTCTGCTAGATGGCAGCGGTCCAGAATTCGTTTTTAGGTCTCATGGTCTGTGTCAGGCATATGCTGCATCATTGCGGCCTGCCAGTCGGCCAGCCTACATTGGCTTGGGCAAGGTAAATTATGGCAGCTAGATCACTTCCTGGCCGTGTTTACAAAGAGCCTTCTCTACGATAGACTGAAGTTTCCATGTGTCTCTGTGGAAACGAACTGTTTCCACCGGTACGACAGGGAGGAAGAGCGATTGTCGAGATTATCAGTGTATTCATTGCGTGGTAGTCGATTTTCACTAATGGTACTACATTTCAATTCAACTCCGTCAAAGCGACCAAGCTACGTGTCATCCGAGAGCCTATCCGATCAGCAGTGCCCTGTCCGAGTAACAGGACGTTTGAATCTTTCGCGTAAAATGTGCCGAACATCAAACTCATCTCGATCTGGTATCGTGCCTACGTTTTGAAGCTCATTTAAACTTCCTCTGCCCTGTCATGCAGAGACGTCACTGGATCTCGATCTCACTTCCCGCATCGATGTTCTCAGATACTCCTTCTATCTCGACTGTAAACTCGACCTTCGCATTCTGAATCAGATTGACTGCATCCGCATCGAATCATTCGAGATTCCAGTGTTGTGGGAAAGCTTTACTAGGCTCTACTAGTAATTTGGGTAGCTAGGATAGGAGACCGTCCACAAGTATATGGATGGGTGTTTCATGCATCGATGCTGAAGGAATGACTTCCATGTGCCCTAGCCTGTGGTGAAGGTGTTGAAACCACTGAATATACTTTTCGTGTACTCCTGGAATTCTGGTCACTGGCCTGGCGTGACGCGCAAGCCACCGCAAGCAGCTCTACCATCTGCACTGGCAGACACTGCACCGCTTCGGCAGTGATGAGTTCATGATCGCGAAGGTCTTGCTTTGTAAGCGAAGTGATTGAATGCCCTCTTGGTTTGCTGTTCACCTACCTTACTCTGGCTGAGTGGTGCTGGGACCAGGATCCGTCTGGACAGTCTGCTAACATGAGTATAACCTTCTGACCTCCTTCGCCTACTGTTGGTGCTGCTTCTCCGCCCATGCAAACGACATCATGATAGACTCTAGCGGAGTATGTGGCGCGGTTTATATTGAGGTCGTCGTCGTCGGGCCCGAGCCTCTGACCATCGAACGCGTGACCATCGAGCCCGGTGACCATCGAGGCCGTCACCTTTCACAATTTCCAGCAGGAGTGTGCTCAACTCTCGGCACGCTGTGTATCCTGTTATGCTTCGGGTCATGGTCCGGTTGACAATAACACATTCATGCCCGCCGCTGGCAGCGATGGGATTGCGATTACTGGAAGCTCCATCGAATCGATTCTGATGGTGGTCCATAATTGGCCTGTTCTCTGGATGCTGGTCATCTTCTGGCGGTACGTACTTCAGAGCCATCGCGTGCATAGACCTCACTCATGTGTTTGCTCCTCAGGAAATCCTTGTTTCCGACCTTGTTCGTAGTCATTCCATCTCTCGCTCCCCGCGTCGTCATCTACTTATAGTACGATAAGTTCGCCGCCCCCTGACGAAAGACCTATAGCTGTTATCGACTATCGCTACATCTTCTTAGATTGCTCAGGTATACCGCGTCTTGCCCATTTGCTGCACGCAGCGCCGAGTGAATATATCGGGGGCAGGAGATGGACATGTGTCCGCTTCCTTCTTTTCCTTCGAGAGTGCTTCCGGTCAAGCCGTCATTGAGGAGCGCATAGTCTGGACTTGACCGTACTTTAAACCCGCGTTCACGAGGCCACCGCAGCTGCTGTGATCCTGATAACAGGTGTTGAAATAGAAGGATGAAGGCATTTTAAAAGCATTTAGGACAGTAGGTGAGTTGCGTGCAGGTTTTCAAGTCGCGCCACAAGTAGTGGGCGAGCGCGTGTGAGGTGAACATCCAGTACACCACGCCGAGAACTCACTCGCCTAATGCTGGAACTGAGCGTGCGGGACAGAGAATCATCACAATGTTAGTCAAGATGTCGTCCTCATCTCTGTGCTCATCTTTCTCGATCTCCTTGATCCCTTCCTCCTCTTTTCTTGTTCACGCTAACCACTCGAGACATGCTAGAGAACTGATGTATTTTAGGGACTGCAAAGGATTTATGCACTGAATCAGGATTAGATGGAGTCTTCAATTTGGTCTCACACTCATCTACAACCGTACCAGTGATTGCAATAACAAATTGAGTAGGGATGTAACAGCTCTTAAAGATGGGTTTGAAGGTACGTGTCGTTGAAAGATGACGCTAGACACGATTGTGAGCTCCTGTGCATTCTACTTCGTGCCTACAGGACAGTCTTCCGCTGGAAGTTCGGAATTTTCTTTGGATAACCAGTTAAACCCGCACGATGTGAAGAAGACTCGGCGCGAAAATGCCACCCTACGACAGTACAAGGCAGGTATCAGACGTTGTATAGTAGGCAACCAAAGTAGTGCCGCTCAAGTCCTCTAAGATGTTGCCACAACCTCATTCATCCTAGGCAAAGGTGAATGCAGGGTGGAAGATCTAGAAGGCTGATATTGCGCCTTTCGCATCAATCAAGCCTTCCTTGATACGATAGGCCATCATCTTCAGCGCTCCACATTAATGTTGCAGGTACCCGGAATATGTTCGTACTAGGGACTCCAGAGCCATCTCCCCACAGTGGTCATCACAGCCGGTCAGGCAGAGCGGAAGCGTGTAGGCGTTCTTCACCGATACATGTATCAAATACCTCTGCTCACTCACCATTCCTTGCTTTAGCATTCTACCATGTCTAGTGCCGCCAATCAACGCGACTCTATGGTCAAGTCAATCGTGAACAGTGTGACCACACTGTACATGGAACACAGATTGCAAGGATCAAACGTCGGTTTCGTCAAGCTGTGATCTGTACACATCAGCAATGCAGTCGGAGAAGATGATCTCACAACTCATCTAGAGGCCCACTAACTTGCAAGCAGGAATAACGACGACTAATCAGTGGTAGATACCGCAGCAGGCAGTGCAGATGATTATGCTCGACTGCGTCACAGCCGAGGCAATTATAATCGCCACTGCCTTACCAGGTTTGAATCCTGCGCGCTAATGCATCATTTGAACTTCTTCAGATGAGCGCAGCAGCGAAGAGGCACTAGTAGATGCATCTTTTGCGATCGCGAACGCTGTAGAGGCGCCACCAAGCTTGTAGCCATAAACAAGCAACGAAAGCGGTCTGAACGATACAACACTATAGATATGGTGGCACGAGATAACGCATCGATGACTTCAATGGAGGATATGCGTCTCTGTGAAGCCAGCAGTGGTGTGACATCATCCAAATCAGCATTCGTGCTATTACAGGCGTGAACGTTACCACTAAGAGCGCAATTTACACCTACAGCATCCCGTCCAAGGCTTCTAGCTCCATGAATGTCTCTTTCTGAAGATTTCTTTCTTCTCCGTCCGGGATACAACAGATGTTGAGAACAAAGACAGGGGTTCCGCCTTTGTATTTTCGACAGCATCAACTGTCTTATCTGATGGGGCAGCGTGATTGACATTCCCATAAGTTTTTCTTTGTTCGCTGTGATACCTTCAACGCGCCTTTGTTCAGTTCTCGATAGGATTCTGCTCGAATAGACAATTTCTTTGTATCTAATCAGATCCCTTTTGCCTTTTCTAGCACTGTTCAACACACGCAGCTTCAGCACGAGATGGAGCAAAAACCAGTAAACATGGTGCCTGTGCGCCATCTAAGTCCGTCTACATCCTGCTACAAGCACTGACAATCTACAAAAGCTTATGTATTTTTATCTGTTTGATGCATTATTCTACGGACACATCAGTAAGCCAATGCACTAATCTTAGGTAAATACCTTTCCAGCTACAAATTAAAATCACCAACCGGAATGGAGAGATCCTACTCCACCCTCATCGATATGGTCGGCGAACGTCTGTATGGCCGCTTGGAAACAACTCGCAGAGTGAGTCACTCTTTGGTGGATCTCCTGGTCGTTCTATGGGTGGTTCTAGTCCTCAATCAGCTTCTAGCGGCTTGGGCCTATCGTCGCACTTGCTTGGCGTACCTTGGAGGGTGCGTTTTGGCTATTAAAAACCATGCTGCTAGCTTGATCACTGGAGTCTTCAACACTGTTTACAACGCCTTCATTCAAGCCTGCAGGATATTTATTCATGTATGCAAGACTCTTTGGGGACACGTCACAGATGCACGCACGGCTGTCTGAAGATATGTTGCTCGTGCATGGTCGACTATTTTGGGAATGTACCAGCTTTCATCATGGGACTTGGACACTTGTTTTCACTCTACGTGTTTGCGATGCTGTTGTACCACCTCATCAAATATATATCTAACACCTCAATCGGCTCTCTATCTGTCATCACGGCCGTAAAAGATCACTATACCGCAACTAACCCCTGGTCTATCTTCATCAACGTTCTAGTCCCACGGTCAACCTTGTTGCAGTACCTGCGCTTCGATATAATTGCCATCTCCTCCAACCTCGTCACGTCAATCTCGACGACAGTCTCTCCAATACTTACCAGGCTTAAAATACCCTACACTAAGCTCTGGGCACCAGCTTCACTTGCGATGTTCGCTCTCATTGCATGCATCTATCTGGTAGACCTCGACCTGCTCGGTATCTTGAGCCACTCCATCACTGGCTCCATTCATCAGCTTGCGCTCGATTCTGATCTACCTTGCGCTTCGACTACTTGAGTGCGGCATTCGTCTCAACCTCTGGGTCGCGCATCTTCTGCTCCAGCTACATCGAGTTATCAAAAACCTTACATTCGAAGTTAGGGAGTGGTGGTGGATTACTATAGCTGCCACCATCGAAGTCACGGTCTGCGCGCTCGTGGGCTGTGCGATCTTTGACATCCTCTCATTCTTTTTTTTTTTCAGAATTATACCAAAGGCTAGAAATGGTCGAGCGCCGGTTCATGGCAATGCACCCGTCTAGGGCAATGCACTAGTCCAGAAGTAAAGATTGATCCTGGAGTACAGTGTCAATGCAATAGTCTCGCAGCCGATTGCCAAAATGAATCGAACGATCATCGCCTACGTTCATTGAATAAGTACTCCAGAACTGTTATCACACTAGTCGTGCCGCTGCCGCCCCCTCGTCATGCACCAGCATCAACTCACTTCCATTTTTCGGCAGTCACAACGATTGGAAAACCTAGGTCTGCGCACCCATATACTGTACTATCCGCACATTTGCCACCATAAGTCCTGCGAGATAGTCCCATGTTTTGTTTTGTTTATTGCTACGTATTCTTACCCTGTAGACACAACAATGATCTGTGGATGCAATTATATGTCTCAGTACCAGTACCTCAAACTTGACTATGTCATCTGCGTTGTCTTTCTCATGTTATTCATGTGCTTTTGCTGATAGGACCAAATGATCCAGAGTTGCACGGGCTTTGGTCTGACTCAATATGAATGATAGCTAGAGGTGCCATCGATGGAAGACCTAGACATAGAGGAATGCAGGGTGGCAGATTCAAGAGCGACTTCTGATTGTAGACGGGCCGTTTTTACAATTACCCAATAATTCATTGAAACCTATCGCTGCCTTGGTGCATCATCCGCTAGCAACGATTACACGCCATGATGTTATCCTGACGTCAAATCTCTTTATACCTTCTGAGCGCATGCGTTTAAACTGCTTATTGCCGATGCAGACGTTGCAGTCTGTCAAGGGACTTCGTGGTATCAGGCAATGAGTTGCGCTAAGCGGACGTATACTGCGAACAGCACATGTTTCCTCACCCTTGCTTCTCTGACGTCGCCTATCAAACCTCCATCAGAAAGTCGCAATGTTCATTTGTCATGCTTCCGGAGCCGGAAGTGTGCGGTACTTAGATGCCGCTTATCCCCTGATCCCTTACTCACTCGTACAGAAGTGTCGGCCAATCACACAAGTGACGTATTTCCCCTTATCTTGACGCACAAACGCAAAGGAGGAGACGTAGTAGGCCTGTCGTGCGTAATTTACATCAAACCTTTTGCAGTTTAGGATCCAGCAGTAGTATCACGGCAAGGGGGGGATGCACGACATCGCCAACGCAGCACACATTGATTAGCCGCGAGTGAATGCATTACAGACTTGAGGATGAATTTGGCTTTCGATTCGCATTACTCTGAAATTCAGTAAACGTCTACAAGCCTCTATGGAAGGAAGACGAACAAAGAATCAGTCAGTATCGTCCGGATAGTGGCAAGTTGGCGCCAAAATCGTGCAGCAAGGTGGCTCAAGAGCTACAAAGCGTTGGCTGTGTGACGTTCACGCCGAATGGCGCCGCTCCTGACTTTGCTTGTCAAGCTCTTTTACTTCTATATCTGAAACTTCGACTGGGCGCCTGCCATTCACGGACTCAAACCGCTGCTTGAACCAACTGTTTCCTATCAAATTTTCGACAGACCACTTGGGATATTTGATGACGCCGATGCTCCAATGGTGAGCTCAGCCTAGTGCTGACTGCGACACACACGCTATGTATACTCAGGATCTGACCTTTCTCTGTACACAACCAGAACCATACTTGCTACTGGGAGCAGCTGTTGCTGCTACTGCTGTTTGCAATATGCCCCTGTTAACTCCATTGAGAAGGAAGTAAAGCAACTTCAAAACACTGTCCGTGAGCGTATCACTAATGAAATGTAGCCTGATAGTAATCTAGACTATATACAACTAGCCGCAATGTAAAGAACAACTCTACCAAAACAGTGTAAACCTACCTTACGTAGACAAACAATGCAGCACCGGTAAACATTGTACCAGCTACATGTAAGAAATAAGCTATTCAAGTGGAGCTGGAAGTATCTTTGCAATGTATGAGACATTGTGGATCAATAGGGTTGCACAGGTCTCGTGTGCCCTGCCACTGCATCTATAACAATATCGAGTGGCGGGCATACTACACTACCTCCCTAACACACTACACACCTACTCAACTGGTCAGCGAGACAAAGCTTAACAAGACTGATCTCTATTGGAATACCCACGACCATGGCTGAGTTTGCTATTCCCACAATATCTCTAGAGCGAATCGAACAACGCAACGACCCTCCGCATACGATTCATTTGCTCAACACTCGGGCATCAATTCTCCCTGTCCCGGTAGTGGATATTGTTGTCCCTCAATGGCTTTTAGTATCGATCAAGGAACTCGCCAACTACGCCGCACAGTGCTGGTACACCATGGTTCTTCTCTTCTGGGCAATGAAGTTCGAAGCTGTTACGGCTGTTTCTGTCCTACCTAAGGACGTGACGGTCTTCTTGATGTTCCATGTCTACTTCGCCCTCACGGTCCTGATGAAAATGTACTTAGCGCCACGACGACCATTTCATCGGAAAATAGTGCTTGTAGCCCCGGCAAATGCCGATCTCTACGATCTCACCCGGTTTCTTGCTTTGAAATGTTTGCAGGAATATGGTCTCCATATGATTGTGAATCTTATTGCTGGCTTAGCACTGACCGGCGGCCACATTCTAGGCGGAGAGTGGAAGACAGCTGCCGCCTACGAAACGCCACTGGCGATATCTTTTATGAACGGCCATATTGCTGTAATCTGTGTCGCACTTTCTTGTATTACCGTTCTAGCTGCGGTGAAAGTCGCGTTGCCTGCGTTCAGGCAGACCTCTATCCACGACGCGGATGGGATTGATCGTTCGGACACACAAGATTGGCGTGCTCGATCGCAGCATGTCCAGGTATACCCCTTTGCCTCCGCTTCTACTTCTTCAAGACTTCAAGCCACCCGCCAGCATCAGAGCGACGAGATAGAAATGCTGACGAAGGAGATGGAGTACCTCCAGATTCCAGGGCGCCAGTAACGTCAGATTAATCATCCCTTCTTCTCTACGGCGATGCTGTTGACCCCGCAAGGCTGTCCACGTCAAAATGTCAGCCAGCACTCGTCCGCTTTCAAGACATGCCAGTGGATAAACCACAAGGTGTGGCCAATACCAAAGCTCACTCTTCCACACCAAAACAGACGAAGGTAGGCACAGATGTTTCTATGGACGGTTGATATCTGCATAAAGTTGGCTGCACGCTTAATGCCGATTTTGGGATGCCTGCGGTCGAAGAGCTGATGAGAAAAAGGAATTATGTTGATCTTCGATAGTGCGTGCATCTGCAGACCGGCGCGGGGTGGGACCTCCACTAACATGTGGAGCTCGTTCTGTGCACATGGGACTATCTCACATGCACCTCAACTTTTTTTGTCTGTTTGCTGCTAAGCTGTGTTTTTTGAGATTTCTCCATTAGAGTCCTGGATTCAACATCCACTGCAGACTTTGCTGCACACTAGACACTCTCGAATCAGTAACAAATGAATACTGGGGTTACCCTGCCACTCATTCTATTAATGTGTCATCTTGCTGTTGCGACATCAAAGAGTCAGTCTCTCTAAAGAAAATGTTGTCGTATAACCGGACTCACCCGTAAAACAACCCAGCTTCACACCTGTCCCTGATTCATGTTATACTCTCATCTTTCGTTCGCTTGGGAAATTAGGGAGAACACCAATTGCCACAATGGCAGAACTCTTTGTGCTACCCAAAGCGCACAAAGAGATCAGACCTGGTTGATGTATTAAAATGCAGGAGGAGATGTGCAGGGCCAGACTGAGGACCATTCATATCCCCTCACCATAGCAGCCAGGACGGTACTGCATGCTCCTTGAGTAACGCGTACACAGTCGTTTTTGCAGGCATGGTGCGCAAGTCAGAACACGTGAGTCTTTGGCACACTCTATTCCAACCATACCACGCCGGATTTGCCGCGCATATGGAGCCAAACGCTACATGACACCGAGATTCAGGCCGAGCGCGCCGCTAGTCAAATGCCATTGTAAAGAACCCAATGCAGTCCAGCCGGGGACATGCAGTATGTCTGATCACTTTGTTTAAGATTTGTCTCGGCTGAACGTTGGGGCTGAAAGGCCACGCAAGGACGGTAGAACTACCCCTCCATCCCTTATTCTCCCTCCCTCCCTTCCGTTTTTTCCCTTTCTTCCTTTTTCGGCCTACCTGCTCCCTCGTACAGCGAGTACCACCGCCAGCTCTAACACCCCAGCGCAGCTCGATCAATCACGATGGGTCAACCAAAGACACTGCCCCGCACGTACCTGTTCACGGCGACCGTGAGCCTCCCGTTACAGCTTGGGAATTGATATTGAGGCACTGGTATTGGAAGCACTCAAGTTTGATAAGCACGACCTCGCATGGCATCTCATCTCGAGTAGAGTCGTGCCTCATCGATTGAAAGTCAGGCACCAATGATGGGGGAGCGTGCGGCTGAAGCCTTCGGAAAGCCCCCAACGTGCCGCGTTCCAGTCGGTCCGATTACGCACTCTAGTCACCTTCCCCCATGTTGGTCATCGATCACTCATCATCTACAGCATATCGATAAACAAATGCACGAGAAGGTCACAATTAATTTGATTACTAAACGCATTTACGGGAATCTATGTATCAGTCGGAAGAAAGAAGCACGAGCACGACATAGTAAGCGGACTTGACGCATGGTTCATGTGACGACTTTCTAGACCACCCAGCATCAGCATTTTTGTGTGCGGCTCTGCGATCACGTCTAACAAGTTTCGTACAGGGTATGTACCATCAGTTGAAGTCAGAGCATATGCTTATAATTCATATGACTATTAGCCGGCTCCAAAGATTGCGCATACGACTTCTGCTAATAGTTTTTCGATCGTTGCAAGCATTCTCAGAGTACTGCACCAGAAGATACCGATTACTAAACAACAGCGCCTTTGTTTGACAATAAATGATCAATCTTCTCGCCTCACGAATGTTCATGAATAGACGGAATAGTGATCATTGTTTGTATATCAAATCAGAACCGCGAATTGGTCGCGTCGTGGTCTAGCGAGATTTAGCAAAACAGAATTTGAGGATGAGCGGACTACATAAGTCAGCTCTGTAACACCCATTCATCCCACTCACAGCTACATCCTCCTGACTGTGAAAGGCAACATCAGAAAACGCAGCCGTAAATCTCAATCCAAATCGGCAATGACTACCGACTCTACCATTCGTAACGTGGCCTGGTATGGTGTAAGTCTCCAAAGACTATCTATTGTGGAGCCTGCTAGCGGGATCTTACTTTTGTAGACGGGCAATTTAGGCAGGCCGATCCTGCAACATCTTGCATCGACACAGAAATTCAACATCACCCTTCTCGTGCGCCGTGAGCCTGCTTCGTACGACAATCTGCCGAGCAACATTACGATAAAGCAAATTGATATCTCAAAGCGGTCCAGTCTCGTCGATGCACTGGCAGGGAATGATGCTACGGTTGTCTTTACCAGCATGCTACCATACAACAACATGGACGGCCTCCAACTAGAACTGATCAACGCCTCTATAGCAGCTGGAGTCAAGTTCTTTGTCCCATCAGAATGGGGACCCGACACAGCGGGAGGAAACGGGGCAACGACTTTCAGGATCGGTCCGGATACCTTACCTCCAACCCCTATCATCGCAATGAAAAGGGCGGTGCACAATTATCTGCTTGTCCGATCAGCCGAGAGCAAGATCAACTTTGCAACCCTGCATACCGGCAATATGCTCCTCAGTATGCCCCTTCCCTGATACATTTGACCTCTACGCTGACGACGATATCAGACGTGAACGTATTTGCATCCATCGATGTCCAGAAACGTACCGCGCTTCTTCCTGAAGGCGGTCGCCACCTATTCTCTGTTACGAGCCAAAAGACACTGGGTAATGCATTGGTCAACCTACTCTCAAGGTACCCTGAAAACAAAAACACTTTCCACTACATCTGTGATGGCGAGACAAGTCTGCATCAAATCGTGCTAGCTGTGCAAAAAGCATCAGGATCACAAGAGCCGTGGGATATCTCTTCATTCTCACTGGAGGAGAACAAGAGGAAGGCTGACGCAAACCTGAAGGAGGGGAGAATGACACTACAGGAATTTTTTGGTGTGCTTGGCGTGCCATTCACTGGGCCACTCACGGTTTGGACCAACCCTGACAATCGTATCTTAGGGCTTGAGGATCCGAGCAGTGCAAAGGCCCAGGAGATTGTAGACAAGGTGGCTCTGTCACTTTTAGCTCAGCAGTCATAGGATTTTTAAACTTCAGCAACATGTATCACACTTAGCGTCAACATTGTATCATGTCACCACATGTGGATGTCTATCCAGATAAGATGTTTGTGCCAGGAGCCGACGGAGGCTGATGATAGGATCGAAGTTGGAACACAAGTGCTAAGGACATCTCAATGCACCAGCCAATTGAACCCTTACAGCAGAAGACACAAGTGTGTGGTGGGAGCATAGTTATGATGGCGTGTTGTCATGATCATGTGTACTGAGTCTGAGATCTTTATGGGACGTAGTAATCTTCGCGGAATTTGCTGATCAATCTGCAAGAGCTCTCTGCCATGCTGTTATATGATGTCGCAATTATGGCGCAATGAAGTGTTTCAACAGTCTCTACACTACCTCCAACGAGAATCAAGTATGCGTTGAGCTGAAGCGTTAAGTTTTTCGGATGAAACACGAACTTGCATAGCGTGATAACAGCGAATGACAGAATGCTGGTATAGTAGAGCTCGGATCCTTGACTTATCCGAGTGTCAAGGAATGTGCGGAGCAAACTTGTGCGGTGCACCAAGTGGACTTGTGGCAGACCAGAACTGCTGAAGATCTTCACATCTTGTGATAGCCATCATAAAGAGAAGATAGAGGCGCGAATAGCCGACAAAGTAGTTCAGATTGGCACTGACACTCGTCGTAGGACAAAGTGCATAAACTGAATTACATCTGTACATAGTATAACACGCGTTGGACTTCGCAAAATTGGGTCTGATTTTGTTCCGCTTCTAATCGTGCAGATCAATAGGACAGTAAACATATCTTCAGAGAGACTTCACAACGATTCTCCACACTCGTCCCTTGTCCTAGATGTTGCTCCGACTCCGCCTGGCGTGTCATGATATAATGTGCGTGATATAACCTGGTGAACGATCACCAGGAATATGCAAGCTTCCTCTACAATTTTTTTTTTGTTGTCAAACGTCCGTTTGACAGCTAAGAGCTTACTATAGACATACCTGTGCCTCCAATCTCCAATCCCGCATCATCTTGTGCTCTTCTCGTCGTTCTTAGCATGCGTACCTTCGCTTCCATACCCGACCCTTGGCCTAGGACGCATCTCACAGGCTCCAGCATCGATACACAGGAATAAATCACACAGCATAACTACCGAAACTTCCATGCCCGAACCTTAGCTTCGAACGCATTTCACTGAGTACAACATCAACACACAGAGATAGTTTCTCTAGCGCCAGCTTGTACCGCCACCTCCAGTCTGGCGACTACCAGATGAGAATATAACCAGATATGATCGAGAGGGAGCGATATACAGGGTGTGGTCAGACATGGTATCACAATGTAGGGTTCATCACAAGCGTACATTGCGAAGAGCATATGCAGCACAAAGGCTGAGCCTAGATGCAGTCGTTACATTGCATCCGGGAATGGTGCTGGTGATACCGGTCCTCGTGTATACAAGTTGCAAGTAGAGTGCACATTCGGGGCGAAGGACAAATTGAGCAGGCTGTGATGAGCGAGAGGGTAGTAGAGAAATCCAAGGACTGTTAAGTGACAGCCGACAAACCAAGGTACAGAGCTAAACATGCCCATTTGAACGGGACCATAGAGGCTTTAAGGGTTACGAAACGCTGTCCATAGATCGGGTTGAGTATTGAAATTGACCGGCCAGCCCAATTTCTATTTTGGCGCACGGAATAGAGTCGAAGCATTAAATATTGTTCAGCCTCCTGTGGACACCAAATATCGTTCTTCGCAGTCGCATCTCGTTACGAACATCCAAAAACGTAAAGACGCTCACTCTATGAGACCTATACTAGAACTTCCACGTCAACTGTCGTAACTGGAGGAGTAAAATTGTGGGAGGAACTATCATGTTTTGATCTAAAAGCCATCTACCGAATTGTGTTCCGTTACATATCTTCCATGTATCATCTTTTGTCACCTCGAAACTCCTTGCCAACATCCAAGGAAGAACAGGTAACACCAGCACCAATGATTGTATGCAGTCAAAGATGTGATAATGCCAAGACGTGTAGCTTGGACATTGTGCACTGGAAAACTCAAATGCCTATGCTCCCTGACTGAATCTTTCTGCGGCCGTGGGAATCGGAAGGGGGCAGAGCAGACCCCTGGGTTGTTTCCAGACTCACCAAGGGGAGCCCTCATATCGGACGGGTGGCTTGCGTTCTCGCCCACTCCTGCGGGGCGCATCTGAAGAGGAGTCCTGACGGACCTGAGGTGGTGACCTGGGTATGCGACTGGCGGGAGACGGAGACAGCTGTGGATTTTGACCCCGGTTTTGCAGACGAGACCGCTGGCCATGGTCCTGCTGACCTCTCTGCGACATTCCAAGTGGAGGCTGACGCTGCGGTCCAGAAGACTGCTCAAATGAAGGCCGAGTCTGGCTCTGTTGGGATCGAGGAGAAACTCCGGATGGAGCTTGGTCTAGACTTCGCGGGGGGGACCAAGGAGCCGATCTGGAAGAGGGATGAGCTTCGTTTTGATAAGACCCGGACAGCCACCCGATCGGAGGTTGATGTTGGTGCTGTTGAGAAGAAGAAGGAAATGATCTGGCTGGGGACTGACCCCAGTTCTGCTGAAAGCCTCCAGATGTGATTGCGGGTTGATGCTGCTGCGAATCTTCATAATGCATGCCGGACGGGTAGTAGCCGGACGGGTAGTAGCCGTACGGGCTGTAGTTCTGTTGAGGGCCTCCAAGATGACCCTTAGGCGGCGGCATGCTGGGCTGATTCGAGATCGCTGTCGAACGCAGGCTAGAGGTGTTGTTGGAGGCCACAGGTCTCTTACGCGGCGACTTACTTCCTGACCGCGGAGTGGGTGTTGGTATTCTCTTCAACAGGTCCTTGATACGGTCGAGTCGACGGGTTTGCGCGTAGTGGAGGAGATTGCGGAGACATTTTCGAAGTTGGACAACTTCAGGATTCTCATCTCCGTCCCACCGAACTGAACCCAGCACAGTCTGCAACACCGGTCGCATGTGATATTGTACCAATCCATTCCCATCCAGTGTTCTCCAGTGTACGTACAATCGCAGCTCTGATGTGTTGCATACCATGGACCAATGACAAGTGCCAACAGCGTCAGGTTCCACGCCGGCACGTTTGTGGAGTCGATAGTTGTACTCGATGACCGCCAAACCGTCACGAGTTGTTTGGAGCACACCTTGCCAGATACCGGCTTTCGCAGACTTGATTTACAGCGTCACCCAAGGACACAGTACTTTTGGGTGGATTGGGGGATGCTTGCCGTCTGACAAAAGCTTTTCCTCCTCTTCTTCGGTGAAAGGCCAGTCGATAGGGGACGACGATGCACGCGAGGTGATTACAGATATTGGAATGTAGCCATTGGTCATGTCGGGCTTTGGTTGAGCAAGCATGAACTGATCGTTGTCCGGACTGGTCACGTAGGCAGAGTGGAACAATGCCTCAGGCTCCATATTCATGAATCTTTCACCGTTTTCGACATAGGCACTTCGGAACATCAAATGTGGAGCCAGAAGCATCATAGCCTGGAATTCTGAATTGCGCTGTGCGTTCTCGGCGTTCTCTGCAAGGAGTCTTGCTGTCGGTGAATGGGGACCGGGTCGGTCCGCCATGACAACATTCCGGATGAACTTGTCGAGTTCCCTGGGCATTGTTGCTCCAGAGTGAACGTAAGCCTTGTATTGCCTCAGTTGCTGTTCATACTCCGCCGTCGACGCCGTCGTCGTGTCTTTACTTCTAGCCATGCTGTCAAGCAGTTGTTCGCCTGGGTTGGTTTTTTCGGTATGTGCGCGAAGATTGCTCGTCGTCAGCGGATATCGAGGAGGAGGGAGATGAAGCTCTTGTGGCTGCTGCTCGCGGCGACTGAGCTTGTCTGGAGCCTCTTCTTTGCAGGAACTTGGCTTAACGGGGAGTTGTTCGTCACAGACCCCAGGCCCAAAAGGTGCGAGGTTACTGCTGGGACTGAGCTCGAGCTGCTGTCGTCGCTTTGTTGAAAGACCTGAGCACACGTTAGCGGACGAGGAGGGAGTGGATTTCGGCGTAGCTCACCGGTGATGTCCTTGAGAGGCGCGGCTCGTCGCTTTGACTTGTCGTTGATCCTGCGTCTTTTACTGTCTCCAATGGGTTTGGTCTTCTCGTCGCCTTGTATTGCTCTGGTCTTCTGACCTCCGCTATGGGTGGTGAAGGATGAGCGGCCTCGATCTCGCCGTGGGCGAAGATGTTTTTCCGTGGCTGGCTCCATAGTGGGGCAAACGGGAATCTTGGGTGAGAGAAGCGTTTGCGCGCAGGCTGCAGTGGATCGTGTGAGGCGGTCGGGAGCCGGGCACAAGTGAAGCTGACTGTGGAAGGAGAGAACGTCTGCTAGATGAAGATATGTGCGAGGGTTCGCAAGACATAGCATTTAAGCAACGCAAAAGTTCTGAGTCCGCGCAGTCACTTTCTCTATCGTGACCAGGTCGCGTGCGTGGAGCGATGTTCATTTGTTGTGAGACCCCGTGTTTACAATTTACGCGCTATACCGTGTTAGGGTGTGACCTCACACCGTGTGCCGACTAGGATTGAATTAAGACTAGTCTCATTGGAGCGCAACCTCTGTTGTAAACGCGCGGTAGAGCGCACATAGGGGATCTCTGCGCTACCACTGGACTGTCTTGAGTACAAAGGCGTCCGTATAGTGATCTCAGCAAGCGCCTCGACAACAATGAATCGCTTAGCACATCATGGAAAATTGTAGTCAGCAACTGGAAAATAGACTACATGGGTGACCGTGAGCAGTGCAGGTCTGGAGTGCTTCAGATGCCAGCGGTTTTCGTGCATGGCGTGAAGGTTCTCAACGCGGAACAATTCGCAACCTCGTAAAGCGATTCCGCAGACTTCCTTTCCATGCAGGCCTCGTCGACTCTGCTTTCCTCTACAGCTAAGATTAGCCGATGATATTCGTCTAGTCGTGTTAGGTGCCTTCGTAACCGACGCGACAGACTTGTGCAAAGTACGATGGAGTATACAGGCTTGAGTGAGAACTGACCTACCTCTCTCGTAACAAACCTTCCATCACAATCACCGTGTGTCTGGATCAAGCATGTCGCAAACAAATGCCCAGTCCTTGCAACGTGTCACTACGCTCAAACGTTGTAGGCTGGACCTCTTCATGTGCTGCAAGGCACCCGGCAGGGTACGACAAAGGTAGTGGAAACTGCGTGCTCAACCACATGATCGGGTGCTGCGGCAGTGATGGCGGTGCGCCGCGTATGATACCCAGGTCTCGTCTTGGGTCGCGTGTTTGGATGATTATACATGGACCACATAGGTAATAGATGGGCCTGAAACCGTTGGGATGATGCATGTGTATGGGAGGTAGTAGGGCTATGGATAACCTTCAATGGGCATACAGAACTTCCGGGGAGGATGGCTTGCTCGTACCATGGTGGGCTATGCAGAATCGCAATTGCGCGCGGAGGTTGCTACATCGCGATCTTCCTGATTTGCATAACGAGTAAGTAGGGCATTGCTTGCTCGGTGGCGTAAGATTGGACGCAAACATTCAGTCGAGATGCGGATGCGGTTTCCACACTATGAATGTTGCTCAGCAGTCGGAGCATGACAATGGGTCTGATCGCCCACGACCCAAGTGCGACTGAATTCTCAAGAAGGACAGAAGGGCGACTAAGCGCTTACCAAGTTAGTAGCTGTAGGAAAGCTGTCTTGGTGCAAAAATCAGTGATGACATTATGTTTTAGTAAACAAATGTGCTGTGGCTAAGGCAGAGTAACAGGACGGCAGGTTCGAGAATCGCGCACATGGGTCTCATAGTTTTACATGTAAGATATAGGACCTCACTGACATCAGCGACGAATGGCGGAATGGCTCAGCTCAAAGTTCGAGTTCGGTAGTATGAGATCAAGCCGAACGACCTAAGACGCAGTCATGAGACTTTGACTCATTGTCAACTCTACATGAAATGAGCCTCGTGAACAATAGAAACCATCGCTGATCACAGCCCCATGTTACTTAAGAGAAACGCAACGGTCGACCTTCAAACATTTGCTGATTAAGACAGCTGAATATCCAGCACCATTCATCCGCAAAGACTGAGAGAAACAGCGAATCAGAGATATCAGCTGTCAACCTTGAAAGACGTTTTTCTGGACCAACGAGGCTTATCAGGACGAGTTTGGACGACGAACTTCATGCGCCTCAGATTTGCGCTTCGATGCTTGAGGACGCCCACCCTCGCAGAAAGATCTCATCGAGGGCGCTCGAGACACGGAAGTTCTCTAACCACCGCTTGGCCACAGCTGCTTGCGGACCGTGGTAGGGATACGCAAGCGACAGTCTTCCTCAAGAGGTTCATCAAGCTCATATCCAGCAGCTAGAAGAAGGTCTCGGGGGAAGGGCCGGCCACAGAGGCAGGATGTCGGTCCCGCTGCAGAAAATTTGATTAGAAGCGTGACGATGTGGTCGGGGGTTAAGTATACCGTTCTCCTTCTTGACATCCTTCTTGTCAGTGTCTTTGCTGTTCTTGGTGTTGACAGTCTTCTTGTCGGTCTCGTCGTCGGTATCGCTGTCAACGTTGCAGCCGCTGTCGAAGCAGATCTCGCTATCGGTATCGCTATCGGCACCACCGTCCACGTTGCTGCCAATCTCGCCGCCGGTCTTGCTGTCAACGTCGCCACCGGTCTTGCTGTCGACATCGCAGCTGGTCTTATGTTCGACTTCGTTGCCGGCGTTCTCGACGTTTTTGACACCTTGTGAGACATCCTGAGGTACCGGCTTTCCGGGCTCCTGGGATGATGCCGCATCACTGGCAGCCTCGGATTTGCCACTCTCTTGCGTTGGTGCAATACCTGTGTGCAATTAGCAGAGCGATGGGTAGACATCACACCCAAAATACTCACGAATGGTAAGGTCGGAATGATCGCGAACTACTGTGTCCAGCTCGTCGCTGTGGAAGATCCAGTGGTCTGCCATATCGTCGCGACAGGCTCTTGCGAGTAAAAATGTGCGTTTCGTTGAAGGGAGTGAGGTAGTAATTTGAGATACACCTGCTTGATTTGATTCCCGCAGTTGTGGTGTGGTGAGAGGGTCAAGGTAAATCTGTGTGGGAACAAGTATCGCGTCGGCTTGCCAAGCCTCCCACACACTTTTCACCACTTCACTTTTCACTCTCACCACTGTTGGGGGGAGTGTATTTTATGGCATCCTACTGACCATGTTTACATTTTTGACCGCATTACAGCCATGAGACAGGCTGAATCTAACATTTCAGATGTCGCGCATCATGGCTGGTCACAGAGAAAATTAGTAAGAGAGAACATATCTATAGCGACTTGTTCTCTCCTTTCATCCGTCTTATAGTGATGTTAATTATGCTGCCAGCGCCGACGGTGCTATAGCGCTCATTAGTCTCGTTCGAATCGTACCCATGCTATCTAGATACACAGCACTCACCGGATTCATTTGCTCTACATTTACTATGACCTCGATGCAGCGAATGTCGCCTTTAGCGACCTGATATCGACAATAAGGGTATCTTATTAGCTCAGCCGAATGAATATCTACCATGCCTTGGTGACATGATACTGTATCTAGGTTAATTCTTGTGATGCGGTGCACTAGCATTAAATTTCACAGTAGTAGACCATCTTCACATTACATATATGAGAGCCATTCACTAACAGCACCTCGATTAACAGACCTCATGTACAGAAGTTATCTCCCTAAACTTCATGAGACAGCGCATGTAGAACTGCCCTTGCTCGAGCTAACTTACCTTTCTATTCCGAAGCTGCCTTGGCAATGTTACTTATATTTTACTAAATCGCTCTCTAGCCGCCACTTTAACATTTTAGTAGTCTCTTACTTCCGCAGTCAAATAGGACAATGGAAGTTGTTTGTCCTTGTCGTTAAGATCTGATATTGAGGCGTTTCCCTGCGTACTGGATTCTTCCCTTTCTATCTCTAATATAAGATACTTGATAGCACGTACTTCTCTGTCTGTAGGACACGGCAATTAGCAGTTTGTTAATCTTGTTCCCAAAGCAATCAATCCCTCGTAGATCATACTGTTAGGCCTCTCCCTGTCAAGGATTTTCAGGTCATGCAATCGTTTCTTTTCCCCACGCTGATATACAGGCAGTACGAGCATTTTTAGGCAAGCATCAAAAGTCATTTACAATCGTCAGTTGCCGGAAGGCAGCCTCTAACGTACCAGAAACCTCCATCGAAGTGCCTAGAGTGTCGGTTAATTTCACCTAGCGAATCATTCCCGGCGGTGATATAGACTTAGTCCGTAAGACTAAAAATAAGCCTCGAAGCGTACCGATATCATAGCAACGGTACATCGCATAGCGTAAGGGCGAAACCATACATAGTGTTGTCCGAGTGCATCTTTCCAATACATGATTGCTTAAAACCATATTTGAGTAATCTGCGACTTCTATAGGTTCTGGCATCAGATCAGAAGCCATCCTTTTTGCCCTGTCGTCTGCCAAGTTGCCTATCCAAGACTTGAATGTGGGATATGTTGTGTTTGTGTCGATAGGAGAGAAACGAGTGCTTTCTCCGTCGACCCAATGTCGCTTTCGTCTTTGTCAAAGTCGGAACATACCTGCTTCGCGATGTGCTCAGCCTTCTAAACTCTACCAGGGCTCTTCGCAGTATAGCCCGTGCACTATTAATCCTAAATTCTTAGGGGACCCTTGTGATAGATCGATGTTAAAGCAAGTGTTTGCCTTCTCTAGTTATTTGCAGAATACTTTGACGAGACTGTAGTTAAGGATACCAGCTAGCTATCTCAAAATGGATAAAAGTGTAATAGACGACTAGAATTTGCGTTTGCAGGATTGATTGCAGATGTGAGCATGTGAACCAGAGCACCGTTTGACGACAATCCTGTTCAATTAAAGTTTACATGGTATTCTTGTCATTATGCAAATTGTGCGCTATGTTGAATTGAAGCCAGAAATAGAACGAGCGCAGCTATCTGCGACAATACATGCCCACAACGTTGACAGAAATCATCCAAATGTTCAGGGATTTTGCGACACTGAGGCTTGCGCGGGGCCTTAGAATTCATACTCATAGTCGAGTGTTTGTGTGCGTTCAGCAAGTACTTCACTCGCCGCTCTCATTGTACAGAGTGTGCTGCAAACTTCGACAGCTCTACGTTCAGATCAACCAACACTGTGATATCCAAATACCGCGAAAATTAGCTGTCAGCAATAGTCGCTTTTCACTACTCCTCAGAAATAGGTAAGTGAAGTGCCTACCTCAAGAAGAAATTTGCTACACGTCTAGGCAAGCCAGTTGCCGTTCTCCACACCACATTTAGCACTGAACACGCACCTGAGCTTTCACTCGACGCTTCCTACCTGCCCTCTCCATACAAATACCCCTCGAACTCCCGCTGCGACACATCACAACAACGCTCAACGCAAGGCACAAAACCATCAACACAATCCGATTATCAAAAACTCAGCAACGATGCTCGGTATTCTGACCGCTATGGTCCTCTTCGTTGTACCTATTGGTATCTGCTCTGTCTGCATTCTGTGCGCGATTGCTGGTGCCGTCGTCATCCCAGCAACCCTCAACGTCATCGAGTTTGTCTCCTTGATTGTCCCCAGTCTCTGCATAGCTTTACGTTACTACTTTCTCTCCATCTGGAACGCCTCCGATCAAGCAAGCCGTACGTTTCTAAACAAGTACCGGCATCTCGTCACTACAGCCCAAGAAGAGGCCAAGCTAGCAACGCACTCTGCAACGCAGGCTAATCACAGCCCCGCTTCCGCAGCCCCAGAACAGGCCAGTGCAGATCAACGAGAGACCGATCTCCAGTCACAACCCTTGTCCATGACACAGGAATGTGCAAAATCACTCAACTCTGCCAATGAGGAGGACCAGCAGGATGTCAAGGTGCGCAAGAAGGAACACGAACGGATGAGACGTCGCATCGATATGCTGGAATCTGACAATCGAGTTGCGGCGTCAGAGATTCAAGGTTATATCGAGGCCCATCAACTCCAAACTAAGGAGGCCGAAGACGCACTTGAGTAGATGAATACAGAGCGGCTGGAAGAACGAGTAGAGCTCGCCCCTCAGTCAAAAAACACGGCTAACTTCTCTTACTCCATGGCTGCTCAACATGTTGCTGTTGCCCAACTGAACATCGAGGAGACTCTTGAGAAATACTGGTCTTCCCGAGAGAAGTGGCTCAAGGGGGATCTCCAGCGTTCAAACACCGAGCTGGCTCGCAAGCTTCGGAAATCCGAACTCGACAAACGCATTCTTGAGCGCGAAGTGGCTGCGATCAGTGAGCGAACAATTCACTACAAGACTATCTCCGAGATGCAAGCCGGTACGCTCAGTCATGACACGTCCCATATCCAACAAATGCATGAGACTGCTCATCTGGGACAGGATACAAGGTAGCTCTTCCTCTCTTGACGTCGAACTCCACTAAAACATCCAGGGGTCGCCAAACCATTCATAGCACAGATCTCCAGTCCGCAAACGATTCTGAGAGCAGGCTCAATATCGCCGCCGAGATCCTAAAGCTTTTACGTCCGGCCCCTGAAGTATCAGGCACAGATTAGGTTGCGCACAACATATCGACCGTTTCTCCAGCCAATGATCGTGCGTCGACGTTGGGCCAGGGAGAATGGAGACTGGGTATGTGCAGATATCCGTATGTTTGATGTAGTCTTTATGCCTCTTTTTCTTACTCTTATGATCGGCCATTCACCTGTGTTCTATGTGCTTCCGGGCTGACCTCTCCTTTCTCAGTCCTACCTTTCCTCTTCTGTCTTTGCCGCAGCTTTCGCATCAAGATTGACTACAAGGAGATTATTAGGGCTTCATGAAGCGTGTTACTAAGATGTCTCATGGCATGGGAATGCTTATAGGGCGTGCTCGAGAATTGAAATCCACGTCTGCCCTCCATGATCACTAGTTTTTGTTTAGTAACACGTGAGATCAGTCATTGCTGTTGCTTAGTTCTTCACTCGGTAAACTCATGTTCTCGACAGAAGAGGTGCTGCATCTACCATCGACCAAGCACGTCTTTGATCGAACTTCTTCGTACCCTTGTCCACGCAATTTTTGTTGAACTGGTTTGCTGATTAATGCAGTGTGTGTCGGCAACCATCACGTCAACAATGCTGATAAGAGCGATGTCGCTTCGTAAGAGAAGGGCGATGATCTGCCGTGTCCCTTCTTCCATACGGCCGTGTAAGGTTTACGCATCACAGACTCTGCGAGCGGAGAGTACCGCCCAGAGACCTAAGCTTGCGTCAATCGTGGGAGTCAAGATGCGGAATTCGTTGCTTACAACAGGCTTCGCGGAAAAGCCACCCTTCTTTACCCTCGACTTTGCCCGCGTCGCAGCGCACTTCAGATGTGGAACGATGTCATCCCGTTGTTTCCTACTCATTGTAGTCTTCGTGCTGGCTATGTTGAATCCGACGTGACTCCGCATCGTTAGCCGGTGGTTGGAGAGGCACGGCTTGTCATCAAGAGACGCTTCTTTGACAAATTTGCTGCGTGCCATGGTGACTGCCCATGGAAGTCGTCTATAACTGAATAGTGGTCGAGGCCGAAGATCGACCAAGGCAGCTATAGTCAGCCACAACAGACGCTAGTGCAGTGCTTTCACTGTAAAAAGAGATCATAGCACCCGGCTCTGCGAGCAGTATTCTCATGTCCACGTTGCCTTGGAATGATCGCCGCTCGCGCCCTATAGTAGTCTCGATAGGCTCACCTTGGAATACAGGAGCTTTCTGAGGGGACTTCCGGTCGACCACTTCAAGGTGACTGCGCCGACCACCCTCCATCTCTCGGTGTTTGGTTCGATCATGGAGAGCCCATCAGATAAAGGGTCGACAGCCGGTAAAATCCGCCCCGAAGCTGTGAGCAGGATCCCGGGGAAGTGTACATGATACAAGCTTGATGTAATTTGGCCCGACTAGCTCGACTAGCCCCGCACGGAGCCTCGTCGCGTTCCCAGCCTTGTCATCGCCGTTTCTGCCCATCGCGTTCGCACTTCCTACAATGCGTATTGATCCACTATCGGCAGATAGCAGCACTACGCCCGCCCCGAAGCCTGCCGATTAGCTCAAACCCAACGGACAATCGCACCGTCTGCTTCGAGCCTTCCACGCCGTTTCCTCCGCCAGTTCCGCTCCGCCCGAAGCCTTTGCCGCCGCGGCTCCCGCCAGCGACCGCGCTCAATACCCACCTCGCCCTGTCTAGGAGGCCAAGGTGTACGCCCGTTGCCACGGTCGCAGGGCGTGTGGGCGTGTAGGCGACGGACCGAGAGTTAGAGCAGTTGAATAGGTGTTCTATGGCAGGGTCCAAGGGCGCTCAGATGTATCACGGATGCGAAAGACGTACAAGAGCAGCGTGGAGGATGCATACAATCTGTCTGAATAGTTGATGAGAGCATTGCTGTGGATAACCGAAAGAGCCGGTAGAGCAAATTTAGCGTACAACGTCACCCGTCAATGCAATAACCACGCGTCTCCCTTGAACTCTTGAATGTGTATGTTTTTTTCGCCGTTGCGTGTTGGTCGTGGTTGCCGTTGGCTCTGCGAACTCCCTTCACAATTTCCCGAGGTCCCTCCGAAGTTGCCCCGTAGTGTGTCCGCGCCCACAAGCAACGATCGTTCGACGTGCGTGTACATTGGCTGCAAGGAACCAGGCACCAGGTAGTATTTTGTCCCACTCAACCTTGTCTCCCGCGCACTGTCAGGCTACCTGTACAACACGCCCGTGATACTGGGTGGGATGGAGCCTACACTCCTCCCACTCAGCAGTACTGCCCACAACCAAACGGCCAGGCGAGCTCGATCGACATGGTTTGATATTCACCACATCACGTAGTGGCAGAAGCCATGTAAAGGACCCCGCAGTCACGTTCATGCTTGGCTCAGCTAGAACTAGCACTGACGATGGAAGCTACTCCTCCGGCATACGATCCGCTGCGAGAGTATCAACAGTCGAAGTATCTACCACATCTAGGCTTTTATGCATATCAATCACCGACACAACTTCCCTGCATGTTGATACCAGCCATAACCGAGTATTAGCAGGACCCGAAGTGACCGAGTCTTCACAACAGAAATGATGAATGCTCATCAGAACGCGCATCCCAGACCCGGCACAATGTGGACTCCACCCACTGTGAACGCGGAAGAAACAGCTAGCGCAGCTCGTATCCTTGTGCGCACACAGCGCGCGGTACCCGTGGGGCGCGCCGACAGCTCCCTATGCCCGCACACGCTTGCAGTCCGCGCCCATCACCATCATACTTCGCGAACAGCAGAGGACTCTCCACGTCACCCAAAGTAATCTGTCTATGTAGATCCAAAGAGGCATTGGTATTTCATCAAATCCAGGCATTTGAAATACTGCCCTGGGGGTTCGAAGCATGGTGTTGGCGCTGGTTGGAAACTGGATAAAACCGTTCGTCACAGTTTTCAGTCGCTGGTTCAGAAACGGGATCACTTCGTAGGTGATAGTTTTAAAGGCCGCAATTCTTTCTTGAACTACTTTTCGCATGGTGCGACGGCATGGCTGCGGGCGAGTGTGCTGGTAATCTGCTCGCACACCATGTTCGATACTTGAGCTGTATTGCGCGTGGGTTATCCATTAGACTGCAATCATGTCCCTCGTGGTCGATGAAGCAATAACAACGATCCTGCGTGATACATTTCGTATACCGCGACGAGACCCTATACGCGCAACTCATGGAGGGATGGTTCTACCACAGTTTGAAACAGTGGATATTTAGCTGTGCACGTCTTTGTCATTCGTATTTTTATCTCTGCAATAGCTAAGCGCGAGCGACCCATATGCACAATGTTGCAATTGAAAGAAATGTGAAAGGAATGTGAAAGATGTGTATGTTAGAGCTGACTAAAACGCTGTACTGAAACGTGCATGGAGCCACTTGTAAACTTTCACGGCCAAGCTGTCGTCAGCTCCGTCATTTCCGAGCGCACATGGCCGTTGCCAAACTCATATAAACAACCGTTCCCTTGGAGCAGTCCCAAAGACCATCCAGTGAGATGCGACATTCAGCAGATACTTTTTCGTCTCACATATAGTGCGTTAATATCGACCAGTCTGCGGCCCCCCTCACCATCTCATACCGCGTCCACACGTTCCGCGTATCTCACTTGAGACCCCGCCTCCCCTACGTTCGCGGCCATAGAACGTCTCTATTTCGCAGCTAGGCGCGCGTCTCTTTGATAATGGGATCGATGTACGTGTGCATGCGACGCGTAGGGGGGATGGATGCGACGCGAAGGGCTGCGGCGAGCGCAGGCGGCCCGGACGGGGCGACGTGGGCATGTGCGCGCCTTCAGGAGGAGAGCGGTTTGTACGTCGCTGACATACGCGCGTGGGTTTGATGTGAGATGCGCAGAACCGCGAAGGCAGGTTGTGAGTGCGCGCAACTATCTCGCAGGACGAGAAGTGGCACTTGGAGGAGCGAGGTGGTACCGTAGGACGATGGGCAGTTCAAGGTTTGTGAAAAGGGGAAAACGGCTGTTGCCGCGCTGACAGGACGTGATGGTTGTAGCACAGCATCCACAGCTGGCGTATCGCTGCATTTGTCTGCTGTGGTACAATACCTGAAGCTGTTACACCACGCTTAGATCTGCCCTATCGCGACTTGAGATTGGCGCCTGACATGACGCTGGCGGCTCACGACCTGTGGCCTCCTCTGCATTTGGGCAACGAACTGTCACAGGCGAAGTTGACAGCGCCATCACTGCTGTTGATTCATATTGTGCGTGCATAAGCGTAGGGCTATGTGGAAGGTCGGGGGTCGGTGGGGTGGGCCTCGGTCTGCTATGCTTTTAGTTGCTGAGCAGACGCGCGCAGAATATGAATAAGGCTGCGGGTAGGGATGTGCCTGGAGATTGTGTTTACTGGGCGATGAGAGAGGTGAGCGGGAGCGTGGTGCAGAACATCGATGCCGAGATTTACAGACCACGTCATTAGTCTTGTGACCTGGAAAACCAAATGTGGTCTGCTTCTATAGGCATATAGTCATAACCTAGGTACACGATTTTTTCATTGACTTACTTCCGCCTTCCTTCGACCTTGCGAGTATAGTGATGTGTTCACAGGGCGGCGAGGGAGGTGTGGGATAATGGGCGTGCTGCAGGGCAGTCGGGATTTTGCTCGTGGTTACGCCAGTCTTTACAGTAGAGGTAAGCAATCAATGGCGTGCGTAGCGATGATACCTACATTGCACAGCATTGTCAATTCTTGGCTTGAATCTGGTCCATAACAGTTTCATGCCTCCTCGTCTAATTGATTATAAGCGCAGAGACAGTATGTCATTGGTTCCTTACCCTGTAAGACGTGGAGTCTCACGATGTTCACAGTATTATAACTACCTCAATAGCGACTGTTATCTGTTGCCAAGACGTACATCTGTAGACACTCACAGTCGTTCCACATCACATCGATCTTGTCAACGCGCTCAAACAGGATTTTGGTCTACACTTCAAACAACTGGCCGGCAAAGTGGCCTATTTAAAGCCACTTACCCTGTCGCGAGGCTGAATAGTAACCGTTCTATTGGCCTACTTCAATGTTAGGCAACCAGCCAATAAGATTGGTGGAGATGGCCTCGGGATTTTTGTTGAGGTTCCGGCACTAACGGCACATTCCCGACCGCTGATTGGTGGGACATAAGCCACAGCGGCTCAGTGCTCTTGGCAAGGTATAGACGTGTACATAGATAGTATCTTTGGCCTGCCCCGCCATAGGTAGTTCGTGGCTTACGTTGAACACGAAAGTCATGACGGCTCCACAATCTATGTCGGCCCCTCCTGGCTACGGTTTGCACGATCAGGGACCAACGAGGCGGAGATGGTGGTGGAGAAAACGAGTCTGGGGTTCAACACTCGTTCTGATCCTCCTGGCTATCATAGGCATAGTCGTTGGCGCTGTTTATGGAGTGAGAAACTCGAGGTCTGGGTATGCGATTCTTCACCGAGCGTCCGGCAGGCGAAAGTTGACTTTAGTCCAAGAAATGCTCAGAGTGATCGCGACAGGCTGTACGCCGCTCAAGGTGAAACATCATCGGCCCAAGCTAGCCACGCGACCCATGAAGCAACTGCAGTATCTCAAACGGTCACTCAACATTCCGACACCCTCGTGATATCCTCCACCCTCCTGATCGCCTCTACATCTACAACTGAAGGTATCACTAGCACGACCTCAAGTTCATCCTCTACTACGGAATCGTCATCACTTTCTCTGCCTCTTTTGCGAGGGCCAGGTTTTGTTCCAAAAGATCTCAGTGCTGCTATAGGAGGACCGGCACCAATTTACTGGGATTTGCGCGCCGAAGGTCGGCTGTTTCGAAAGGAAGGTGACGGGTCCTGGGAAGCATATCCTGATCACCAGTTCCTTGTGGCACCTGTTGCTGTCAGAACAAGCAGTGATACACAAACAGCAGTCTCAGTCAACGCTGTGAACGGAAAGATACTCTATTCGCACTTCCGTGACGGGTCATGGGGCAATTGGCAAGAGCTGGAGTTCGCCGCACAGTTCAGTCGCCGTCCAGCTGTCATTTCGAGATCGCAGGGCAGAGTCGATGTCTTCAGTGCTGACAACAATGCATACCTCTGGGTTGTCTCCTACGACGGCTCATCTTGGAGTGAGTGGACCGAGCTCGGCGATGCTACCAACGGTGACGTTGCGGCAACAAGCTGGGGCGAGGACAGGATGGACGTATTCGTTAAGTATGGAGACATCATCAACGCTCCTGTGCGGCACAAGTACTGGTCTGCTGAGGCGGGCTGGGCGGGGGAATGGGAAGATCTGGGCAACCCGTTTACGAGGGGCTGGGACTCCTCTCCAAGACAGACTGAGGTTGGTCGTTACTCGTCTCCATTGGCAACGTCATGGTGCGACACAACTGGAGAGTGCAAGATTGATCTTGTTCTGAATGCGGGTACTACAAGCCATAGACTTTTTCAGAATGGCGCGTGGGACGACTGGTACAGTGGTACATTGGGTGCCAGCCATGAGGGTGCTGAGTTTCCGGATACTCAAAGCATCGTTAGAGGCGATGGGCTCGACGGACGACCTTTTGCGCATCTAATCTCCCGCGGCACTGATACTTGTATCCACCACATCGCACACAACGGCACCGAATGGACGCCTTGGACATACTTGTGGTGTGAGGATCGGGACGGTTCGGACTACCCGAACGAATTCTTACCTACGTTTTTGACAAGCATGGATGGCGCGAACATTGAGGTGTTTGCACGGGACTTGAAGGGGAATCTGCACAAATATGGATTCTATGGTACGCCTGCTACGTGGGTGTACCGTGAAGGCAATGACAAGTGGGAAGATCTGGGGCAACCTTAGAGATATCACGCTAGAGCAGCCGAGAAGCACCTGGCACACTCGCCTCCCAAGTTCAAGCGTCGACAGAATTTCTATACACGGCGGGAGATGAGGTGATGGTCACTGCGTTATGTATGCACGGGAGATCGTCTCAATGTTACCAGAAGATCCCAAGACCCTTGGACCTTGACAAGTTGGTAGGGCATATAGATCAGTTTGCCTTGCAGTCACTCTAAAGATGTCTGGTGGCGCGCACGTGCGCAACCTCATCAGCGTTTCCTTAAGCAAGATCATCATGGCCAGCGACGACGTTCATAGAGCTCACGAGTGGTAACAGTGCCGAGTGCCTCCTATTATCTGCTGCGAAATTATATGCACAGACGGTGGGATGCTTTAGCGAGCGTCATTCTGTGCCCCTGCTTGTACTGCATGTTGTCTGTCGGTACGCTGCTACTCCTGTCAGAACGCCCAGCGCCACGACGCAAAACTTGTTTAAAACGGCGACCGCAGCTACTCTCCTGCGTCGTTAGGGTGTACCTTGACAGCAGAGACCGCGTGTCGTTCATCACGGGCGCTTTGCTGGCATACCTCATTCCGTCAGGACATTAGTTGCAGCTTCTTCCCGAGCGCGTTCGTGGCCGATCACAGAATGCTCCCGCGTGCTCATACATAGGCGTTGCACGGAGACTGCGCGTCACATTTCTGCTCTGCCATCTGGTCACGCCAACTATGCGTAGGCATGTATGCTAGCTCCGGGGCGCAGCTGCGCTATAGGTAGCACACAGTGCCCATCAGATTCATGCCGCACTTAACTTTCATGGCAAGCTTGAAACCGTGGACGAGTGTCGACTGAGTTAGCGCTTGGTACAGACGCCGGGAGCGAGAAGTTATGAGTCTTCACTCTCGACTGGTATGGTCAATACTATCTGGCCAGACCGCGTCTCCGGCGAACAGAGAGCCCGTAATCTCATGAGGCGGGTGCCTTCGAAGAGCGAAGTACATGTCTGGCAACTGGATGCAGGATCGCCGCTCAATTTCATCTAGAAGCGCTGTGACAGTGTAAGACTAACCTCTAGAACCATCTTAGATTGTTTTCATATCTAGCCTCATTCGCATCCACGAGTGTACTCAGTTCGTGCTTACATTTGTTCAACGTCAGTCCTAAGTACAGTCGTCTCCTTGTAACGTAAATGCACTAATCTGTCAGCACAGTCGTGATTACACCGCGATTGAATGGCTGCAAAGAGTAGCACACTATTTGTTTTCCATCGTTTTGAACTAACCACACCCTATAGCACCTCCTAGTTGTCCTTTCTTTCACTCACATCACCAATAACATCCACCGGGGGGGTGACGCCATAGCAAAGAGAGCTGAGCCAGAACTCAATCTTGATTCCGCTCTTTACTTCGGCTCGAAGGTAATCACCAGACTGCAGCTCTCCGAGGTGATTACCACCGAAACTGTTGCAGGTCGTTTCCCAACCACGATGTAACGCTTGATTGACCGATACGAAGACCCAAACTCCCATTCATGGACGTCACCCTTATCTGGCGTCACGCTTCCACCAAACAAGCTGGAGGATCTTGCAGCATATTAAATGTGTAGACGAGTGATGACTGCAAACCTAACCAAAGGCTCAAACGCACAGAGCGCGCAATTTCAGAATGATCAACGCCTCGCGCGCCTTGCAAGATCAACTTCGCAGTCCCACCCTCCATCAAAACTTGCAAAACCACGCATTCCGGATCCTTGACCATAGAAAAGGGACACAACGCATAAGAATTACGGTTTATCGTTCATCACGACGCACCAAGATCAGTTTGCGTCATAGTCCATCTATCGTGGAAGCTTACTGTCATCTGCAAAGTCTAATGTGATTACGCCGCGATACGTCCTTTGATGATGCGGTGATGCAAGCATCGTACTTGACCTTCGCCTATTCAGTTAACTCTTTGCGTACATTCGTACACTACCTATGCCCAGGTTCTCTGCAGCTTCTGTATCGATCGATCCAATCGCTCAGTAAACCTTTGCACCACGCTACCGGTTGTTATATCTTGCTGGATTCTGATTGAGGGCTAGTCTGTGTTAGTGTCGTATTCATTGACGGGACAATGGGTCAGCCTGTTACAACTTATTTGACGTGAAACCGTAGAACAATTGGTGGAGAGACATTGGCTTGTTAGGCGACTTGCGATGTTTGGGTGATCTTTCGGTATCAAGAGGCGTTGTGGAATAGTCTCTACATCTATCGCATTTACTCATTGCTTGGTACACTTTTTCGTTCATTCTTACAAGGGTGACTCTTCACCTTCAGCTCACGTAGCTTACTTGTAACATTCATTTGGCCTTCTATGACGAATTAATTGGGTTCCATGGGCGTTTTGCAAGGAATTTGCTGCCGAGAGACTCACACTGCCACTATGATCATCTTCTGGTCTGCTCGTAACGTAGTTTGCACCACACATCGAGAGTTCCACATTCCCCAACTTGGCCCCGGACTACGGACACACGCCGCTTTCCGCTAAATATCAAGTAAAGGTCGTCAAGCAGAGCTCAGAAAGCTACTAAAGATTGCATATGCTCTGACTAGTTGCTCGGCACCTTTTGTAGAATTCGGACCAGTATCATCGTGCCCAATACATCGCAAGAATGCTGCAAGATGGCATTTATCATCCCAAAGATAAAAGTCTCAATCAGGGTTTCGATCGTTTTTGCCTCATGCTGCATTTTATCGAGTGGTACGAGGACCTAGTCGCGCTGGCTAGGTATCAGCTGCCAAATTGTGACCGCACAATAAATCGAACTCACCACCATCTCCGACCGCTTCTACACCTCATTGCCGTCGACGTGAGCCAGTCGCATGCAAATTGCTCGCCAATGACGAAGTGGCGTCCCCTTGCGTCGGTGTTCATCAACGCACTTGGTTACCCTCAACGGCAGGCACACTACAGTTAAAGGCAGCGGATCAACACCCTTCACATAGGAAATTGCAGGCAAAAAGACCTGTCTCACCCATCAGCTACTGGTGCCGGGTCACCGGACACTTGACAGTGCCCACGACATTTGCGACGCCCAATTGAATCTCGCTGCACAACCTTTCTTGCTCCTCACCTGTACGTTACTCCTCCACATGGAACAAGGGAAAGGTGCGACAGTCCGGTGATGGTTTCTAGACGCAAAGTGTAGAAGGTCCCCATTCTTTCGTGTCCAAGTGTCGTCGCTACAATTAGCATTAAAAATGGTCAGGTCTTTGAAGAAAAAACAATTACCTACCAAGTTAAGTTCCGCACAAACACACCATTACCATGCGCTGGTATCACACCTTCCGCCTGCCCATCTCGACATGGAGCTCCATCGTCTAATCGATGCCTAACATCACGACTAGATCTAGCACTTTCTGTGGGGTCTCACGACGGACTGATATGACAAGTTTGATACAGGTGGGATCACCTCGTAAACTCTCCTGTCACAGGTTCAGGACCATACCATTTTCAATGAGTAGAATTATCGGAGCTACCCTTCATAACTCTTATCAAGAATCGAAACTGCATTTTAGAGTAGACACAACTGAGCTCGAGATGCAACTTATCAGGTCAGAAGCAAGGTGCAAATACAGGAGGCTCGAGTCTGTTCGACTCCTATCCACTGAAGGCCACTAGCAAAGCTAATTCGGGTTACAGAGTCCATACTTCACTGATCAATGACCTAGGAAAGGGGCACTCTTTCAAGTCTCTACCTTCAAGCTCTTCTTCCTTACATCACCCCTCCTCGGGCCCTTCCCAAACACTAACAACCCGCGCAAAGACTATCTGGATCAAACACAGTGACGTAACTCAACTTGACGAAGACGTACACGTGACTCATAACAGCGAAAGCGTGACATGAGACTTTGTGCTATCGCAGTCAGTGCGCATCAATTCGCACTAGCTCTAAATCTGATGTGTGGAAGCCCAATTCGCCAAGTGACTGTTGAGTCGAAGCAGCTTTAGTGTCTTTTCCTATAAGTCAATACTGCTCCACAAAACTATCACCCCCTTGCAATCGAAGGTGACACCAGCCAAGGTCACGAGAAGACCAAACGTTGGTCGGCGCTCTTCGCTTCACCCTCATCGTTCTCAACGCTTCAGCGGCCCTGACGACACTTTCTGCTGAGTCACAGCGCATACTTGGAACGCGAGGCTTTAGATCTATAGCTTTAGCCCACCGCTAAAGGCTTACTACTAACTAATTCTCTGCTATTATCCTAGTGCTTAGTTCTACCCTCCCTTCTAAGGCAGTTCTATATACTAGTATAGCATAAGGTATAGCAATATATAAGCCTTAAGCATAGTTTAATAGTACTAAAGACTATCTAGTATAGTAAACTATAGACTATTAGAATTTCAAGTATATAGTACTATCATTAAGCAGAGTAATAAGTTTATAATTTAAAATATTAAAGTTAAGTTAAAATGGAGCTATAACTAAGGCAGACTTATATTATAAGAACTAGGGGTATCTCTCTAGCAGTAGCAGGATATTAAGATTATTATACTCTTAATCTAGTATAAAAAAACAATTAGACAGCGCTCAGCTACCTCAATCATTTGCCATACTCTGTGCGCATTCTTGCCTTCATTTGCCCGCGAACACCTTTATCAACCTTATGATCGAATGGCTGCTATATCATGCGTATGGCCCTCAGTCACATTATGATGATGATGCCGAGTGTCGTCGTGTTTGCTACTTTGCCGTTTTCTCGCGCTCTCCCGGTTCAGCCTTGCCGCTACTACCACAATCCGCTTGTACCGCGCATCCTCTGCCACCGCCGACAACACAATCAAATCATCGCTACTTCAACCTCGAGCCACGCAACATCACGAGGCGATATCGAAGCCAAGACAACATCAAGCGCGCCCGATAGCAACTTCAAGGGTATGTCAAAAGGAGTTGAGAGAACAGATAGAGGAGCTTGGGGAAACAAATGGAATTGCCGAGGAAGATCTGGAGCGCAAGGTCTCTGACATTAATGCACCGATTAAAAACGAGGAAGCAACCCACACCGAAGTGATCAGAAGGCAAGGCTACAGCCAAGATAATGAAGGCATCTCTACCGACCTGCGTCTGGTTACGACGTTCCAACGTGCAACACCCCAATTCATCATCCGAGCTAACCAGAGAGAAAATCATCCATGTAAGTCGCCAGACCTCGCATCGCGCTTGTCATGTACGTGCCCACATCCGAGAATAAATAGATTACAGAGCTCCCGAGGTATGAACACGTGTTCGATCGTGGGTTCAGCACATTGGACGCATCCCAAACACAGTCTTCAAAGACATTGTACCCTCCCTTCATGTTGTATAAAAGGAAAACCGCCACTGAATCTTCACTTTGTGAAGAATCTGGCTGCCGAACGCGCCCGGAAACAGCGATGATCGTCTCAACCAAACACTGCGAATATCCTTACTTCGCCTATGATATTCGTTACGTAGATGGCTCAACAAGATGAACTTCATGGGTCTCTGAAGGTGGGTGGGAGTAAGATAGTCGAATGTAGTAACGATGTAGTTGGGGCATGTGGCGTTCACGTCGAACGTGATGGGCATTGCTCGGGAGGTCGTCGGCTCATCTTCGGCCAGCCTTCGGGTGAACACGGCCAGTCCCCGGCAATACCGACGTTCGCCGATTCTATTTTTAGCCTTCACCCCCGGCGCAACGCCCTCAAATGCGCACGTGACCAAGTCGCCACACCCGCGCCTCATCAAGTTCTCATCAAGCTGCCTTCGCGACTAGGTCTTCGCCGTATCTATTTGCAAAGTGCTTGTACAATAGCCTGCGCCAATCATGATCTTGTGATCTGTGCACACGGCGAATGCTTTTGTGTTGCACGTCGCCATTGCTCCATTCCGAACCGTGTCGCGACGTGACACACGTTCGGTAAGACTTGTGCACGCTTACGGTGCTTCGCTTCATCCGTTGAGCTTTCAGGCACGACAAAGGCGACAATGAAGCGATTGTGTTGAAGCAGGTATTGCATCAACATTCAACGGAGCCTTTGACACCAGACAAAGGGTGAACAAGCGTTGAATGAAATTTATCTTGTCTCTTTGTCTGCATGGCTATTTCACCGCCAACGGCAAACTGCATATAAATGATCAAGTTGTTCGTTTGCTCTCCTGCAGCTCATCTATCGCCTCAATATATACGGTACCCTTTACCTTCAACGTTGAAAAAACCACCCCTTCCCCGTGTTAAGGTACAGCGTCTCCTCCGCATACTTTGTTCTCAAAGCACAATGGCCCCTAGCGCGAAAGCTGGATCATGAGGAGCGTCAACAGAACAAGGAGACACTGCATGCAGGAGCTTGAAGCCAAGATGCAGATTCTCCAAGAAACCGTCAACACACACGACAGAGAGCCTACCTCACGTCTCGACAACAGAATTGATGACATCGAACGAACCTTGAGGCGTCAACGCAGCAGGAATTCCGACCTTCAAGGAAACATCGACATGTTCACAGACGCGATAGCAGTTATCGACAGCCAGTTTGAGGGCATTGAGCGAACCTCGAGGCACCACAATCAACAACGTGATCAGGAAATACAAGAGCTTCAAGGTCGGATACGAGAGCTTCAAACGAGGGTCGATACGGCGAACATGCAGAGTAGGCCCAATAATCCACTCAGCAGGCGACCAACACAGTCGGTGACACTCTCCGAATCCCCTACTAGTCCATCATCCGGTCGTTCGGTGGCATCTGTCGCAAGTAGTGAAGCGACCGGAAGGCGTCCCACACCGACATCTGGAGACTCCTGGCTAACGACGCCGCTCAGTCCAAACTCGCGACGTACGAGGCACCCATCATGCGTGCCAGCAACCAACCGATTCGTCTCTCGTGGCAGACGCCCACAGTCGCTCAGTGGAATGGTGCGGCTGTCCAGTCCCCTCCCCTACGATGCGCCGCCACGCTCAAGCTTGTTCCTTACACCGCTCGAGACGGAGAATTTGGAGCACGAGCCCGTTCCACGTGGCCGTCGTTTTTCAACCGGCCACCGGAGCTCGGATCGTGAACCGCGGCCCTGGAGACAGCCAGCGAAGCGAACACCCACTGGACGTGTCCGCAAGCTAGACAAGCCGGGCTCGCGCACGGTCTGGAAGAATAACGTTTTGGTGGCGGCTGGTGCTGTCGCCTTGTTTCTCGCTGCAGGTGGCTATCGAGCAGTCGGTCGTTCTGATTCCTCGAACGTTTAAACGCGTATCGTTGATGCTCCCCTTCACCATACGATCGAAATCAGTCGAGTGACTCCGGCACGAAGCGGTGTCGGATAGATTTCATCCTGGGAGCAGGATCTTTGTACCTCATGGATGGCCAATTGGTGCCTCAAAATCACTTTTCACCGCAAGTAGTCACTCGATAGAATTTCCTTGTTTGTGACCGTCACCAAGTAATAACTGTCCAATTCATGTAACATTTGCTCTTGCCGTCCAGGCTTACACTTCTTTCCTACTCTCTCGTACAGCACCGTCAATCTGCAAGTTTGGGTTACTGCGAGTAATACGTTGCTACAACGGAATCTCTGATGATATCATGTCTACTGACGCTAATTGTAAAGTTGAAGTGTAAGGACGCTACGATGCTCCGTGTAACAGGATGAAGTGACGGGCTCAATTACGCAGGTCATTGTTCTCGAACGCACGACTTATGAGGTTCCATGGTATCGAACACCAACATTGACCGGAAGCTCAAACCAGATTTTGAACAGACCGTCCGGTCTCGCCGGCTTGCAAGGCCAGTACGTCCCTAACTTCTACATACTTGTCAAAGTCCAGCAAGAGAGCGGTTCTGCTCCATACGTTAGGGCATGAAGTGCACTTACCGCGATGCACTGGTGGACACGTCAAGGGAGAATGGCTTTGGAAAGGCAGAGGTGAGCTGAAGGCACGGAGCTTGACTCTCGTCTGGGCCATGAGACACAGCACTATGGAGTTTATTGATCACCATTTACTAGTACCGCAACAATACTGAGCACTCGGTGCGATTTTCTTGCCTATGCTACTAATTGATCATACGGTGAAGTGACCTTGTGATCCAGGCGGGCAACAACGCCGGACCCAACACGCGCATCCCAATTGAACGGCGCCTGTCCGAACCTCGCCTCGCCGGTGGCTGTTTCGACGTCGTCGCTGTCTGTCTTTCGGGGTCGCAGCACGTGTGGAGATTAACACGGCCTGATTGACGGTGAAGTTCAGCAGTCTCGCTTGTCACATACGTAGATGTCATCCATCGGGGATGCATGCCGCGATAGGAAGTATCTCGATGAGTGAAGAGATCGACGTCGGGGATTGAGAGAGGATGGCGTGCTTCACGGGCAGCTTAATGCGCTCTACTTTGGGGCGCCCGGCTGTAACGTCGCCGTTGCAGTTGATGCCCACGCGGTCGACCATGGCGTGGAACGCATAGGTTTAGTCGAAAAAACTCATCAGGTGGCAGGAGGTCCCAAAGTTGAGGTCACAGTACGGGTTCGGGTGACCATCTACCGTGAACGTCTGGATGCCAACAGTGACGGCGGGGCCATGCTAGTACCTGATGTATCCAGGCTGCATCTGGAAGAGCGCTTAGATAGCTGTGGCTGCCTGCACGCCTTCTCGGTCTGGAAAGTCGTCAAGACTGGAGAGACGTACGGTATGTTCCAGGTCAATACCAAAAGCGACATCATTGCGGATGTCCAACCAGTTAGGAGCCTCGAACCCTGTGTCAACTTCTTCTTCGTGTTGCATGCCAGCTATGTCAAACTCTAGATACCCGGGAAAGACTCGAGTGTAGCAGACTAATGACCTGATGAGTCTGTTTCTAGTCGGATCGGAATAGGGACCGCGCGTGAGGCATTGTTCACGAGTGAGGGGGGAGGAAAAAGTGACACTTGACCAACCTGGCTGATGAGTCGGTACGCATGCCGATGGGAGACGGCGAAGACAACCGAGCCGCGCTCCGCCACTCGTACGATTGCTAGCAAGTGTGGGGCACCGGGCCGGCCCTTCCCAGCGCCATCGATTGGTCCGCTCCGCGCATGGGTGCTCGACGATGCAACTTCAGTACCCAGTGCAGCGCTGGAGTCTGGTCTGAGCGGTGATCGATGAGGGAGGTATGGCAGCGATTGGGCGGGGGAGGAGGGAGTGTAAGCGGGGTGTTGGAGCTGTTCTGGTGAGCTAGTATGCTGCATTATGCGTGAGAGTAGTCGGGCGGTCGATGGATACAGTCGCCACGCGGTCACTTGGGAACTCAGCAGAGTTCTGCGCGTGTGGCCTGCGAGAACAGTGATGGTCGCGCTACAGCCACAGCCACAGCCACACTTTCAGCCACCGCCACGGCCAGTCTGTTCACGGACGCTCCGCAATGTTTTCGATGCCTACGTAGACACAGCGCCGGTATCAATGCGCCGCTATCTCAATGGGTCTTCGTGAACCTTTGTCTCGTTGTTTGGCATCTTTCGTCCGCCGAGCCACTGATTCACGTAGCTGCGCTCCCCTCAAGCCGTCAGCGGCCTGTATTTCCATCACAACACGCGGTCCCGCGTCTTCCTTCTTCACTTGCATCCTCGTCAGCAAGCTGACCGCAATTCTTGACGCGCCGCCTTACCAGTCCCCTCATCTTAGCCAATTCTCCTCGCGTGCCCTGTCCACGCCCGGCAATCTTCTCGGGATGCGCGTGCTTCTGCTAGAACTGCTGTTAAAGCTCGTGGCGGCAGAGGGCGGTATTCCACCGTCTAATTGCCCTTTGCGGTCTGAATGGCGCCGGTTCTCTCTACAATGCACATGTAGCCTCCACCTCGCTTGGCCTTAGACAAACTTGCACAAGCTTGCACAAGCTTGCGTGGGCGTCAACGGCCATGTACCGCGCTGCCCTTCGTCGCGTGTGATCGTTCCTCGTCGACGTATCTTTCCCCAACGGGACCCTGCGCCTCATCTCTCCCCTCGGTATGGGCTGGAACTTGAACGTGCGTTGCTTAATCTCGATACCTCGTCCGACCGCATCTTCGCTGATCCATGGCAAGCACACGCCACAACCTGCGATGATGATTCGGAGATACCTGCCAAGATGTTCATACATCCATAGCGAATCTCGATGGCAAAGCACACGTATCAACAAGAACGCAGACGCTGGACGATGTTCCCTAGCCCTCTGGACTGGACACTCGCAGAAACACGTCCATCGCGTCAGTCCAAAGAGCTCCCGTGTAAATATCTGTCATACTACATTCCCACCCTGCTTACTGCAGACTTCTAACGCGCCAGCCCTCCTGCAACAAGCTAAAACAAAGATGGCGAACGAATCGGGCCGCGCACATTGTGACAGCAACGTCTGGCCCTCGTTTATGCTGCAATGAAGTGTGTCTATGTAGGGCTTCCGCTCAAGGCACAAGTCGGTCTTTCCAGCCAGCTAGCTGGTTGCCTGACGCTCGCGGCCCCGAACGCGTGCATCGCACGTCGAAACGCCGTTCTTAGCGCCGACCAATCAGAAGGCGCGTACCTCCGGCTCCCCAAGGAAGCATGGGCACGTGTTTCATCCGCTACGCATCATTTTTTTCATCATTTCGTCGAGCTACTTTGTCTATTGCTGCTATGTTGCACAGCGCGTACCTGCTGCCAGGGAAAGGGCCGCGCCGGGAGTTCGCGTGGCTTCGTTCTTTGCGACGTTCAGGCTCTGATTCGACATACGCCGACGATGAGATGGACTTGAATCTTGCTCATACGCGTCGCGGACGTGATCTTCCCGGTTTTTAGTAATATATGCACGGATTTGTGAGGGCTTGTGAGGGCGTTGGCGCATACACACAACACTGCATAGGTCTTTTCATGACGGGCAAACAGTATAGTTGTACGGGTGGGTGGTTGACCGCTCACCCGAGAGCACAGAGTGTCGGCTTTCGTGGTGTCATACGGCAGACTTCGAGATTGAATCGAGGTATGTGTACGAACTCCTGGTCATCGTGATTCCATTTATGAGCCGTGCAGTGCCATCCTGGTGACTACATCGTGACTTCATGCTGTAAACAGTTCCTATGTGTTACGAGATTAACGGAGTCAGAAGGAGATTAGAGGAATACTGGAGTCGCAACACACATGAGAAGACACGAGTGAAGTGCTTTGATGTTTTGTTTTACGTCGAAAGACTTGATTACTTGCCGGAAGACTATCCATCTAGACAAAAGTAGTTATCGCACTGGATGCAAGCTTCCCAACGTTGCATAACCGACGGTGCCGCTCGCACTAAGTCAACACGCTCACGTCCTTTCTCACTCTACTTGCCCAAAACGCTTTGTAGTCCTCGTCTCTGCTCTGCAACTTCCTCCAAGGTTCTACTCGTGCTCTTGACGATCCTCTTTAAGCACTTTGATCTTGACGTCCTCGCAGCCACGGTCAACGTCGCTCTCCTCGCGGTCATCGGAGTCATTCTCTTCGTATCCACTGTCCCTGTCGTTGCCGGCGTGGTTGTTCTTGTCAATCTGCGTGCCGTGGAACGGGCGTGAGACGGGCTGTTTGCCGAGAACCAAGTACACGGGAACTGCATTTTCGATCGTGGCGTTACGAACACCTTCTCGCTCTTCGCCTGAAGGGTGTCAGTCGGTGTTGCAAACGCAAAAAGAGCAGAAGAAGATACCAAGGTGTATCCACCGGTGGGCATCATGAACCGAAGGACGCCTAATCACATAGAGACTGGTGGCAACATGGTGTTCTGTGATCCTACTACTATTGTTGGTCATGGCGTCAAAGTAAGTCTGTGTTGCGCTATCAATAAGCTCCTGGAGCACTGCTGTCCGTCAGCGCATGTGGCAAGTGGTACACAAGAAAAGACAAACGGTCAATTGTGACCATGTTGTAGCCTGCACGTGCAAGAGGCACGGTTTTGCTATGCTCTTCTTGATCCTTATCCTCTGCTTCTTTCTTCCTTTCCATCGTCTTCTCATCGTGCCTGCGCAGGGCCTCGCTGCCGAGTGGCTCATTCTCCTTGTTGCGAAGCTTGAGTTTTCGCGGAAAGTTGATGATAAGATCATCTTCATCGGAAACGTACGCCTGCGCTGAGAGAGCCAGGCCGTTGTACATGGGGCTCGACATGGTAGAGCTGGGATACGGCTTGCTGACAGTGACTGATGCGAACGTGAAAGATACGAGGAAAACCGCAGACTGTAGTCAAATCGCTTTTTCCAGCTGTCGATGAGTATTGCGAGTTCGCTCGAGCGACGTGGTTGGGGATCTACAACTCGCTTACGCGAGCAGGCCCACGTGCTCCTGACCTTCATCGCATGTAGGTGGAACAACCCACGGGTCAACCCGCTAAAATCACTAGCGCGGGATAAAAGCGAGGGGCAAGACAGAAAAACGGCGCGAATTGAATTTACTGAGATTTTCGACAATGCAGGTGACCTCGTGCATCTATCTATGATACTGCAATCCGCAGCATGCGCTGTGTGTACATGAAGTGTTCAAACGCACAGAGCATAGAATGGAAATGGCCTCTCCCGCTAGTGGCGGTGGAAGATTGGGTGGGTTGGGCAGCAACTGAAAGCACGGGGGCCCTGGTAGTAAACGCGTCGCGCTTCTAGCAGGAGTTTTGACCCTGTAGACGCCAGGAAAGTTTCTTCCAAGTGCTTATTTTCGCGTCGCCTTTCTTCAGCGGCCGTCTCAGGATGACTAGTACAACTAATCATGTTATCAAACGTCCGCCAAACAGCCCAGTCGCGGTGATCGTGGAGAACGAAGTCGGGAACCTCCACATCAGACTTTATCCTAAAACGCGGGAGTTGCCTGCGGTTCATTTCAGCTCATGCTCTCGCACGTAGATCGAGTTCAAAAGACTCTTGCTTCTCGACTAGCGTTGTCGGCGGCAACTATAAGTGTGTCAGGAATGAGGCGTACCTTTCTGAGCTTCAAGCCAGCCACTGAGCGCCTGTCTCTCCGCACGGACGGCTCCGTGGTTGCCACTAGTGACGGAGAATGGGGTTGAGCCTCAGCCATACCAGCGATGATAATTACCTTGCCTACTTCAAGGGTGCTGGTCAGGGCGGCATCGGACTTCGAGACCGTGTATGTGTCGGCAGAGTCAACGTCCTTGATCACAGACTTCGGAAAGCCTTGCGTAACTGCCTGTCGGCCATTGTGAGGCGAAGAACATGCTGGCATTGTCGAGAGTATTTTCGCTGGGATTAGAGGATTTGCTGTGAAGGAGGCGGACTCGAAACTCGAGGTTTTGCTCCGAAGGTAAGGTGAAGTTGCTAAGAGAGCGAGTGACGCTAGCCCAATAAATAGTGAGGCAGTCAATCTGTCTCTCGCCGACTTCACTTCGTTGACCTTCCTTGCTTATTTGCACCTGTCAACCGTAATCTCGGTATTGCTTTCGAACGTAACTCCAGCAAAACCTCCAATCTACCGTCGCATAACCACAGAAAAGCTCTCTGTGTTCATCCGTCATCTGGGATGTACGTTGTCGAGCACGAAATTATTCGAGCCGAAGCGTCTGACCTCTCTGTTAGACAGCGATCGGCAGCCCCAACTCAAGTGCCAATCCTACTCGAGAAGACCATGGCCGGCACCAATCGCTCCACGGATCATGAGGTAGACGGGCATCACGGCCAAAACGCGACTGCGAATAGCACGACTCGAGCGAATGACGAGTATATGCACCGCGCCGAAACACTCCAAGCTACCCTCATCGATTCCAATAACATGAAGCCCAAAACTCCGCCGCCACACGCAGCTTTCAACGGCGCAAAGTCTCCATATTGCATGTTCGACATCGACAACGAAGGCGATAAATCTTCGACCCATGTCGGTGTCTTGACGCCCGAGAAACGCAAGCGCAAGCGTGACATCGATGGTGAAGTTGACGATGAAGCTGGTGACGATGTTGCCCTAGAAGCACACTCTTCGGACCTTGCTATGGACATAGTGAACGATGAATGGCTCGAACAGATGAAGGGGCTCAAGAAGGAAAAGGGAAAAGATAACGCGTAGGCTGCACCTGATGATACTGTGATTGAAGGCCGAACATTGACGAAGCCCAGATTCAAGACTAAGAAACGAAGGGAGGAGGATCAGCAAACGCGCGCACTACCTCTCAGCCCACACCCTCGCACCGCTATCAGCAGGAGTCCACTCGAAGACGTGCGCAATTCTCCGCCGCCACGTGACGTTTTCTTTGAACCAACAGCTGCTCAGATAGGTTGGTTCGCAAGAATCTGTGACCTTGTTCTCGATGTGGATCCGGACGCGCTTCGGGCGTTCATCTCAGATGGCAGTGTGGGTTGACGGCTTCCTTTACATGTCAAGGTTCTTTGAAGGTACAGAAGGTTCTGCGGCACGACACATACGTTGTTGCGCAATGAACCATTTCATTGGTTCGGGCAGTCGTGTCCTACTGAAGGGAGAGGCAGTTACTACTCTATGTAGGGAGAAAATGCTCAGATGATGGGAGCTTTACCAGAGACGCACAATGGCGGGGTGTGTAGACAAGGTGCTAACCAACCACAATCAGGTTCTACGGGGTGGCTCAAAATGTTTGCAACCCAGCATCGTAGCTAATTCGCAACTCCTCGTTTTTGTATGCTCTGATGGATGTCATCACATTGCCGTGGTCTTGCCGTGATGTCGCGAGGAACACCGTCATGCATGTTTGAACTTAGCATCACGAGGGACGAGGCTCATATGTGCCAGTGTTTTCGAGCAAAGGTGATTTGTCCATTGCTCAACTGCTACGTAAGGCTGTGTAATACCAGGCAAGGCACTTTTGTTCCAATCCGAAATCACTTGCCTCGGCCTGGTTAAGTGAAAGCCGTCTCGCATCACGCCTTACCGATTTGGGAACTGCCGCATTAGGAAGGTCTGCTGCGATGTCGATTGCTGGCGTTCACTTTGCAGACAAAGAGGACCCTGACTATTACTAGCTCCACTTGCGGGCGGCACTGCCTAGTCCGTCAACCCGGCCGTACATGTTCATGCAAACGCCTTTGCGAGCCTAGTATCTCCAGCGTAAAGTCGCGATGTAATCTCGTGTCATTATGATGATGGCATATCTAAATGATTACTCAAATCCTTGCACACTTTCATCCCTGAGTTGCCAGTCTTCAAAACGCTGATTAGGAGGCTGCCTTGTCTCGGCGTCCTCTCAACTTTCTCACTCTTTGATGATCATAAACCAATATCCAGACACCGTCCACATGACTGTCGTACCCAACCCCAAGCATAATTTACTCGTTGATACATCTAACTCCAATTCAGAGCTGATGTAACGACCAACTACCCCACCAATAACACCCATCCAAACGACGAAGAACCCCACCTCCCACGCCTTCTTCTTTACCTCTCTCCATCGATCCTCCTGCTCTTTCTCTAAGTCGCCTCGCATTGACGTACCCCATTCATTAGCAAGCATTGTTACGAAACTCCAGGCCTGAATTGCTGGCAGCGGTATCATGTAGAATAGCGCAGCCGGGATGGACCACACCCACTCGCCCCACGTAGGATTGATAGGATTCCTTGTCTTCAGATAAACAGCGGTCAACAAGAACTTTGCTATGAAGTCCCTGGGTACAAATCGCATGAAAGGGCTGACGCCGACAAGGAAGTACGACATCATTGTTGTAAAAATGATAAAGGACGTGACCTCCCGCCGCAATGCAGCATAGAAGAAGAGCGGTGGTTGATGGAGGTACATGGTTGGATGGACATAAGACTCGATGTGCACAGCTCGAGCCCAGCGAACTTGCTGCAGGAGCCAGCGACGGAGAGTGACAGGTGTTTCAGTAGCAGTTATTGCGTGCGGGATATAGCGGACGCGATAGCCTAGGAGAAGTAGACGAGTAGTCATATGCCTATCTTCATTGACGATCTGCCACGTGTCAGTCTGCACTTTGAGCATGAATCACACATTAGCACTGACCATCCAGTTTCCAAACACAGTCTGCTTGTACCACCTCAAAAGTTCAGGCTTAAGGGACTTGATGCGAAACGCTGCACAAGGCCCACTCTGGCAGTCGTTGGAGCCCACAGCACTTGAAAAGCACCTTGAAAGATGCAAATCGTTCAGGTAGATCGTATTCCCTAGCGTCGTGACAAGATTGTCCTTGCGGTTGTGGATATTCAGCGCGGTACTGGCTCCTGCGCACTTGTCATCCCCATGAATGGTTTCAATTGTTGTCTTGATGGTGTCTCTGTAGACCATGGAATCCGAGTCGGAGGTCCACACAAACTCGATGTCCAGAAGTTCAGATACAGCAAAACAAATGATGAAGGAAGTAAACATGATACCCTTCTTGTGCATGTGAGGCTGGGTAACACATAAATGCGTTACGGCATTAGGGCCGGTAAGATGGATTTGATTTTCGAGCAAGGTCTGCTTGGCCAAAGTGACACATTTATCAACAACGCTTGTGTCGTAGCCCCGCGTGTCAATGTCGCGGTCCATCTGCAGTGCAATATCCACGAGCGGAATGGGGAGATTGAGAACTGCCGAGTGACTGGGGTAGACCTGCTCGACATCAGATAAAGCACGAGATATGTGGATGGTGGAAAGCAGATGAAGCGACACACTTTTCGAAATATGTCAACCATATCGTCGTCCTTTGGCTCGTTACCATCAATGCAGGTCAGCACGAACTGACAGCCCTCAGCATCCAAGTAACTTTCGAGAGCCTTCTTGAATATATCTGGATCCTCGCGATATCCTACGATTGCAGCAATGCAACCGAGGTGCAACTTCTTGGGATGCATGCCGTGTTCCCCCTTCTCTGCCATATTCAGATCGAGAGGAATCTCGCTTTTTTCTTGTTGATATCTTTGACCATGTTTTCGAACTCTCTCGTTAGCCCAACCGCAGTATTCTGCTAGATAAACAGTGAGGATTGTGTCAAAAGTATAGAGATAATCGGACCAGTATAGTGTAAGGTAGAAGTAAAGCACAGTTGCAACTACGCAGCCGATGAGATTATAGACTTTGGTGAACGTGGTCACAAGACCTTGGGTTTCTGCCTCTGCGGAGTCATTTTTACGCACATCTTCAGGCTCTGGAGATGCAAGTGAATAGAAAAATGAGCAAAGCCGTTGAAAATCTGTGCAAACTGTAAGTGGGTTCATGATAGAGAGCAGTTGACGACAGATGATAGTGACCATAGGATACTGCTTCCTTTATCACGAACCCAGTTGATGCATCTGCAGTATTGTCCACATCCATACAGTTGCGCGTCCACGTTTGGCGTCGGGGAGAAGCTCGGCGATGTACAACCTATCTTCGTCACTGTAGATTAAGCGCCAACATGAAAGAGCTATCATTACTAATTACTGCGGCTTCTTCGGTATTTTGTGCAAATGGGGTGGACTGATAGAAGTTGTCACGGCTTAATTACGGATTTATGGTATTCGGTTGTACTTTTTGCTGTTGCAATATGCCAAGACAGACTTGGCTTACTACCAAGAACTCGCTTGCTTCAGAAATCACGTCAGTGCTGCGATAAATACTTCGGTCGATCTATCGTCCAGGCTTTTCGAGGCACGAAGGGCCTTTTCTGTACTATGGAAGATACCGGTCCCGCACTGCTCCGCGTCACTCCGGGGCAATTCACAGAGCCGATGCACCAGGCGTAGACATCTAAACTGTACATGTAGGAATTGTGTTTCAATAAATATTATACAGCCAACATAAGTGCAGGCGGAACACTCTTGGAGGAAAGGAGATTGTGTCATCTGACTAGGTAACGAACCCTAGGTTCTGAAGTGTAGACTCGATATATCAGGTCCTCTGCTATACATCGCACATCAATTACGAATCGAGAAAAAACAACAATGACAATACGTCATCAGGCACTTGTACTGATCTATTCACTACAAGTCGGGCGTTTGAGCGGATTGGAATACGAGAAGCCCCACAACTAAACCCTCCAGTATAACATGATTGTTACGCATAAGACAATCGGCATCGAGCAGCGGCATTGGTAGCGCACATTTCAGCCTGTTTAGGTATCTCTCTTGTATAACATAGATTGATACCTATAGTACAGGTGACAGAAACCGGATCATTGTTTCATCATTGTCCCATCTAAACCGGACGTAAAAGTGCAGCTTCGTACAATTATTGGCTTCAAGCGTCATTTCCGGATTACTACAAGGCCCGCATTCTCTCTGAGCCTCAAGATTCCATCGGAATCCATACTGGGACTCTCGAAACGCTCAAGACACCACCTGTGTGCTTCTGCTTCCCAGCCCAAGGAAGTAGATGTGGATGTATAAACGACCTAAACGGCACCTCTGACGGTGAGTCTTTTTCTGATGTTCTAAATCATCCTCTATACTGACAACTGTAAGACTGAGCTTCAACGCTGGGAGGCTAGGTTGCTGTCACCCAATATCGTTACTACACAACTCATCCTACTGCACTTCTGTTAAGGAAGATCTTCGTAGCATGGCCGCGAAGCTGACCCCTCCGGACAGAGAGATCTGGTTGGATGGCTTGCGAGGCGTCGCGGCAGTCATCGTTGTATGGTTCCATATGACGGCTGGAAAACTTGACACCCCCTACCAGTCCTTTTGGGACGCGCCAGCATCTGCAAATCGCCATTTTTTTCAGCTTGTACCCTTTCGAACGCTTTTCGCGGGGCCGGGAATGGTTGATATCTTCTTTGTCGTATCTGGCTACTCTATCTCAGTACGCCTGATCAAACTACGTCACGAGGGCTCCTTCCTAGTGTTCTATCAAAGATTGACGAGTAGTGTGGTCAGAAGAATGTTCCGGCTATGCTTTCCGGTTGCAGTCATGATGGTGGGCAGCCATGTGCTCTACTACGCTGGAGCTTATACCATTACGTTTAGAGCGGGCACTGGGTGTCCAGGCGCTGAGCCGTGGAGGTCCCCGGTTCCGCATATACAGTGTCTGGTCCGGTCTTTCATTAGCATCATAAATGCCGAGAATATCCAAAACCTTACACTCAACGATCGTAAGTAGATCGAGACGTATGTGTTGACGCTTCTCTGACCATCTTGTCAGACTTCTGGACAATCCCTGTCGAGATCCGCGGCTCGATGAAAGTGTATCTGACACTGTTTGGGCTATCGAACGTCCGCGAGCCAGTGAGAAAATTGATCATAGTACTACTCTGTCTGCGATCATGGTGGAACGGAACGCCGGAGTTCATGGCTTTCTTCTCCGGGGTTTTGTTCGCAGAATCCAACGCTTCTGCAATGATGAAGCAACCCGATATGCAGACACTTGTGTCCTCTTCTCATCGCGATCATCAGGACTCTAGTAAGGCAGACCTGAGACCAACCCGAATGGCTACTCTAATGAAGTATCTGGTTTTTCTTCTTGGCATCTACCTGGTTTCTCTGCCAATAAGAATCCAGTCCGACGGTTCTATTGACGCAAACTTTCCGCCGGACTGGTTCTTTCTCAAATTATTCCCTCCACTGTCATGGTGGAACACGGAAACAACGATGCGCACATGGCATACGTTCGGCGCCATCTTGGTTGTTGGTAGCATGCGGGTGTTACATCGACTGAGGGCACCTTTTGAAACCAGGGCAGCACAGTTCCTCGGTCACATCTCATTTAGCTTGTACCTCTGCCACCAGACGGTCCTTCGCATCATGTTACACTGGGCTCTGCACTGGACAAGTCTATGCGTAACCGGCGTAGGCTATCTTGACGCTTATACACAGGGCAACTGGACAATAGTTTTCGTGGCCTGGATATTAACAGTTCCTCTTATAACGACTGTATTGCTGCTGACAAGTGTATACATGGCAAAAGCAGTGGACCAAAGGAGTATTGTGATAGGATCCAAAGTAGAGAGACTGCTTTGTAAATAGGACTATCGAGTACTCTAAGGTATTGCTGTTTCGCCATTTCTACCTGATGACAGGTGGGTACATGAGTTTTCGTTGAGAATGACTGACATGTAGCAGCTTCTTGTTGAGATAGTGGGTGGCAAATGTCCAAAAGCGAGTACGGTTCTCGGAGTAACCTATCAGCTGGCTTTCGCGGGTGTCTCTGAGGCTGGAGATTTGCTTCACTCACGTTTCTTGGGCCGTGACTCTGCTTTACATTTGTTGTCTCTACAATAACTGAACTATGATATACTTACCTTGGTCAACTGGATCTCAATCCCCACTTCTGAGGTGGCCTATCTATCGTATATCCCTCGGTACTACATCACCGGGAAATAGATAGTCATCAACTTGGCCAGGTCCGCGCGGTTGGGGTCTGTGCCTTGCCAATGGAACTGGTGCTGTACCCAGTACCGAAGGCTCCGAAGCGACTTCCTAGTCAGTACTTCACGATCTTCGCTGGTTAATTTTGAGCGACAGCACAGTTGCAAGAGCATAAGGACCACGTAACGTGATATCCAGCGGGGGAAGGCTTCGTATGGGCTTGAAATAGCCATTTGTGCGATCTCAACCTTTCCTGTTTCACGGGAACGAAGTCCACGAAGCATTTCAGAGAGACCGCGAGGTCTCGACCGAGGCCCGTGGCAACGGATACGACCGCGACGTTCGTTTAAGCATCGCTGACCGCATCATAGCTACTGGCGTGGCTGCCACTTGTGCGACTTGCCTTCAATCCACTCCTCCTGCCACCGCTCCTCATATGACGCTATCAGCATCGAGGTTACCGAAGACAAGAAGTGGCTCAACGTCTGCTGCAATGGATAGGATCAACACTGTCAGTAAGACCGATGTCAAGCGCTCCAAGAAGGTTGAGCAAAATAACGTCGGCAACAAAAGGTCCCTCAGGACACGCACGCCAACGACGGAGCTGACAAAGGTATCTGTCACGATGCGCTGCGAGCGTCTGAATTGCACAGCATTGAGCTGCAGCCAGTCGGAGCAGAAATCAATCTTCACACACATCTTCATGACACAACAACTGCTCGCCACCAGCCCGCCGGCCACCAGCCCACCATTAGCCCACCCGAAAGACCCGCGTACCACCAATTATGCCACAAACTGCACCTCATCTCATGCGCCGTTCTACCCGCCACGACCCACTACTACCCACCACCGCTAGCACCTACTCGCCGTCAGCCAGCCCGTCGTCACCCGTTTCCGAGCTGCCTGCTTGTCTGCGACCAGCCCATCCGCCCACAGCCAGATGCGCCCTGTGATGACGACCAGACCGCCCGATATCGGTTTCTTCGCACCGTATCTACCCGCAACAATCGGCTTGTCACACCCCATTGTCACCACCTGCGTGCCGTAAACTCGCGCCGCGCCCGTCGCACACAGCTAACGCTCATTCCTCTAAGCTCAGCACAGATGCCCGCCGGGAGCACGGTGGCTTACCATCCACTCCCTCGCACGTTGCGAGTCTGCCCACCCACCCGCCGCCCATGCCTCCAACCGGCGCGCCCTGCATCACCCGCCGCTCGAGCTGTCCGTCAGCGGGCACGCGTGATACTAGTGATACCTACCAGCCAGTCCGTCGCGGGCTGTCACTGTTTACCTGCTACCGCCCAGCTCGTACGGTCTGTGCTCTTGCACTGCCTCATTCGTTCCAGCACTTTGTATAACAACCCAGTTTTGATCAAGTTCTAGGATGGGAAACGGTCTAATGAAAGTGTCACGCAACCTTCCCAAATCCAGTCTATCACTTTTGATTGCTCTTAACTTTGAAGCGATGCAATCGCGATGCTCCGCCTCCGAGCTAGCAGTATTCTGTGAGGTATCCAGCTGGTCGGCTTCCGGTACCACGTTTCTATCCTGGATGTGCTCTGATTCTGACATGCCGGCAGTCGCGTCCTTGATCGTCTCGCAGGAACAACGGCTTTTGGTATGGTCGTTCTGCGGAAGGAACTTGCTTGCAGCAGATGCTGAGTGCCAGCTCTCCATACTTTTTCTGCACAATCTACTCGCTTGAACTGTTCCACTCGCTGCTCGTCCACAACGGCCTGTCATCGCTACCGCCTGCTCTCCACTAGCCTACTTGCCCATGATCAGCCCGCTCGCTGTGGCCCGTCCATTGTCAGTTAGTCCATCGCTGGCTGCTCCGCGCGCTGTCCTCCCGCCATGGCCTGGTTCTCGTATGGCCCGGCCATCCATCAGCCGTCATTTTTGCTCATCATCCAGGCCTATATTATGGAAAGCCATAGTCTCAAAGGACTAGCACGATACCGTTGCCCAGTCTGACACGCTCCGGAACCGAGACAGAAGCTGAGAGTAGCTCTAATTCAGATACAGGATAAATGCGTCCTCGAAAGCACTTCCGTATTATACTTCCACGCGTGAACTACCACTACCATAGTATCTGTCGCCTTGGTCCTCTTCTGGCTGGCTTGCCCCCAAGTCCATCTCCATCTATCGTCCGCGAAGCAATTTCCCCCCCAAACGAGGCCACATCCCTATCCATTCACCACGGTCTTGGATGGGTCCATCGCGTCCATCTTGAAGACCGATAGGTCATCGTCATGTTGTTTACCAACCGCCAACTTCAATTGTATCATCGAGCCGTAGGTCGGAAACGGTGCGCGCTGCATCAGAGCACGTGTGCTCCTCGAGCATACCGCATGTCTTTCAGCAACAGGCGTTCGTACAGTTGAACCCGCAATGCAGCAGCTCCGCTAGGCTGCACGAACACGAATATCCGGGAACATCCGGGATCTCATCTTCTCTGCACACCAAGTGCGTCGCCGGCCACTCCGAATTATGGCCGCGTCTTCACGCGAGCTGTCATCGCCCAGCGATTGACTCGTGCACCCGGCTCCCAGTAGCTGCGTGGCTTTGTTGAGAAATCGAGAGACATGGCCACGAAACAGCAAGAGTGGCGTGCGTGCAGCCCGAGGGTGTGTTGCAGTGACACGCCCTCCTTTCCCACGCGCAAGCTTGTCGCGCTGGATGGACGGAGGTGGGCGGCGATTGTATGTGAGCGGGCTAGGGCAGACGTAGAGGCTGTATATTCTGGTGTTGAGCATGTGCGACACGTGCCAGTACTCGAGCGATGCGTCGGCTGCCTCTTGGAGAGCTTGTCACGATGTGAGGCTGGAACGTCGTGGACAGGTGTGGGGCAGGCGCGAGGCTACATCGCGGCACGTACAAGTTGGAGAGGCGTCTTGGTTTCCTAGAAACACTACACGTCTTCACAAATCACAGTGACCCTGAGGCTGGGAGGTCGTGCTGGTCGGACGCTGCCGAGCTCTGCCAAGCTGAAACTGCAATTGTGAGCACTGGTATTTTAGTGTTCCTAGCGACATTAGAGGAAGTAGAACAAAGACATTGTACGTGTCAAGCAATAGTCAGATGGATGTTCCGGTGTTCAATGACGACGACTCAATCCGTGCTCTGACGGCTCGCAGACCGTGGCTCGCTCGATGCACCCAATCAGAACGCCTGACGGACACCCCGGTTGCTTAGTACCGGATCGCGCCGCTCCCACCCGTGCTCGGCCTCGCAAGTCCTCCGAAGAACGGCCAGCAACCGACGCGCGCCACAGCCTCGGCTTTAATGTCCGCACGATCTGCTCAGCGGCCTTGCTGGATCGGGATTAGTTTGTTGTGGATTCCATGAACGAGATATTGAAAGTCATCTGCATCTTCTTCGACCCTTCTACCTCCCATCCCCCCGCTCAAAGAGTACCTTTGCCTTTCCGAGAATTACTCTAAAACCTTACCAGCAAACCTTCTCGATATATCTCTGGCCCCCTTCCTCACCCTCTTCTCCTTGTACGGTGACGGATCTGAAGGGCGATAGGGAGAATGGAGTCGATCCCAGATTCAAAAACACTACGGTTTCTTGTTACAATTTTACCGCCTTGCCGCCTTCGTACATTCAGCGTGTCCGACTGTCGGAAGCAACCCCAGAACAATTCGAGATCTAACGACGTTGGATTAAAATTCTACTGTTCTGTCAGCCAGTGCGCATTTTCAAGAATGCTTATGCATGGTACCTACAAGTTCAAAGACATCTTGCTGCAATTTTGATTCTGCTGGCCACACATTACGCCGTGTACGCCCACCGCACCCGACATGCTGAGATGAGATGAACACAGGAAGCGGTTCGAGACTAAGAATGGACGCAAAGAGATCGTTGCTGTGTGTTCACTCTCCACCTCTCATGCCACCTCCTATGCCACGCGTTTGTACACGAGCACGTCACTATCTGCTCGTTACTGCTGAGAGCTGGGATGTTCTCACCGCATCACTACTCTGGCGCTCTGACGTCTGAAGCTGCATAGCCCCTAGAAGCGCCCATACCGTGTGAGGCAGCTCGTAACTCTTCAATCGAAAGGCAATCTTCTGCCACGCCCTAGTGAAGACGCCTACTCTCTACTGATGCAAAATATGGCAGTGTAGTCTGTTGGGAGCTTGCGTGAGTTCGGAGCGCCGGCGATTGGTGGTATGCCGGTGTTGATGGCTTGATCAAAACGTGCGCAGACCCGGACTCTACAATCTCTGGGACTGTGCACTTGCGCTGGGCGCTCTGAAGTGACCAAATCCGCAGTTGTTTCTGCACCATGGCTTGTCGGGTTGCTGACGTCGTGGGTGTGAGGAGGCTGGCGAGGTCAGCCTGGGAGGGTCATAACGTAGTTGGTTGTGACTGATCGATGCAGTAGATGCGTTCTCTGGGGTGGGTGTAACCCTCAGCTGCTGTTTCATGTGAGCTAAATTTTCTTTCCTCTGAAGCAGGTTACGCGCATACAGACAGGGTGACGGCGTAGCCAGCGCGTGCCCAGTGCTTCATCGCTAACCACGCGCGCATGGGACTGCAGTCAATATAGGTGGCGTGCATGTTTACAGTCGTGAAGTCTAGCTGTCAACAACTCATGGTTGGCAAGATCCTGTGCGGACATTCTCTTCATCTGCAGCTGCGCCTCTCGGCCATTGTGTGCGAGACGAATGACAACTCTTCGATGCAAGAAGGACGCCGGCATGAACGATAATGAAGATTTAGGCTTCCGACATGCAATCTAAGCCCGCTCAAAATCAGCGGGATGTGTGGCACATCGCTACTCCGGGAATCGGGTTCTTCGCACCGGTCGTACGGGATTGCACGGGTTACGGAGACGTTAAGGACATGTGGTCTGATGAGACGTGTTCAAGTGACATATATGAAGTGAAAATAAAGATTACTTTGCTTTATTGGCCACTGGGGACCGCCACAGTGGTATGGTACGGTTGAGTCTAGGTAGCCGCGCCGTGTTACCCAAGGAAACGGAAAAGGCGCCCATAGCAGCGCAGAGCAGCTTAACGGGCCTGCACGATTTGCGAGAGCCTAACTACGATCTTGTGCATTCTCGATCACGTCTGTCCTGCAGGCGTCTCAGCTCGCATCCACACACGACGAGGATGGCGATCGGAATTCGACAGGATAATCCACGCCGACTCGATAGCTCTTGGAGGTTCGTGACTCACTTCGGCCTGTTGTCATTGAGTTCTTTCGCAGTCAGTTAGGAGCTGGGAGGCGAGAATTGAACATGCATGGATGGACCAGTGGAGACGTGTTGTCTGGATTTTAGGAATGTCAAAGATCGCCGCTCATATGCAGTTCAACAAGTCGGATCTTAGATCACGTACACAGCATGCTGGGTGGTTGCAATCTGCCAGCGGGCTTCGGGTCCTGTTAGATAGACCATCCATTGGCTTGTGAGAGCGTGATCTGTACTAGACGCTAGCCCTATCCTGGCTGACAGCAACAGACTCGTCCAACGGTGTCCACTTGCACTATTCTATATCGATTTGCTAGGAGCACACACCGGGCCCCAGTCCTGAGACACGTGACGTCGAAGACAGAGCCGACACGCCCCGTCGCCGCTCTTCCGCGGCTACGCCTATCCTGATGCATTGGAAGGCTTCAGGAATACGGAAGAGGGGCGGAGCGCAGGCAATGTATGGTGAAGCTTCACTGTTCGTTGCTCTGAGCACAAGCAGCTGAGCGGAAGCCGATAGCGTCGAAGCAGCGCATCTCCACAGCCTGTATAGGTCTGCAAACTTGGTATGCGAGCATTATGCTTCTTGAACATCTGTAATGGCTGGATTATGCTGATCCGTTATATCACCAGCTGTAATGTCGCAGAATATGGCACCCTCGCATGCAAAACTTCCCCGCGTCTGCCGTTTCGAACGAGTCTATTCTCCTCGCGGAGACAGGCTAGGCCTGTCAATGCACGACCATTTACTTTGCTGGCGTAGACGCCCTCTACACTTCTTCAACACACATGGACAAGCACTCTCGGGCACGCTATACGGTAGTTCGTCTGTGTGCCATTTATGAAGCAGATCTGACACGACACAACATGGCTCCAGCCTCTTTGCTGATCCAAGTAGTGGTATCGTGGTTTCAACGACACGCTGTTAGCAAAAAGTTACGATTGATTCCCTGTTTGGAACCGGTTCCAGAGAAATTGCCTCCCTGATATCTACGTTCGCCTGTCTATTCGGCTGTGACTTGCTGCAAAGTCATTTTGAAATCGAGCCTTTCGGTCACTCCATCATTCTTTGAACCGACAGGCACTCTCTCGACAATGACAACATTCATGCCGGTCTCTGCGCGCCGAGTAATCCACGAGGTTATTGATGTTGCGGAATGGAGCACCACAGCGCAAGACTGTGGGGAAACATCCGGTAAATGAGCCGTCACCCACATATCCCTGCTTCCGCCTGTTTACACTGGTTCCGCACTTTTTCTCCCTTGAAAGAGACTCAATGACCCCCTTGTAACCGACAATCAATATTCAAGACACGCGGGCTTCCTGAGAGACCCCGTTTGATGCAGATGCGGAACCGTTTGAAAACATCAACGAATATCGGTGCCATGCTATTTACATGTAGTACAACTCTTCTTTTTGTCTTACAGGACCAACGGTGAATCTATTTGGGGGTAGACGGAGCTTCGAATTTATCGTACGTCGCCCACTGGATGAAGTCGCAAATCGTATCGAATAAGTGGCGTTTGTATGGTGACACCATAGAATAACCGTCTTCGTTCCTCGAGTTACACTCTTCGAATCTCACTACAGCCCCGCGAAGGAGGTACACGGACCTTCCTTGTTTCGCCCAGCGCCACCTGAATACAGCGTTTGCATCTCATACCGGAGTCCCACCACGGTTCAGCCAATGTGCGTTTGCTGTGCGACACCAGGACTGCTGTACAGTATGTCAGGGGTAAGTAGTCAATGTGTCACAAGACTCTGCATCAGCCAGCTGTCAACAAAACACAACCTATAGAGGTATATAAAACATTTCAGCTCTAATATTAGCACTTTGTTATTAAGTCTAGTGTGCTTTACTATTACTTGCAGAGAGGTGCTGCTAGAAGAAGAATATTTGAGGATCTACATTGATTATCTACCCCTGCTATACTATACAACCATTTCCAAGATTGGACCACCAGGCGTCTTTGTGATGGGCCACCAACGCGGACGGTTGACCTGTTAGGAGTATGATTCAACAGCCACGACACCTATGCGTACTTACAGACCGGACAATCTTCCATGAAACACTTCAGGGCACTCCATCACATGGATGCAAAATATTCGTAATTACCATGAGATGAAGAGTCAGATTGAAGACATTACTTTTGATACAGTCAATGGGAATGATGGAATGTCATCTGCGATGATGGTCGTGAACTTTCTATCATTGTTGTAACGAACTAGGGTAGACAGGGGTCGTCGTATGAGACCGACGGTTCACTTTGTTGCGCCTGGAAATCCATCATCTTACGTTCGTTTGCACTTATCTGCTCATTCAAAGTATTGCAGCCGTCAGTTCATCCGTGTTGCCTCATTAATGTTCCATTGTTTCGATTGATCGTCTCTCATTTGTCTAGTAACACGGCTGAGTGCATTGTGGAAACAAAATGAGCATCCTTCATTTGTTTGTCGTGTTCTGTGGTATGATGTATATCACGGGTAGCCACACCCACCAGACGTGTTTTCCGGCAGATGGGCATCCCCAGAGCTGAGGTTTGCGGCCGGATGTGGAGACTGGTGTGTCACTACCAGATTTGTTGTGTTTGTCGCGAGAGAGGTGCAGTATATAAAGGCCAGGTATTGTCTCTAAGCACTTTCATAGCCAAGATATCTGCTTGCGCTTTGCAGCAGTCACTCGTGCTGTTCTCTGTCCATTCGACGGGAGGATCTTGTCAAGACTCCTCCGATCGGAAGATCGGCAAACTTTCAGCCAACCATTCGCCTTATATTTGCGAGTCGTCCATTTGGTCATTGTAGGATCACAAGCTGAGAGTCATCAGAATGAACGTCAAAAAGTGCCCGTGCTTCGATCAACCCCACCATGTCTGGATTTGCACCAATCCACAGTGCACCGAGTCCTGTAAGTGTCTTTTTCTCCGCCTGACAAAAGCTTAAGCTTATCCAATACAGCCGTAGATATCCTTCAGAGGTTATCGCGCATGCTCCCGACCAACCCTGACCGAGTGACTGCGACCAGCTTCATCACTCTCAGCACATGGCCATCCTGTGTTTCCGCTGGCCAAACGCATGAGCCTCTGCGCTTCTTTACCCCGACTACATCCTCGCAAACCTTGGAGATGAGCGACTGTCCTCCACGCACTTTTTACTCGGCGAAGGCTGGCTCGACCTCTCAACTGTTTCTCCCACCCTTTCGGGGCCCGGCAAACCGCGAACATACGCCACCGCTGTCTCGAAATCTCATCAAAGTACCCTCTAGAACTCAAGTTAGGCGCAACAAACGCCAGCTCAGAAAGTCACGGTCTAGTACCAGCCTTACTCCCCGTACCAGAATCCTCCTCCCCGAGATCAGCCGTTGCATTCCCAGCATCGATACCCACCGCGCAAATCCCGGTATCACTAGTAGTCCGCCCAGCAGCAGTAGACCCAGAACTATCCCTACCCGCCACGACAGCACTGGCACAAGTACTGTACACAAACGCAATCACGAGCCGCTTGCACTGTTCAGACCGCGACCGGAAGCGATTTTCTCGCCTTCAGTCCCTAAGAACCCCCCTTGCCTCCGAACATCGAAAAGCCTCGCCAGAGCTGGGCCTGATGCTCAAGCTGACGCTGATGTTGGTGCTGATACTCCAACTGGTACTTCAGTTCCAACGGCCAGAGACCTCGCTGAAAATGGCGCAAGTGTTGATGCTGATGCTGAGACCGGAGCTAGTACTATTTTTGATCCTGCCGGCTCTTTTGATGCTGATGCTCGTACCTTTGCAGAATCTCAAGCTCTTACTGATGCGCTGGCTGCGACGACGGCAACGTAGAGAGTGAAGAGGTTTCGAACAAGGCCATCGTTAGAGAAGTGAACCGATTTGGTTCTGTATTGCGATGGCTTATGGCTGCTGAGGGTGTGGATGGGGTTGTTTTGACGAGCGCCGAAGTGAATTAGAGATTGCAACAGTCCGGTGGAGGCTGCGGTGGACACTCTGGCGAGGATGAGGCAGTATGAGAGACTGCGCAATGACTTCTTTTCGTACTGCGAGGTTTGAGGTAATCTGGCGGTACATTGGCAATGGTTTGGCGGACCTCTCTCGTCAATCTTGATGACTGCTTTCTCTTCCTTCTATCGTGCCTCCCATAGAGCGGCCGCTAGCTATCTTCGTTCACGAGCCAGAAGCATGGTGACTGAAGAAGTATGAGACGAGCCTTTTGCGCGCAATTCCTTGTTATTTCCAGTGTTTTTTTCAGGCTTACACTTTGCCCAAGTATGAAGCGCGGCTCGTATGCAGTTAAAACCGGCAATATGTACTGCTTACTTATTACATCCACTGGTCACCCTCTCCTTCATCGCCTCGCTTTTGACATCGGAGTTGTAGTGTCCGCGAGCTCCCCAGAGTCTCTCTGTGTCATAAAAATCTGCATTTTGAGGTTTGACCCCCTGTAAACCGATTGTAGTCTTTTATCATGAGTGAAATGAGTATTTGAATAACATCGGCGATACTTGCACAGCGTCGTTCACGATGTCGTCAGCTGATCACCTCAAGCTCATTACTTTCGGGAATTAACTACCCGTCTTGAGCGCCTCGCTACGCCGTAGTCGAGACTGATGGAGTCGTTCAACATCCCATGACCGTAGTAGTCCCGTAGATAGACTATTCATTCCTCCATCCTCACTCCGACCAGCGTCACTCCATCATCGACCTCAACGACGAATATAAAGCACTCACATAACTAACCTCATAATCGCCGTAGCTACCTTCATTCTTCTTTTCTCACATTAAATACAACAAAGATTCGTGCAATTTTTTGGTCATGAAAAAGCAAGATCTGATCATCAATCGGTACAGACTCTCGCTGAAGCTGCCGTAGAGCTCAGCGTAGTCGTAGTTCCTCAACTTCCATGTGACTTCGAGAGTGCTTAGGGCGGTGCGATCATCGGAGTGATGCGTGCGGGACTGTGGTCAGGAATGCAACCTGTTCGTGGGCGAGCGTGTGGATGACTTCTGAGTGACGAAGAGCGTAGGAAGCCATAATGAGAATCAGATCGTGGTGGTAGGTACGGTGCCTGTGGTGGTGTGGACTGTACGATTTCTTACGCAGTCAATCGTACACCGCGAGGTGAGGTCATTGTGACTGATCATCACAACGTTTTGATCAGCAGAGTAGGTGTGAAAGTCGTGCAAATCGGAGCACGTGATGAGAAGTATGGGACAGCAGGTGAGGGCAAGGCACTACTGACCAGCGGTTGTGCAAACGATTCAGACCGAAGAGAGCGTGCAGGAAGGCCCAAGTAGTGAAGTGCAAAGCATTTTGGAAATCAAGCAAGTGAGCATAAGGGTCAGTTGAATGCGGAGACGGCAGTACCGTTCACGACGGCAAGAGAGCACATGAGCCGAAGCAGTTACGCAAAGGACAGGCCATGAGCTGGATGAGTAGCCAATGCTATAAGTGACACTTGGCATGCAGCCCACCTATCATTGCATCTATCCGTCAACAAAACAAAGGTCAAAAAACTCAAAGTTGGAAAGCTGATTCGATTCAATTTGAGACTATGTCTACGCGGCGCTTGAGCACTATATCGTGATCTCAAGAAACATCGCACTAGAGTATCCATGTACTTGGTAAGTCTCCATCACGTGTTGTTCAACTAGACTTCATCGTCGTCCTCCGTGCAGAGTCGTGCGAAGTCGTGCAAGGTCCTGCGGTCTAGTCTATACCGTCAACCTTCATCTCCATGTTCACGTCGACCAACCCAAGGGAGTGCGCGTCGCGGCTGCCGAGGTGGGGGGCAGTTTCCTTGTTGAAGTTGTCGTTGTCGAAGTTAACGTTGCCGACTTGCTTGTTGTTGCCTGGCATGTCGACGTTGATGGCCGGCTTACTAGTGTTAACCATTTCGATGTTGTCAGCAGCCTTGATGGGAGAGTTGTCGCGCTGCTCGACGGTGATGTCTGGGAGCGAACCGGCGTTGAGTTTAGGAGCAGTAGCGAGAATGTCAGACTCGGTCTCGGTAGCGACAGGCTTGACTTCGGCCGCAGCGGTGGTAGGTTTGTTTGCAGTAGTGGCGGCAGGCTTGGTTGGAGTAGCGGCGGTAGTAGGACCATGAGTCGGAGCGGACTTCTTTGCCGCACTACCACCAGCTGTCACCATCTGAATCTCTGTCACCGTTCTCTCCACACCGTTGACCATGCGAGTCACTGGGACAGAGACAAAGCTAATGTCCAGGTACCCTCTGCCGATCTTGACGCGTTCGACGCTAGCACGCGTCTGGGCGAACGGTACATTCGTCTTAGTTTGAGAAGGAGGTGGGGCGGCAGTGTGGACTGTAGGCGGAAACTTCTTGGGCGTCATTGGAGGAGTATGGGCCGTGGTCTGCTCAGCTTGCTTGGTGGGAATGGGCTTGGAAGGAGCGGTGGAAGGGGTGTTGGTGTTGGTCATTGTGAAACCTTGAGAATGAGAAGTAGAGTAATGATTGTGGTAGAGAGGATGAGAGCGAGGAAGGCGCGGATACTGGGTTATATATACATAGACCCCGTGACAAACAGTGCGCGCTAAATTAGGCTTCTCTTCGAGGCTCGGGCGCTAGGAAGTTACGCGCTTTGCGCCATCCGTTTGCGACGGTCTTGGCGTCTTGAGTGAAAGCGAGTCCTGTCGAGCATACTGGATACCATGTGGCGTAAGAAGGTGCCAGATTACAGGTAATCTCCAGCAAGATCTCATCCTGAGGGCGGTGTAAAATCTATTGAGCACGGAAAAGTGGAGTTGCGGCGTACAATGCTTAGCACAGGCTGTTAAATCCGCGGTGAAGCAAGGAAAAGGGCTCAGACGCTTTGCAGTGACAAACAGAAAAACATTCGGTAGTCACTGGAGACGCTTTGAAAGTGAGACAATAGAGTGAGATGTTCAACACAGCCAGTGAAAATATTTAACGCGACCATGGACTAGGTAAGAGGCTCGTAATGCAGAAGCATATCCTCGGTTCATTTGAAGCCGGACTTCCACTTGAAAAGCGCGAAGCACACGCAGTCGTGAGCGTGACAACACCAAGGCCAGAATGTATACAAGGCTTTACATGCTTACATCCAGCCTCGATCCTATAGTCCGCACGATGAAACCAAAAACTACGCACGGATGGTTTGCACCAAGTCTGAACCAGACAGAATCAATGATTCGTCGCTCATGCACAGGTACCCTACCCCCGAGCCATCACATGCAGGAAGCTCTTTCGATCTATTGCAGTAGGAGGTGAATCGAGCAGCGTGAGAGGCGGTACGACGCACGTACTGTACTCTCGGCATCCGTGTGCGTTACAGAGAGGTCGAGTCGCGAGTACAGTCGGTGCGCAAGTAGGTAGCAGGGCCCCACTGATGGTGGGATTGTAGTCCAAGCAGCGGACATCACTGGAGGGGACGGGCGTCACAGTGCAAGGCCGACGGCCAGAGGATTGCAATAAGACCCATTAGTCTAGTCTCGAACTAGATCGTAGACGCTGGTGCTGGCATGCAATGCTTCAGTGAGCGTGCTGCGCCGCTGCTATAAGCAGAGAGCAGGCCATCTCGCGTCTCCTTCAAGAGGAGCAGATAGACGGCTCCTTTGCGCGAAGCTCTCCGTCATGCTCAATACCTCAAACTAAACTCCTTCCAGAGCGGCCTCGGTCATGTACTCCCGCCATCAGCACTGTCATACTTTGTGATGTGCGTTGCACAGTACCTATTGCGGGCAGACCGCGCAGGTCAGCGGCAAATACGAGCGTGCCACTGATACTGCATTCACATCACGGAGTCGCTGGTTGCGGTGTAGTTGCTTGGGTGAGTCGATTCACCGTACGACTGCTTGCTGGCAGTGATGGACGCAGATACTAATTCTTGCGGGCGCCAGACATGCTGCAAAAGATGTGGTGCTGTCGTGATTCTTATCTGATGCAATCTCTCTGACCGAAAACATCATTTTTTGATCGTCGTTCGTGAATCGTGGAAACCAAAATTTATGATTGCAATAGCGGATGACGGAAAGAAACGGCATTACTGCTTTGATTATGAGGTTCATCTTCGTATAATAGATCTACCATTGCATAGCTACGTCGGCGGCGACCTTCTCGAACGACTTGTTACATTCTCTCCGTGAACCGCTTCTGATCTTCGACCTCCTATTGGCCTTGTGGACGTCATCAATCTCTCGTTGCCCTCTCCGCAATTCTGTCCAGGTCCACACTGTACTCTGATGTTACTACCTAAACAGTGTTCGATGGGTACTTTCGATCTAATGTATGTCGAGCACATCCCTAGTTTTGCAATGTGTCAAGGCCTTCATATTCGTGGTTGTCGTCAGTCTTGATAGGCCAGAGTGGTAGTCTGTTGAGCTCATACACCAAGTTCCGATGTACTGCTACCTTATATGACTCGGCCCACACACAAGGATTGGAGGCCTCGGCGCAGAGATTGCCATGCCGCCATTTTCGGTCTCTGGGAAGTCCACTATGTCAAAATGTCGAGCCGACAACGAGCAGGCGCTTGGAGAGTTCAGCGTACGTGTCAAGACCAACACCAAAACCCCTTCAGAGCTTCTGCAGCACCTCACAAATGCGGTACAATGAGCAAAAGGAGAGAAGTTCCCAATCGCGACGCAACTTGCAAAGATCTATTTCTCTGCATCGCGCGCCAATGACTCAACAGTCGTAGGTCTTGTTGTGCCATATTTTCTCTTTAAGGACATTCTGCAAAGCGGTAGTGGTGAGCCTCACATCATTCGCAAGATGACATCAATTCTGATGCTTAATGGGTCCCCAAGGGCAATTTGAGAGTTACGAAACCGCGATCAGACTGGAGCATTGGCTGGATCCTTCAGAAAGACCTGTAGGATGATCGCACCGCTCCGCTCTTTGACCTCGATGAAGGAACCATCCTTCTCAAGTTTGCTAGGAACAAAGATCTGTTAGTACTCTTCATTACCTGCCAGATGAAGTCTGCATTTAGTGCCATGCCCACAGCCGAAATCTAGACTACCCGCGATCCGATAGTCGTCATCAACGCCATATTATATCGCTCCTTCACGACCGCTGTGGATCTGCACCATTGGTCTGTCACATGCAATGGATTAATGGCCCACCTTTGTCTACACTGCAGTGTCATAGAGGTAGGCTTTGAACTCCACCACTACATGAAACACTATTCAGTAACGGCTCCAGAGGGTGGATACAGGTGGCAGGAAGATTTGAGGATTTACCTCCGCAGTTTCTCGACTTTGCTCGTATGAAGTGCGTGATTTCCCTCCAAGCTGTGGCCAAAATTATTCGAACGAAAGAACGCGCTGCTCATCTAGACAGCTTCGCACACCCAAACTTTGTTCAAGACGATGATACGAGTTTGTGTGTCACTCCGCGCAAGGGTCTATAGTACATCGACCTGACAGCTCATCCTCAAGATTCGAGGTCTTGTCTTTCGTAGATATCGGTATCGTCTCCAAGCATATCGATCGAAACGATGTAGTCTCAGGTTCGGTCAAAATCAGCCGCCGCAGCGAATATGGGTAAAGTTCATGGGGGCACTAGCTACTCAGCACGCTTTGTCTACTAACCAGAAATCATGTTTTGTGACGAAGCAAAAATCTCTCGCCATCATTCACGGCATTGAAGTGATTCCTGCATAATAACTGGTCATCGCAGGACATCAGTGCTTTGCCCACCTTGGCCGAGGTGGTCTTAACAGCAAACAGTGCTTTCTTGGCAAAATGGAACGCCTCTGAGTTCTTTCCATGGATGGACTATCTGCGAAAGCCGATTGAACCAAATCCGCAGGTGTTGCTGTTCAGTGTCCATCCGCACGGCGTTGATCCGTCAATCAAGCCTTGTCGACCCATCATGACTGCCACAATGGCCCATCATCATGGCGTTATGCTGGTCTCCACTTTCCACACTTCCGTTGATGTCCTCTCTTTCATATGCCTTGAATCTGTTTTTGATTTAATGTAGCGATGGGGTTCTATCCATAGAGGTAGCCACTTGAGAGCCACTAAGCATGACCTTTATGTTTGACCAATGGTGGTGAGATTGCCTTCGAATCATTGATGAAACGACGACTTCTTGGTTCCCTTGTTGAACCATCTAACAGTCTCGTGGTACTACTAGTGGACTTGGTTGATGGTTTGTAGAGCGTTCGCACGGTTCTCGGGCTTGTAGTCGCAGTGATGAGGTACGGAACTCATTGAGTCAGTCGAGGAGCTGGAGAGGTCATGCATTGTCTGATCGAAGGACAGAACAGAGATAACATACCGTTCAAGTCTATCAATTACCCATGGTTAACTGCGGCGCCGTCATCGATCGTGTGCACCACAAAGTCAGATTTGAAACTGTGGCTTGCGCATCCATGTGCAGCCTGAGCACCTTTACTATGGTAAGACACGAGTGCAACCTGTATCTCCCTATACATCTTAGATCCTAGAAACCTCCCTTGACGGAATGTAGGATTGCAATCCCTTGCATCAAGAAATCTTGCCCCGTGTAAGCTCAGTACCACTGCAGTACTCATTGGATAGAACTAGCTGCCATTATACCCCGTAAAGCTTTGTGCACCTTGCATCGCAACTCGGCTTTGATTTTGATTCGTTACCCTGCCTTCGGTTCGCACTTTTTCAAAGCCTTCCTCGCCTCGTACAACATGTCGTTGAATCGGCACATTTTTCCAGTTCGGTCGTCGTACCCGTCCAAATTTTGACTACCGGGTGAGAATGATCAGGGTACTGTCTCCGTGAAACGGCTTCATGTATTTCATTGGAGAAAGTTTCTTGGCTTACAACTGGAAGAGTTGTAGGTGAATTTTGGAGCATTTGGATAAACTATTTCTAGCCTACGCAACATAAAAGGAGACACGTAAAAACGAGTTCGACACAATCATGAACCAGGACACCAAAACTCCAAAGCCCACAGCATTATCCCAAACTGGATCCATTTCTTCAATATGGCAACGACTGTGAAACGTACCATTGATTGAGTGACCGTGCTCATTTCCCATCACCATGGGTATCACCAAACCCATTCCTTGGAATAAGCCTAAGCTGACAAAGCTCTAAACTGGCATCTTTCCCTTTTTCTTACTCGACATGGATCCTCTCTGCACGTTGACCTCTGCAGTAGCCCTATCCAGGCAAAGTTGATTGGTTCGCTTCATGGGCGAAGGAGAGTCCACCTCCCTCTCATCTGGGAGCGTTGGCGATGAAAGGACGGTGGAGAAGTACGATCCTGATGGCGAGGATGTGCTTGAGCTTGTCACAGCATGGCCGCCAGGTGTTTCGACAACTGGGGTAGTGTATCTCGGTTGGACCAATGTTGCCTGTTGATACGAATTCTGTCGTGACTGAACTGGAGCTGGCCCACTTGTTTGTGGCGTAGATCGACGTGCGTTGGGCAATGATGCGGCTTGTTCGCGGTTCGAAGACTGCCGTTTATGATATTCTGCTGTAGGATCTCAGTTTGGCCCATGATGAATACTCACTAGCTCACCTGCCGCTTGGAAAATGTGCTCAGGCTGCCCGTAGCGCTTTGCAGCCCACCGTGCAGGGTTGGCATTTCGCTCGACAACCTCTTCTGGGCTGAGATGCGAGTCGTCGATGAGGAACGGGATCATCACTACGTGATCGTAAGCCATTCTGGCTGCCACTGGTAGACCGTTCGACTGCGCGAGCGCTCGATATATATACGGTCCATAGGAACCCTTGATGACGGATTCGGATGTTGATAACGTTTCTCTAAGGTATGCATGTATTGCAGCATAACGTCAAGGCGAGTGAGAAGGCTGAATGAGCAGCATCGGCAACTGCATTTCTACTTCGCCGGGCCGAGACTCACGGCTTCAGAGTGCGTGCCATGGTGTTCGGGATGCCGATGCTGTGAGATTCCGTGACAGCATCCGCACCTCTGGTACGGCAAGGCTAGCTTTCTGCTCCCGATAGCCAAGTGCGGCGAAGGCGGATTGGTTCATACGGAGCGATCGCTATGACCAAAAAAACCCCCTCCATTGCCCGACAAGCCCAGTGGAGAGGTAGTGCATCCTGATACGGCCATCCAGCAAGGTTGCAAGTTTCGAAACGGTCGTGCGCCGATGTTGAGATCTGGATAAGCATTGTGACTGGTCTAGGACGTCGTTCAAATCCGTAATGGAGGCATAGACAAGAATGATACGATCGTGTGTTGCACGCTCCCGAACGGTAACTCGCCAGCAAGGGACGGCCCGCAAAGGCTGACCTGACCGCATAGATGGTTTGACTGCGGCTCAGGCCTCACGACTGGTCTTGTAGGGGTCTGGGTTCCATTCATGGAGTCAAACCTTGCTGTATGTTCATGTTGCAACGTCTTTGATGATTCCAATTGTTTTTCGTAGCTTGGATATTCTTGGTAGATACCCGTATTGCGACTGCTCGTGAGCGGAAGTAAGGGTGCGACAATGTCAGGGTCCATTTTTAGTCAGACTAGCTCGATGCTGTGCAACACAGGGTCGACGAAAGTGATCGCCGTCGTGCAACATGGTCGTTTCATTGGTAGTAGATGTAATGGATGGCTCCGAATGTCTCCGAGTTGGAATGTAAACCGCAAGACTCGCTGGAGAAGCGGTGAGACCTGAAGCGGTACCTCATCGAGGCCGCAAGGATGGCGGCACACAAGCTGCGAAGAATGTTCTTCCACTGCTCAGAACTTGATGATGCTCAATTCCTCGCTGGAAACCAAGATCTCCGCCGCAACCACTATGTGTAAACAGTACGGCTCTCCAATTGCCTGTGAATGGTGATCTGCGTGAACCGAGACAAGGTCGCAGGATGAAGCGGCGGCAGGTAGACTTTCCATGCTAGCTCCAATGAGGCGATCGAAGGGCGATGGGGTCATTGCCCATGTCGGCAAAGGTGGTCTGGAATTTTGCGCAGCCGGTCGTTCTCATGACCATGTGATGCGATTGGTCTCCCTTGCATCTAAGTGGCATCCAATCCAGATATGCTTGACTTCCGGCTCCCTGCATAATGATAATCCTAGGAGAACTGGGTAGTGCGACTCGTCGCTTCAGTTGATACATGTGATTCGAGGACTGGTGGTGCATGTCGGAGAAGACTGGAATCTAAGAAGGATTGTGTCAGTGTTGTAAGCTCCATGAAGGTGGAAAAATCGGGATGTCAGGGGCATCGAGTCATCGGATCTGCCTGTAAATCAGTTCAGTGATGAGCAGCGGCAGACGACACTCATATAACTTGATCGTAGGACCGATAGCCCACGTATTCGGCGATTGTGGCGGTCTTGAAGACATAACGGCCCTTCTGAACAGTCTTCTGCGTCATTTACGAGGCTCTTCTGTGCTGCATCTACTTAGTTACCGGACGTAATCCCTTGCGCGGACTGTACTTACTCTTTCCTTGCTTACTTACACTTATTCAAGACGTGGTCACGTCTTTCCGCTACCTTGTGACCGCCCGAGGGCGAACGTCACATCCCCTGTGGCTCCATCTTGACTATAATCACGATGGACCTACTGCTATTTGTGCCCCTGACAAGATTGCTGGGAATTTCACTAACGTTGGTGCTGATTGCCAAGATGTGAAGGGCAAATTGCGAAAGCCGTCATGGTAGCAAAATTGCTGATTCGTAATTTTCTGAACGCCGTGTCGTTGTTTCATGTAGAGATGTTAACACTTGCTCTGTATTGCACATGTTGTAGCGTCTCTTGACTTTAGCCCAAAAAACATTTAAATGATTGTTTCGGATCTGGTAACAACTCATTCCCCTGACGCAGGAAGGACCTTGATCCGCTCTTCATCGGTCCTGATCTAGCTCTTATTGAGTGTTAATCTTCCGTCCAACAATACCATCCATCGTCATCTGGACCTTCAACATGTTATTGCCATACGCCGGGTGAGTGCTGAGCATGCTTACATGCTACGTCATGGCTATATAACAGCGCCTCGGTCGGCGGTGTTATCCTTGTCGTCTGCGTATGGTCTCGACTGGTTCTCATAGAGCCCAGAGAGCTCTACATTGAAAAAGATGCGACAATCTAAGCTTTTTATGGATCAGAAACTCAGAAGATCAACAATAACTAACACGTTCAGAGCCGCGCTTTTCATCTTATGACATTTACACCAAGCCTCTCGGTAATAACGCACTGATGGCAATCGTCTGCAAGGGATCGAGCGCGGGGCATTGTCACACTGGATTAATAGGACCGCGTCTATGGCGGCTAGACCTCTTCCTGTCGCACAGACCAATACAAGCGCTGCTTTAGTCTAAGCATCCTCTGCATCCGGTAGATTGCTGCTCAAATTTATCAGGTCCCTTGCGGTGTGTAAGTGCAATACGTGGTGGGAATGTTCCGGCTGTCAGCAGGTAATCTTCATGAGGTTGGTCCTGGGCACCGTCTGGTCTGCGCTGAGATTAAGCCGATAATCAGATGATGCAGGGTAAGCCAAGACAGTAAGGTTGTGCCCGACTGCGCGCTTCCTTTTTCCCTTGGCACGCTTGTTCCAGCCACCGACGGGCAAAAACAGTTTCAGATTTCAGATCAACTGCAATACTAGATAATCTTAAATCGCACGCAATCCAAGGACGTGTCTAAATCGTCTGGGCATCCTTAAATGTGTCAATCACTATTCTATGGGGATGAGTTCCCTGACGGTGTCACCGTGCCGCTACCGATGAAGTACATGAGTGTATGCCTTGTAGATTCCGGATCACGGAGTCTGATGCATGCAGATGATTCTCCTGCGTCTTTTGATGTCGCATCTTGTACAAAGAGCATCAGATATCTGCATCTGTATGTATACATCTAGCAGTTCTTTCGTTGCATACTTCAAGTGCGGAGATGGTCCATGGCCACTCGTCCTTACAGTTGAAGCTTACCAACGTTCAAAAGATCTGACCGATGATTTCTTACTGCTCAGTCTAAACACAGGGCCATAAGCAGAGCATTTTTCATGATGAAGAGTCTCCCCTAAAGCTTGCCGCTAGGTTCATGAATCGTAGGTTGGATTCTAGTATCAACGCGGAATCGATTCCTTGCTCTCACTGCGTTTCACATACCACATGATATTCCTATCGTACCACGTAGCCGTTCACGTTCTCACTTTTCGTTAAAGCAGTGTCATCGACGTCCGTTTGCTGTCTTCATATCCGCCACCCTCTGCATATATACCGTCGCTCAAATCTTTAATTACCATTTGTCGCACTACATTCCGCAATAATACTTCAAAGTTCTCCACCTTGAAACCGTATCTATACTCATATGACTTGGGTGTACGATGCGAGGATGCGATTCTACGAAGTTACATCTCAACAGGTCCGAGGCTCACCTCTGTCCACATTCGGGGATCATCGCAAGGTATTATCAAATGTCGAACAGGTTCCAAATCGTTTTCGTTTTGGACTCTGAGACATGGATACTATCATTCCTATGCATCTGGTGACAGTACTCACCACAGACGCAGAGTACGCTACGGCGTAGTCTATTGAACCTGGCAGAAAAGAGTGCGCTGATGAGGCGATGCCGGAGAATGAGATTAGGAGAATTCTAGATATCTCATTGTGTAGCAGTCGACACGAACTGTGACTGATCTGTGTTGTCTTTCGGTCGATTCGCCGAATGGCTCGCTGAAAGCAAACAAAGCGAACAAATCAAAGAGAGGCAACAAAGCGTACAAAGGCAACAAAGCGAACAGGAGATTATAATAAGCAAAGAAACCAAGCAGGTAATGGGAATCGAGAGATTCGCAAATAAATCAATGCAACAAGGCAATGGTAGCACTAGGTAGTGCTGTTGCCACCGAACCTAATTCCGATTCGCGCAGAAGAGCGAGGAGGGGTGGAGCTTGAGGGAGCGCGAGACTTTCACCGAGAACGCAGATCCCTTTGAACGCGACGGGGGACACTGTTGAGCCTCTTCAGCCTAGCACTGCTGTTTTGCTGCGTCATCAGCACCGAGCTGCGTTTTGACGACTTTGAAAGCCCCTTTGATCTTGTTCGGACGGTCGCTCACAGCCCACTCAAGGACATTCCGGGATATCTTTCTCGTCTGAACCGTCTACATCTGCTCTGTAGCATTGCCATGCAGATCTGCCATGACTATCCGCCTCTTGTAGTACACATTGTCAGCGTCAATCCAGTGCATGTAAATTGCAACATCCTCAGTGTCGTACGCGAGGGAGAAGTGGAGGATGTCTTTCTCGGTAACTAAAAATCCAGCCTCACTCAGGAACGCACGCATTTGATCGTTAGCTGCGACGCCATGACGAGCTTATTCCCTCTCAGCGTGAAGTAGACTCTCACCCATTGCACTACTGAACATTTGCCCCCTCAACCACAGCGAGCTCGCATTCCATCCTTCGATCCGAGTGCGATCGATTGTATCAACCCCACATGAGTCGTGCATCGTGACTGTAAATCTACTAAAGCTCAAGATACCTAGTGCGGATCTATCAAATTTATCTGCATGATTTCAACTATGGGACACCAAAATAATACAGGAAACAGAACGATGCAAGGCTCCGCAGCGTGACGTCACAAATGAATCTCAACTTTGATTGCATGGCATCCTCGAATGTGCAGCTACCGCAACCTACGTAGACGAAAAAGGTGTCTGAGATACGCAAACACAGCCCAAACAACAAATCGGTCTTCAGCCGTTCATTACAATCCACACGCAAGTTCAAACAAGCGAGCTTTTCCCACACAAAACTTCTATAGAGACATACGTTCACGAGGTTGATACATCTCAAAGCGACAAACTGGGCAACAGTTGGACATCAACATAGCGGAGTCGTTCACCCACATATCCAAACACTCCTCATGGAAGATATGGCGACATGATGTAACAACAAGATTCCCACCATCAAGGTGAAGAATACTGCTCAGGCAGCAGGCGCAGGTATCATCTTGGAAAATTGTACGACGATCCACGGAGTCGCAGAACATCGACGTTAGAATACGGGTCCCGACGGCACGGTACCCGACGTCTCGAGCATCAATCGAGGTCGGATTCTCAACAGATCGTTGAGTCGTTCGGGAAGTCAGTGGATGATCGATAGCCAGAGTAGCTGGCTCAGTAGCTGCAACAATCGGTAGATCAAGACGACGGAGAGCAGCTTGTTGACGATCATGTACCTCCTGTCGATCTCGTCGGTCCTGCTCCTCTGCCAATTGACCTTCCCGCAGATTGTACTGTTCAATTTTACGCCATAGGCTTTGCCCAATCTTTGAATGATGTACAGCATCTTGACATGTGGCCATAGCTGCTCTACACTCACTCTCCTGTTGTTCGAGAGAGTTTGCGACCAAAAGGAGCCCAGACCGACTATTTTCGCAACAGTTTTGAAGCCTGGCCATGTATTGTTGTCGCTTCTCCATGATATAACGTTGCTGCTCTGTCTTCTGTACCAGTTCAACGCGGGACCTATCTTCCTCGGCCTGGAAGTATGCTTGTCGCTCTCGAGCTTCCTCTACCATTCTGACATATGTAGCGTTCATTGTCTTTGTTGTTTTTGTTGGTTCATATAATGCGTGGGTTGTCGTTGAATTTTCTGAGTCGAGTTGAGTTATTGATGTTCTTGTGCTGTGTTGTCGTAAGGTGTCTGTCCGGTGGGAGTGTTTTAGAGTCAGGAGTACCTACCTTTATGATATCTATCAACACCGCATCGTGAGGGTCATCACATTTGTACAAAGTCATTACACAATGCTTGCGTACGGACTTTGCTAACACACATTAAAAGGCTTGGCTGAACGATGCACAACTAATGACACGCAATGATGGTGCCCGAACTTTCGTCTAAGAGACAGACAAGGAGGGCTGACGTCACACTTGTATTGTGATTTACTTAAATTGGCATTCAAAAGTAAGAGGGTGATGTTTCCATGCCAGTTCGGCCTACGGTAGCTGCTTACTAACTATGGCTCCGGGAATACCGGCGAGCTCGATCAAAGATACGTGATATCGCAAACAAAAGCATTTTCTGTTGTTGAGATTCACCCTCGAAGTGAAGACACCCCCCCACATCTCTCAGCCTGCTTCCTACATAAATGTTCCCTGTCCCTCATTCGCTCAAAACGCAGCCACCTGATGTAAGATCGACGCGCTTATTCCGTCACCATGCAACTCAACTCACCCAAAGACGGGAACATGGCTGTATCGATGGACATCGCAGATCGCTTCATTGCAACTAGCGATCGTCTCAAAGCCACCCGTGATCGTCTCAAAGCGATTCGTAGCCGTCAACAACTTACTGCGGTTGTGCTTCGAAGCGCGGTCGTGGACGAGACAAACCGTCTGGTCACGCCCGCTCTTCCCGTACAGAGCCTGTCCTCCGATTCTACCACCTCAGCTGACAGAGTTTAGCACCCAGTGCATTCTGCAGGTCATTTTTCACCCTTGACTATGCCCGCAGACAAAACGGTCGTCACCGCACAGATCGCCAGTCGCATGACACATCGCCCGTTCCCGAGCATCGAAAAAGTTCTGCAAGACACCACACCTCTGATTCGGCTTATACCACAGCTCAGACTGTTCAAGTGTACTGCAATTACCGTTGAGGGCAGTGCTGTCGGCGACGGTGCCGTCAAGATCAGTGACGAGAAGATTTCTTCTAGTGCTGACGACGTGCTCTTCAATGTCTCGAATGGCGAGGTACATGACGAGCATTTCCGTGATGAACAGCCTGATGACGAGCGTTTCCGCGATGAACAGCTTGAGGACGATACAATGGTCATTTAGGATGCCACTGGCGCTGGATCATTGGTGGAGTCGCGACGCGGTGCGAACTGAGCACGTTCTCTGCTGCGACTCGACCTCACTGGAGCATCGCAACAATATGATGCATGATACCGAGACTGATGCAAATGCTGGAAGGTATCAGAGTCAACGTCACACGTATACGTACGCAACCACGGTTTTCCTCACATCGTTGGCATGTTCTTCTTCTTTGTGAACAAGAGGTCTATTGACAACAGAGAAGAGTGCCTCAACAAGTTTGGCCACTACAATATCATGCAGGCGAGTTCCGGCATCGCGTTAAAGGACAGACGATCAAAAGTGACATTCAATTCGACACCCGCATCGAACAACATTCTCTTCCAATTGTTTGACCATCTTGTGATGGCATGGGTCCGATGTGATGCTCCGCCAGCCCTGCCAGATATGAGAATTGGGTGCAAGCTCAAACGCTCGGTGCTGAGATGCCCGCGCCAGTAGACACATTCTATCACCCCATAGCACGCCGATAGTGAATTAGATATAATGGAAACGCCGAAACTAAAATTCTGCACACCTTCACTTACGTCAAGCTGGGTAGTTCTGATCAGTTGATTTCCCGTTCTAGCGCCACCAGCAACACCGACACGATGTCTTCGCCGGAAGAAGTCAACCAAATTCTTTCGCCTCCGAAGTCGGATCGTTCGTCCACGTTGTACTCTCAAGCCAGCTACTCCATCCCTCTTTACTTCCCACTTCGAGCGCAGTGGTTCAGATTTCCATCACGTTGATTCGACAGTACTACGAGTCTCACTGTTCTAAAACTACCTACCTCACTCGCCTACACCTTTATTGCAGCGTGGCAAGAGGTTAAGGAACATATCCGTGTTCACCCCGAGCTTCACAACTTCTTTTCTCATCAACTCTCTCACTAGTGGAAGCTATGCTAAGAACAAAGAAACCTCCACGCTGATTACATTCCACCATATGCTCTGGCTAAATTAAGGGGATCATGAAGACATCGCCGAACTGCTCTGTCTCGCCTCCGGCTCGAACAACCCTTGATCGCCCCGCACCTTGTAGAAGCGTCAAAAACACCAATCATCGCCAGCCTATTCGCTCTGTGGCGACACGGAACCGGGAAGCGGCACGAATGTTTTCATATCCGCGAAGTTGCAGGTGCAGTACTCATTTCGGTGGTGGGCTGCGGTAGAGCTGGGTCTCAGCCCGTGTAGAGATGTAGCTTTAGATGATACTGCAAAGCGCTTGGAGTGCTACAAGATCTTCCTCAAACATGTCTTCTTCAGATCCATCGTCGCTTGAGCCACACCATGATGCATCAGTCTTTCCTACGTTCGCGTGTCATCTGCTTACTTGCCTTGGCTTCGCAGCAGACTTTCAAGGATTCTCTGGCGGTCAAAAAAGCTCATCAGTGGTAATAAATCTGCTGCTGAAGATCGCACCTGCCTGTTGTGCTCAAGCAAGATCTGCCACATCACAATGATAGCATTCTTAGCTCCTGAGTTTCGTCGCAATTGGCAATTGTCGCAGTGGAAGATCTTCGTCTGTTTGCACCCATTCTTCTTCAGCTCCTTCAGATATCTCTCCACCGAAAACCATGGCGCTCTGTTCGATACGTCTGCGCAATGGCCAAGGGCATATACTCGAGAGCTGCAGCCAGCTCGGCTGTTTCGCTGCAGCCGGTCTGTGTTTCCAAACCCTTGTCTAAGAGACAGACTGCCATCGTCTTAGTCATGACGTCTACCACAATGTTGTTGCGCAGATTCACCTACTTTTGCGTTGGTTCTTTGTTTTGCGTTGCTACTAGGACCGAGCCACGTTCTCTGTGGGGAAGATACTCACGTAACGGTCTCAACGCTACGTTTCAGTCGGCAGGTGGGCGGTCGACTAGGAAGCAGGCATTGTCGACGTTGTCGAGAATGAACAACGACGTGTCTTTGCAGTTGCGTAGCCAGTTATGCATCAGCTTGAAGATATTCGCTTGTGGGTCGTCCCTTCCCGAGATTCTAATATAGTCGGAAATGTCGCGCAGGCCTTGCTCATATCGCGATGCTTTACCGGCATACACCCAAAGAACCCAAATTGACGCCAATCGTTCGCCCGTACGTTAAGCATACTCTATGGCGATTTGCAACTTGCTACACTGCCATCAGTCCGACCCATGCTGACGGGGTGGGGGGCTATGTGCCCAACGCCACCCCGACCGATGACTGCTGCGCGCAAGCCTCAACCTGCGCACATTGCGCAAACCTGATCCAAGATCGCTCTGCGCTCGACATAGTCGTGGTCGCATGGTAACGGTATCACGATCGAGGGTTGCCGCGCACTCTCTGATCGGGCTGAAGTGGGGCAAAGTCAACGCGCGAATCATTCCCCACTTCAATATAGAGTCACCTACATACAGTCATATTGAAACATGGCGTGCAACGGATCGCTCATAGTGTGAGCTTGTAGACCAGCGGTGATGCCACCAAAAGTCACAGAGGTCATTGTACAGTATAGTGTTCTCGCTAGGTGTCAACAGAGCCGAGTTAGGCTCCCTGTAGGCTACGCCGGGCTGATCAGAATCCCGCACCAGACAGACACCCTTCATCATCCGTGTCGCAGTCGTTTCAGTTCCATCTTCTTTGCGCAAAAATCAAAAGTATATGCTAGACCCTCTCACTATCACCGTCAGTGTGGTAAACATCACAGTTCCCGCCTTGCACGGCTTGCGGGAGCTGCTTCACGACCTGCAGCAGCTGAAGGATGAGTTCAACACTATCAAACGCCTGGACGATGACGTGAAGTCCGTTCAAACAGCATCGAAGCTACTATAGGCGATTGGGGGCAGCGAGTGGGACCTACTTGGTGAGAGTGTGGTCGATGAATCGAAGGCTACCGTCACTAGCTATACACAAGCATGTGAGCTCTTCAGGCCTGAACTCCGGCGGTGGATTTGACATTCAAGAGACGGAAAGCTAGCCTTGCGTGACTGAACAAATGTTGGCTTCTTAAAGCAGGGCTCAGTCAAGGTTTCGGCCGAGCACCTCCACCATTGCAGGCTTGCTGTTAACGCAATGGTCAGTATAGCGACGCTGTAAGTATCGTGAAACATTCACGCCACGAGGACGATTCTCAATGCGCTTCATGGTCGTAGCTCGTCACAGCCACATCACGGATGGAATCAAGAACACAATCACACCAGGCAGGCCAATGTAAAGAGCGCTATCACCGCAACAGACACGCAGCTGGTCCTTGTCGAAAACCAGCTAGAAGAGATGAACATCGATAACGACCACGACCCAATAAGTGCCCCTTTTTAGATAGATTCCTGGCCCTGATCCAGCTCGAGCAAGAACGTGAAGCAGTCCAAGCATCAAACAGACTGCTATAGGAGCTTTTATCGAAAGCGCAAGAGGAGCCTGTTGCGAAAGCCGCTGCCCAAGTCCCGGTGAGCTCGTATGTCACCTTAAGCAATAATAGCTCCGGTGTAAAAGTCCAGACATACCATCAATAGAGGATTGGACAACGTGAGGTTTGGAAATCCATTAAGGCGGAGGCGGGTTAGGTGCCTAGAATCAGCGGTTCCGAGACGTGGTCTATGTACAGACCTTTCAACAGATTTGAAGTGACAAACTACCATGCACCAACACGATCGCCGTTGAGCTGAAGATAGACCACGAAAGCTCGCGATCGTCATTTGAGAACCCAAATGCTACGTAACGTCAACCAGTACTTTTTGGATTGCTGCGACATATCCCCAAAGGTATGAAGCAAGACGCCACGATCATGAAGTCAATCGCTGTATCACCTCGCCCATCGCGCTTGCCTCTTCCAAGAGCGTCAAACAAAACGTAGACCTCTCCCCAGCAGTGCTCACGTACAACACCATGACATGCTCGTATTTCGACCATCTCTTGTACCAGATCTAACGGAAATCATCCCGCAATATCCACCGGAGCTTTCGCTTGCCTACACTGAGATGCAGTGGCGCCGTTTTCACATGGGTGACAGGATCATGTCGACATGCAGTGCAGTTGACAACTGAATTGGGGTGGTGAGTGCTTTATTTAGCGTAACCTCTAGGCGGGATAAGCTGTTGGCGTTTCCTGGACAGGAGCTCTGATGGGGCTGGGATTGTTAGACGTGAAACCCAGACCGCCATTAGAACGCTTACCACTGCAGGGTGGAGACAAATTGGACGCAGTTTTCAGCCTCGTCAATGGTGGCGGGGCTGGCGGCGGCTCGCACGGTCGCGGCCGGGTATCTCAGCGGCGAGATGTCGGGCGGTCGATCGAGGCTTGCGTTTTAGGCGGTGGAGACGGCTCCGTATGCGCGTACAGAAGTGGCGAATTGAGCGTCTGGCGCCGATGATCTTGGTATGCGCCCAGAAAGTGGCCTTGAAAGTGGTACTTGATATCATGGTGGAATTTTTGTGGGCAGAGATGGGGGAAGGGTTGGGTGGGGACAGCCCTTGGATACATCAGCTGGCCACAGGTTGGGCTGGCCTCACATTCACCCATTGTGTGTAATGGTAAAATAGAATACACGTGCAAATAGGTCTATCTTGTTGGGCATACAGACGGCTATGATCCACTTCATCGTTGGTGAAGGCCGGTTCGAGTATGCGCATGTGTGGTATGTTTCGATGCGGTACCAAGAAGTCTTAGGCTGAGCGTATTGGCAGTGAGAAGGAGTGAGGATAGACTGGAGCCATCCGACACTGTACAACCATAACGTCACAAAAGGATTATATACAGTGCTTCACCGAAACCCAATTCAATTGATCAATAATTCAACAATGTGCATTGCCATGCGCATGGAATAGCCTATTAGCTATGAAGTTCAGCGCGATGAAGTCACATGCGCGCGAGCTGGGTGGCGACAGTTACCCCAACTTCAACAACGACTGTCACCCCGCGTAGATCATCGTAGTGCTGGACCCTGATCGACGGTCGCAGCTCCAAGTGGGCCTAGCCATCGGACCGCTCTGAATTTCAGACCGTCGTGTGCGTCACGCAACCTAGGGTAGTCGTGATCCGGGGCGGCTATGGAGATGCGATAGCTGACAGAGAGAAGAATTGGATTGAAACTTGGAGACTTGACGGATTGTTTGTTGTTGCGAAATGCTTGTCGGTGGTGATGACGTGGCTATGGCTGTGGCTGTCTGGTATGGCAATGTCACAAATCACTTCGAGATTCTGCAGCATTGAGATTCAAATTGCAGCAGCACCGGTTTCAATTACGATTGGGTTAATACACGAAGTTCACAAGACTCTGCATAACTCTCCGTACTTTGGATACTCTAGCGCCCAAATAAGGCTCAAAAGAACAGCGATAGTATGATGCAGCTAGGTGCTTAAATTAAGATATCTTGAAAAGTAAGTACGATAAAGTAACGTTGTTAGTGCAAACAGATGTTAAGGCTATATCTCACTAGACATATCCTTGAGATGTATCTTATGAGAAGGATCAGGAAAGAGTAAGGCAGAGCTAAAAGGAGAGGCATGGGCAGAGGCAGGGGTAGAGGCAGGTACTAGATAGGGGTAACTTTGCTTTGTCAGCTCTACAGTGAGAAGCGAAAGCGATGCCAAGACACTACTATAAAAGGCTGTAAGATAAGCAAAACAACTAATGTATATCTTAAATTGAGTTGACTAGGTAGATGTTGCAGTTCAAAAGGCGTTTTGCTATGAACAAAGAACACTATGTCAACATTAGTTCATTTTTAGAATAGCTCCATCACCCACCTTACTAGTACAACTCTCTCACCCGTTTTTAGGACCCTATCGACACGCTCTGGTATCAAGATACATGGTGTCTCAGAACAACTACGCTCTTGATGAAGATAAGACATACCCTCTCGTCCCCTCTACTTTCCTCGTGTATGGCTCACAGTTGACTCAACAAGATACTGCATCATCTCGTGGACTTACAGCATGATATTAAGTTGCATGCAACCCTGGACTATTCCTACCGGCTCAAACGATGTTGATCAACTCACCATCGCTTCCATCTCCCTCGCCATTCATGACACCATGCAAATACGTGTCGCCAACAATCTTGTACCCCTCTTTGTGTGCTCTCAGTATGTATGGAATCCTGCATCCCGCGAAAAGACCAACGTCGTCTCCAACCCTCGCGGCAAGTGGAACCCAGCCAATCAAACCCTGCGCAGAGATACCAAACTGTCGTCCTTGTGTCCACAAGCTAAAGCTATTCTCAAAGTCTCTCTGATCTATTTGTGTCTGCGAAGTCTGTTGCACATGGTCGTTATGCAGCTTGACTAGCAAAGTTCTCAAGCACACATCCCAGGCAGTGTTTGTGAATTGGATCATCGATGGAAGGGCGAACGGTACTGCGCAGAAGAGAAACTTGTTTCTGCGGAAGCAGTATGTCAATATCGAGATGGAAAGACATGATATACCCCAGAACGATATTTTCCCTATCTTGCAGACGCGCCTAAACGTGAGTTCTAGCTTGTGGCGTGCTGTTTGAAGTTGAAAGAGTTTTCGCCACGCACGGTAACTACTATCATCAGCAGGTGGATGCTGTGTGTTGCTTGATGAGCGGTTACAGCACAGGGTGCGCCAAAATGCTTCGTGTAGGGCTTCACCAGTAAAACTGTAGACGGGAGTCGCTCCTGTGCTGGAGGACGGCGCAAGTGCCTCCATCGCGGTCATCGCCTTCCCGTGCCAGTCAAAAATTCCAGGGACATGTTTCGAGGTTAGGAAGTCCGACTGGGGCACAAGCTGGCGCATGGCTATCGGAGAAGGAACAATACTTGCAATCGTATCGAACACCGTTCCGCGGACTTGCAGGCTCTTTCAAATACGTTAGTTCGGACTGAAAAGCAGTGTATACAGGAACGTTTACCGTGTTCTGTCCCGTTGTGGTCAATAAGATCTCTGGGCTACGCGTAATGAACGGTCTTTCCGACTCGTACTGGCCTATCAAAGGGGTATACAGCGAAACTTTCAGGCTGACCCAGTCGACCACCCAGCTTGGTTTGAGAAGATCGTCGTTCTCGTCTCGCGTTATACACGACCACATATCTAGTACAGAGCCTGACGGTGCCTCAATGCTTCCATCCAGAATCATTTGGCTGAGTTCCTGGACCACTGCGTCGTAGCTTTTAGAATAGTCGACAAACTCTTCGCCAATATCGTTCGCCAAACCTACTAGCGCAAAGATCTTATCGCGCGGATCTGTAGCATCAAAGCAACGTGTGATGAGCAACAACAACTGGATCCCACTCAGGCCACTATCTCTAAGACTCTTGAAGCCCCATAATCTTCCAGCACACATAAGTTTTGACCGTCCCGTCTCCTGCGCTTCTTTATCTTCCAACACCACTGTCGCAAGCTGCGTTTTGATATTGCAGTTGTACATCTGGAACAATCGAGATGCTGCTTCCAAGATAGGGAACTTTTCGTTGAGCGTCTCTGCTCCGCACCAGATGATTAGCTGCTTCGCACATATGAGTTCCTGAACGCTACAATCTGTCAGCGCAGGCTCGAATACCACGGTTGTAGCTTGTATTGTTACACACATCCAAATACGGCTGAACCACGGCCTCATCAGAAACGCAGCCAGCGCATCGAAGTACACATCCGGCACCTGCGCAGCTACTTTGGCGTCATGATCCGCGATGTTGAAGTAGCCAAGGAATGAGAGGTCTGACCCAAAATGCAATCCGGGAAACATGGCCCATGGCGCGTTCATGGCTTCCAGTAGTTCCAGTGCCATGCTATCAGTCGACTCTGCTTCGCCTAGCCACACCACTACGCACGTTGCTTTCGAGTAGATGGTCTGCATCATACGAACCTGCGATGTCCGTTCGGAGGTATTGGACTGGTCGATGCAGATCGCGTCCACCCAGAGAGGTACATTGATGGCTCTGCGACGGTATTCATGCAGCGCAGTGTGTAGGTTGGACGTGATCAAGAGAGGTTGTGCATTGCACATTATCTGGACAGGAGAGCTTTTGGTGCCCCAGCAATATGAAAGAGCATTGTAGGAGTTTGCCGGATCGTCTAAAGGAGCCTCTGCAAGGGTGCACTCGAGCGGAGAGTCGAGATCACCTGGTTTAACTGTGAGTAAGCGGATGGTACGTCCTTTAAGGCCGTTATGATATATCAAGGGTGACATGGTCAGCGCTACCATATCAGAGAATGCAAGTCCAGGTGTGTTGATGTCGAGTGGGTGTACTGTATGTGACGAGGCTGGCGCTTACGTGCCAAGGCGGGTGGCCTGATTCGTGTTGTGGCTGTGCATCGGAACGCTTTTGTGGGGTAGTCTATATTTAGGAATTCCTACAGTACTTTCAACGCCAGCGCCTCGGCATGTCGGTACTCCGACCTACCGCGTGGTCAGCCAATCAATTTCGTTGCTGCCACCCTAAATCATTAACTTTTGCTCTATTCGCGATCATTCCTTATTCGACCCTTCCTCACTGCCTACCTAGGTACCCAAGAGATTCCGAGCTGCACAATCAGATTAATCATGAGACAGTACTTTGTAGACCTCATTAAGGTATTGCTCTTGGCATTCACAAGAACGGAAGCGTGTGACGATGTCAGGCCACTCAGGCCTCCCACGATGATCTCTTACCGGCAATTCCATCGATTCTAACATATAACTGTACCCCATCACCCAAAGACTGCAAACCAACATACTATACCATGGAGACTATTGCAAAGTGCTATCCACCACTCGATGAGCGCAAAGCCATACCTGGCATGTATTTGCCTGGCACATTCGCTTTAACACTTGTGCCATTTTTCTCCGCTCATCGCAGACGGACAGCCCTCATTGTACTTCCCTTCCTACTCTCACTGTGCCTGTTGGCGCCCTGTTACACCTTTGGCAATCCCTCAGCAGACTTCTACCGGAGCTCGGGCTTTATTATCATGCCGATCTGGTTCATCGAGTTCGCTGTCCTCAGATCCCAGGAGGGAGACACTGCACCAGTATACGTTGGTCACACTGCTCAATCTGATGGTACAATTCCGCGACGGATGGAGGACTGCCCTAATGGATTATCGAAGCTACGTTGGGTTGTTACGTTGATGGTGCCTTCACACCGAGGCATAGGGTGGAATTGGCAGATCAAGAACGTTCCTTCAGACCCAAACGGTCACTTGGCACGACTGGCTTGGATCAAGCTTCAGACTCGAAAAGCCGTTGTGTCATACATAGGATCCTTACTCATGCTGACCATTCTTGGCTTCATGTCTGCCATTGAAGAGCAATCCCAAGGCAGCCCCTCAATAGAGCTTGTCGTGGACGCAATCATTGGCTGGACAGGCGCGATCTGGATCTACTGTCGGTTGTGCTGCTTTTACAGCACATCATCAGTCGTAACGGTAGCACTTGGTATATACGAGATTTGGCAGCTTCCGCCGCTTATGGGGGATCTGCACAATGCCTGGTCGGTGAGGCAGTTCTGGGCCACTTACCATCAAACTATGCGACTGGTAAGTCAGTTCAGCTTTTGTGTAAGACATGCACACTAATCGATGTTGGATAGATGGTGTCGCAGCCTGCTCTACGTATTACACGAGCTCTTGGTCTGCAGAAAGGTACGATTGCTTCTGCACTCAGCCAGCTTTTTCTGTCATTCGGCATCAGCTGCATCGTACACCAGTACCAGATGTTCAACGTCACACGCCGAGACATGGGTGAATTTGCATTCTTCATGAGTCAGCCAGTAGCAATCAGCTTGGAGGGCGTAGGGAAGTGGCTTTGGGATCGACATGGCACACCGCGCTCCAGCACTGCACGGCTAAGCACCCTCCTTGGTTATACATGGGTCTTTCTCTGGTTTTCGTTGAGTCTTCCGATCTATCTGAAGGGTAGCAGAGACGCAGGTATTGTTCGTGATCTCTTCTTCGGAACCACGCTATTTGATATGGGAGGTTCCCTGGCTAGATCGCGTGGATAGTACGGCAGTCCAATGATTGGGACGAGGGCAAGGCATGCTTTGCCCTAACATTCTCCTATAGTTGACAAGAGCACACCGAACTATTCACTTTCCCGTCAATTCCACGTGTTGTCGTAGAAGACAGCTTGAAATGCGGCGGCCCCAGAATTTGATGCATTCGCAACTTTCTCATTGAGTAATGTTTGCTTTGCAGCGCGCAAAAATTAAGGGCGATCACTCTCGCACATGTCTTTAGAAGCGTCTACTCTGGTCAAAGATTTACTGAGTGGCTGTTGGAGCAGCCGTCACGTCACGCACTTTAACTATGGATCGAGCTTCGAACGATACGCCGTCAAGATATTGCTAAAGTACTGGAACTTCAAAAACAGCCGCTCTCTATAGCTACATCATGGTTATTTACAGGTGTTCGACCCAGAACGCAAAGAGAAGCGAGGGCAACGGTTGTTGAGGATCGCCCTCGTACGCCTCCAGTGCATCCTGAGCCTCAGAACCAGCTGGCATGGCACTGCAGTATGCATGCTGAGACATCTAAACTGCGAGCGATGGAGACCAGCTAGCAGCTCGTGGGGACGTATAGTACCTATTGAGGTCTGAGACTTTGAGACCCAAGCTCCTTCGGCAACCACCATGCTCGGATAATGTCGATGGGCTAATTGTGCAGCCCTTCATGACACACGACACCGAAGAGCGCCCACCCACGTAGGGAGATCTCGACATTTCTATTCACCTCACTGCTCAGGTCAAAAGCCGTATTCTCAAAGGAATCATTGCCATTGAGTCCAATTGGGGCAGCAGCTGGAGAGTGACTCTGCGTACAGGTAGCCTCAACATTCAAAAAGAGCGCTCCCTTCAACTTGCTCTGTCACTCGCGCAACTTGCAATAATCCAGCCAGACATCTCTCGTCTCCTATTTACGCTCTTTACTTTCCGGAACCATCAGAATGCGCAAGCATCAATTGTTGGGGAAAAAATGAACTCTAGAACGACAAGCTTATTTGGCACTGTTGAACAGAGTATTCGCTACATCTTGTACAGGGTACTCAATTTCTGGCTAAGCTTCCTCAAGTATCCAAGTTTTCCATCTTCAGTGAGCGTTACAGTCCATTTGAGCGCACAAGAAGCAGCGAAGCTAGGCGCTCCCGCCCCCCCTGTGAAGTCTTCACGCCGCACACGTGTCCGTACTTCACAGCGATCGATTAAACTAGGGAGAAGAGAAGTGGTAGGCGCGTCACTGCCTACCAATTTCTTGCTGCTTGGAGAAGAGCGCGAAGCTCCCGACTCTGACATTGAAGACACCAGCATCCGACTTGGCTTTGACAAATTGCTCCTGTAATCCTCGCCTTCACCTGACAACACATCCAGCCGCAGGTCGACGTCGCAGCTCCCTTCTATCATGACGCGTGATGGTTCGTTCCTTCTTCGAGACCCCGTCCGGCATAAGATCACAAGGCGCCTTTTCGAAGCAAGCGAGAGAACGGGGGACTTGCAGAACAAAATCTCAGAGATCGAACGTTCCTTGAGCCAGGCACAAAAAACTCACAACTGCATGCTCGACCGTCTCAAGACTAGGTAGCCTCGCCATTGATGTTGGGGTTACAGAGAATCTTCTAGAGGAGGCTATCGAGCGATTTGAAAGAAGAAAGCCTGCGGTACTTTGTGAGATCCCATCCAGCCGAATTTCCGCGCTTGGCAGCCACTTTCATGTTAGCGTCTAGCAATGCCAGTGCGTTCGACGGTACAAATGCCGATTTGGCCATTATTCAGCTGACTAAGGACATTATTTTGCACGAGACGGCGCGCACAGGACAAGAGGCGGCAATATCGGCTGTGGAGGTCGTCAAAGAAGTTTGGAATCGATCTCGTGAGATGCTAGTGGCAGACGGGAAACGCCAGCAGACCTTCTGAGAGCTTGTTCAGACTATGTAAAGCTATCTCACATGGTCCATGCTGAATGAGAAGCTGGCTATGATTAACGAAAAGACCCACGTCTGTATTCCAAGGCGTCTTTGCCTTCAATTGATCCTGCGGTCGTTACGAACGTGAGCCTTAGGCCCCACACTCTTTGACATCCAGCTCATTTACATCAGCACTAAACAACAATCCAGAATCCTGCAAGTTATAGTCCCAGTGCGGCTAGTAATCGTTGTCGAATGCGTTACTAGGTACCCAGCGCATCGTGTTGCGCTGTGAAACACCTCAATTCTCACAGCTTGAAGCTTGCCACCAATGCTCTTACCACCGTAACCCACAGATCGAGCGCTCATCAGAATTCATCGGAGGAGCTTAGATACAAGAACCGGACGCGCTCGGCGCGCAAAGTGGCAACACGAAGAGGTCATGGCGTCAGCGAGCACGAGTGTGAGTGCCCGCTCGGAACCAACCTGTAAAGGCGATTCCTTGGAGAGACCTATTGTGACACTTTGCTTCGTCAAGGGCCTTCATGTGTAGGCATGCAAGTCCAGGGATTTTACGATCGAAGAAGGATGGTCAGCTCACCAGGAGACTGCCATCTGCTTGGAACTCGACCTAAATAAAGCAGCGACAACCATAAGACTAGTCTACCTCTTTTCCTGGGAATTCTCTAGGAGTATCCTCTCTACTATCGACATCGACGATGTTTGACCCAGAAGTAGTAGAGCAGAAAATCTAGCAACGCGCAAATTTCTTGGCTACCTATCAAAAGTCGATCGCAGCGGCCTTCACCTCGAGGTTCTTAGATGTGTCGTTGACCCCACCTCCTTGACTATAGCTCCTGAGCTCTAGGCAGAAGTACGAAGCAATCTGCTAGTACAATCGCAGCCAAGCCACCACCCTTGTTACAGCCACCAACGGCTTGTAAGGCAGAGTTGCAACATACTCTAGCAATCCATCACCCCGAACCGCGCCGAGGCTCTTCACGTACGATGAGCTCTTCAATTCGATCTTCAGAACCTGGTGCCGAGCGCCTGACTGGAGATGCCAATGCCAACAGCACCCGACTTTTCGACTCGATTGTCTACGACTCCCAGAGCTCTGCCTCTGAGGAGACAGTTTGCACGACCGACCAGAGAGGAGACAAATTCGAGGACATTCATCGGGCTAGTCAGGAAGGTGCAAAGGAAGGCTGCGACAGATTGGTGCAGGCAGACCGTACTATACACTTCCGACCAACGATTTATAACGCCGATCGCGAGGCCACAGATGATCCTAATTGTTTACTGTCTGTAGCAGCTTCGCAGCCTGCCGCGCACCTTTTGTCTGACCTACAACACACACCAGACACCACACCAATGGCGCCGCACCCCGGCCTGCCAGGCCCGCGTCGCCAGCTGCCAAGCCCTCCTATCAGTCCAGTAGCCGTCGCTTCACTCTCGATTAAGACTGAAGTGAGCTTTGCAGAGACGCTGCAGACTGAACTCGACACGAACTTCCCACTCTCAACTCAGACGCTGCATCACATTCTCAAGCTGCTTGTTCCAGACTGCGAGGCCTATAAGTGGTATAATGCTGGATCTCCAGACAAAGTCGGATTTCATTGCGAAGCGCAGCTCACCCAGCGTCTAGACGCAGTCGTGGTCTTCGTCGCGCTTTTCTGGTCCTCTCGATGGATCTTGCTTCGTTATGTGCGCCCCAGCCAGACTGTTCAAATTTTCGACTCGCTCCAGACGGACTCTACACTGCCGGCACTACTGCAGCGAACTCGCGAAATCGGCCTCCTCCTAGGTAGAGAGTATGAGACCACGCAGCTTGTCGACACGAAGCAGCCCACCAACCCATCCGACAGCGGTATCGCGCTCATTGTACACGCTCTCCACGCGGCGGCTGGTGTGCAGGTGAGCCGGAGCGTCAACATCACACTTTGGCGGCTCCTGTTGCAGCGTGCCTTTGCACAACAGGTATCCGAGATTTCTCAGGGCATTGTCATGGATGCCCCGCAAGGCCGTACTGGCGCGGATCTGGACGCTGCAATGTTGCTTGTTCGCCAGTTGATGGTGCAGGCGAAAGGCACGCAGGAGGACGGTGGCGTGAATCTGGTCGCGAGCTTTTCACAGTTCTCGCTTGCTGAAGGGGAATTGATGAAGGGATTTTTTGAGGGAACTCAGGCCCTAGAGAGGCTGGCAAGGGTTGTGAGAATCATTCGGACATCCCTAATGGCGCTACCCACTTGAGGACTGGAGGGCTCTGCGGAGATTGCGATTCAAGCAGAGCTCACTCGGTAATGGATTCTGGGAGACCAGAAGGCGGGAATTCACACAAGACTGTGTCACCATTGTCAAAATTCGAGGTTGCTTGGTAGAGCTATGAGCGCCATACAAAGCTGTACCTTTCACGAGCATAAGATTATATTCAGCCATGGCTGTGTACGATGATTGTAGCAGCAGTCTAGCGCCTCCTTTCCGGGTAATGAATGGTGCTGTTTCACCCAAGTTGTCTACATTGTTACCCCCTAAGGCTGTCACAGGCTCTCAGTGGGTTGCTTCATTGGACGATATTACTTTGCTTGCCATATATTTCTAGAGTGCGTTTCCTACCCGCGGACCAGCACACATGCACTGAGACATGCAGGAATACACATCTATCAGATAGCAATCACTAATCCCTCAGTCTTCGGGTGTGATCTACCGCGTCATCGGACTCTCTTAGAGTCGCACGATGTGCTGTCATGCAATAATTCGAAAGTCTGGATCTTTGCAACACGAGCGATTGCGACCGACATATGTGAGTCGCGGACATTTGAGGGTGCGTACATGGTAGCCTGCTCTCGCAGTCGCTGCTTTGAGTACACTCTTTGAGACATGACCAACAGCGCGTTGGAAGAGAGATGGAGACGAAAGTGGCAAATGAACGACACTGTGGATGTCGCCAGCGGATGCTGTCTACACCGACTTGGTTTGTCCACCACCTCCACATGCACACACGCGACTTCTTCATGAGGTAATGTCAGCAACGTTAATATTGGAAGTGAGCCACGCCCGCATTAATGGCTCGTTCTATGTACAGTCGAACCAAGGTTCCTCGTCTGGTAGGACACGTTCACGCCAGCGGTCACGTGGACGACGTCTGCTGTGTTGACTGGGCGCTCGCAGGTTCGGCGCCATGGAAGCAGTTGCCCGGATGCACGCTGCATCGGCACCGGATGACACGAAGAATCGGCTTCTCTATGGATCTGCTGCAGTATGCGTTCGGCCCTCGTGGAGCACGGTCGTGCCAGGTGATCAAGCCTGGTTGTGGAAGTCGACAAGAAAGCAAGTTCGCACGCGCCAGCGATTCTGCCATGCGACGACGGCAGGATGTTCGAGACCAGTCGCAGCCGTACACTCGGGCGCAACCTCATCGAAGCCGACGACGAACATGTTCAGGATCGTCTGGATTTGGAAGGTGGGGCGCGACCAATCAAAAACCCTAAGAATGCCAAGTTCCACGTGATCCCGCGCGTTGAGCGTGTCACGTTCCAAGCCACCCGCCTTCGTCGAACACCAACACCAACACCACCGCCACCACCTGCACCACTACCACTACCACGCCCATACCGACGAACCCCTGTCGATGCGCCGCGCATCTTCAATCTCCTGCTCGCATCTGCCAAATCCTTGTTTCCGTCGCTATCGCACCCATTGCGCGTTTCGCACACTCGCATCAAGCCTATCATCCTTGCGAACTTCACAAGGCCTCTGGCGGTAAGAGACAGGCACTTCTGCTTCGCACAGGCGGCTGTCGGCTGCCGTCGCAGGGGTGGGCTTCAGGCGTTCATCGTGGCCGCGTACCCGGTGTCAGTCGCGAGAGGTGGACGCGACGAACGCGACAGACAGAGTCAAGGCTGCTCGCAAAGCCTGGGCGGGCGGGATCCCTGTTGCCGGTTACCGCATCGATGAGTCTCCGCTGTGACGACTGCGAGGGCATTCGTGAGTATTGCCAGGTAGATTCCATAGCGCTAATATAAGCAATCCCAACATCGGCTTCAAGGCCCTCGCTTTCCCTGCCCCACACGCTGCCTCAACGTCTGTATCTCCAGTTCCGTGCTCGCTTGCCTTCAAGTATGACGATGCTGCCAGGCAGGCCACTGTCTTGCTTGTGGCCACGGTCGCCAGCATCGCCTCGCATAGCTCACGTGACACTCACACGTTTGTTCTGCAGTACGACGCCGACCGCTTGCTGCCTGGCGCCGCCAGCCTGCAGAGTGGCAGCACAGTCCTCTCGCAGTTCGACGGAGTGCTGCGAGCCAAGGATGACCGGCGTCCCCAGGTGAAGACGCTTGCGTTCAGCCTGGAGCGCCCGTGTCTTGTGTGGTGTCCGGGCGGCCTCTTCTTCGCGCATAAGCCGGGCTCCGAGATCTCGTTTCAGCACCTTACTGAACTCGCCTCAGCGACCCAGATTCACATCGTGTTTGACTACAAGTACCTGCTGAGAGAACAGCTGAGCGCGTTCAGAGCTTTCGCCAAGGCGGCGCAGGACTTGAGCGGATATCCGGTCGGGCGCTTGCTCGGCGACTTCGGACTGAAGCAGGCAGACTAGGGGGTGTCTTGGTCTCTGTTGACGCGGCTGGTGCGCCACCCACTTACGAGCCGTCTCGCAAGCGGCCCAGGAGTAAGTTGGATTTCTATGCACCATTCGAAAGTCTGACCCACGCAGCCACCTCTTCGCCTGTGCAGTCTCCGTCACGATTCGCACAGTAATCGCCTGTTCAGTCCCCGGCACAGTCCGTGCCGCACTCGCCCACCCCGTCGCATGCATCAGACAAAACCGTGCCTCTGAGCCCGGCAGCGGCCGAGGCACTCCGGGCGACACTTCCCCGAGAACCTCTGTTCGATTACCAGACTGAGGCCATCAACGCTGCGGTCAACAGACATCTCCCTGCTCACTTGGAGCGCGTACTGCCAACCCTCCTCCCAGACCTGCTCCAGGCCCTGCTCACCCGCGCACCCGCGTCCCTTCCTGGCTCCCCACACACTTCCTTCACCTCATCCATCACGTCACCATCCAGGCCTCCACCGCTGACGCCCCTTGCGCAAGCCCTTCTGCACCATCTCCGCACCCACCTTCAAGACCAGTTCCAAACCTACCAAACCCACCAACTCAGGCAGTTCCAGAACATGCTCGATTGCCTCTGGGACTCCGCTGAAGCCGCGCGCGCCCACGAGGCAGCCGAATTAATTGACGACCTGGAAGACCATAAGACGGAGCTGCTTCTCCTCCGCAACGACACCATCAACGAGCTGTCGCGCGAAATCGATGCCGTCTTCGAGAAGAGCCGCGAGGAGGGCTGGGAGCTGAACGACAAGTTGGAAGAGCAGTATGCGGCGGCGCTCGGTGATGTGTGCGATAAGATCGAGCGGCTGAAGCGGGTGCGGGTGAAGAAAATGGTGGCCTGTGAGGTGAGGAACTCTGTTTGGCGCAAGAAGGGGGTGCGTAGAGGGGTGAAAAAGGAGCCGGGGAGGAGTGGTAAGAGGCTCTTGGGGAGGAAGAGGGAAGCCGAGGAAGAGGTGTGGGTCGATTGCTGAGGTGGCTCGATGGGCGATGCGATGATATCTTGCATAGAGCTGTGCGGTTTCCTAGATCACCATCTGCCAATAGTTCTTGTTCCTCACCTGGAACCTCCACAGCCCGATAGCTGCGATGTCATGTGTCTTTATGATTGCGGAATGTCAGATCAGCGTCAACCAAGATTAATGAACGACTTCATAAGAACGTTTTGTTACTAGAGTGTGCGTGTGTCCTGCCACGGTGTAGTTCACCTGCAGTCATGCTGCTCAGGCGCTGCCATAAGTACGGGCAGTAGCCTACGATTGTGTCAGTTGCCTGGTCGAACGTGTATGGGTCACTGATGTCGAATACATTCGATATTTGACATTGTGCAAACAGTTGGCAACCTAATTCTACTTGAACCAGTACGGTACATGTACTTTTGATAACACATCTCGTTCTGGGGACCTCTTATCGTAGACTTCCAGCGACCGGTTGTGCTCTTCAGAGAACGATGTACGTGTCATCGCCTTTCTCTCCTTCTACAATTTCCCCACTGCTCTCTGAATCATTGTCCTCGTCATCTTCCTCATCTTCCTCCTCTTCCTTGTCTTCCTCATCTTCCTGAAAGTCTGCGACTCTAACACCTTCTTCGTCTTCGTCACTACTGTCGACGGCGACATCCTCGTCATCGTCATCATCATCAGCTTCGATGCTCCCTTCGTCTTCAGTGGTGCTTTCAATCGACTTCAAACGCAGGTGTCCCTTTGTTTTACGGGATGGAGTGTACTTGACATTTCCTCCTGCAAGGTCGAGGCGAGCCAGACCCCGGCTAATCACTCGCCCTACCGGGTCACTCTGAGGACTAACATCCTTTTGGTCTCCTCGGCCTTTGACTTTGATCTCGACAATCCACTCGTCTTTTTTGGACACGCGTTCGTAGTCCGGCTCCAGCTTCCAGTCTTGTCGATTGTTACCGCCAACGCAGTGGAGCAAGTAAAGAAACGCTAATCGCGTGCTGACCACGGATATGTTGCCGTTGGTGTCGAACTGCACTTTGTCTGATGACAAAAGGGGCTTCCGTGTGTAGTAGACACGGTACTCGCCAGGCTTGGTCGTTGATTCGCCAAGTCTCAAGAAGATTGTCTCGTTGTAGGTAGAGACAGCTCCATACCTGATCCCCCATGCTAGCATGTCCCGGACAGCCTGGCCGATCAGATTGCGGAAGGTGCTTCTGCGGCGGTTCACTGGGGGCCGAGGATCTTTTCTCACATCTTCGATCATCCCGTGAATACTCACGGTGCTGCATGACTTGAGTTCACACAGGAGCCGAACTTCCTGTCCCACCTCTCCCATGCCTGGGATCTTAAAGATGATATCCGGCTCGGAGTTCTGCGCTTTCTTGTCCTTGAAGTTGAAGATCTTTTGGCTCCCATAACTCATCGATTTTGGGAGAGTCGGTAAATTCAAAGCAGTTTTCTTGTCCAAAAATTCGGGATACTGGATGATTTTGAGAACGCTAGCGACCTTCTCGAGTACGTTGCTTTTGAATCGACCATCGAGATCAATTTCTGCGCCAACTTGAGTGTGTTCTATACTTGGAAAGAATGGATTGAACAAAAGGATATCCGGCGAGTTGTCACTCATCACAAATCTGCAATCCTCGAACGCTTCCTTGAGGGCCTTGAAGAAATGATCAACATCGAGGTTGAAATCAGTCCATTCAGCCAATTGGCCTTGATAGTACCAGCGAAGCTTATGGTCTTTAGTCGTTTCATCTCCCCAGTCTCCGATTAGCAACTCTGGTAGAGAACTGCAGATGACTTGCTGTGGGTTCAAGTAGTAATCCATGTTGGGCGGCATCGCTGTGGTGGATGCGGGTCGTTGTAGGTATCAGGATACTGGCAGCCCAGCAGAAGTGAGGAGAAATATTCATTGTGGAGATCCTCGCGCAGTGAAAGTATCCGTGAGAGCAAACAATGTCGACAGGTGAGAGTGAAAGGCTCGAGTCGATTTGAGTATCTGAAACCGCACAATTGTTCTCGGATGCTCCCCTCCACCATCATTCTATTGTACTGTGCTTTCATTATATCTCGCTATATCAACAGGCGGTCTGGAAAAATAACCAGTCTCCGGTGAATTAGGCCGCAAGTGAAAGGTGGACGTGGGAGAAAGCGCTATTCCACAACAGGTAAGCCCGCTGCCCTAGCGATACATCAACAAGCTTCGCCTTCGCCCGGCAACACTTCTGCAGCGACATAACCCACTTGCATCTCAACGCCAGAGCATTCCAATCGATATCATCGCCGTGCGAACACGATGGCCGATAATGTCGACGCCATCGCTACCATGCCTGAACCACCGCCGAGCGACACGTCTAGTACCAGTTCGTACCACACAACCGATGTCGTCGCAGGCAAGCCCACTGTAATGACCTCCAACACACGGTTGCCTCGTGTCCGTGCTTTCGAGGGTGCGAAATTCCGGATCCACGACGGCACGCGTTGGAAGGTCCTGCAGCCATTGACAAAAGTGGATCTGCAACAAGAATATGTCCCCTGCGAAGGGTCACAGGTCTTCAGTTGCATTAGCTTGGACAAGGCCATCCGTTCGAAGTATGGCACGGTTGCCGTTAAGATTAGATTCCAGTAAGTGTTTGCATCACATCGGTGCAATACAAACGCAACGTGCTAACGTTCGGCAGGGTTTGCGCTGATCCCGACACCATTGCGCATCACCAGCATCAGGTCCAGAGATGCGCGGATATGTTGGCCAAGTTCCCAACCCAACCTAATCGACACTGGCTCTCGATCAGTGAGAAGAAGCTAGCCCTTTGCACACGTCCTGCTGCCAAGGTGAACGATTGCACCCTTAGAGAGTGCATTGCGCTTGATCGTCTCACCAGTCGAGACTGTGAATACACGCCTTGGATGGAAGGATATGTTCGAATGAAGCTCAGCTCCAAATGCCACCCTGCAGCGATTGGAGGTGGCTACTGTGTCTTCATTGTCACGGATAAACTCAATGCCACCACCATGTCCCATGACGACTTTTGCCAGATGTCGCTCAAGGAACGAGATCGAATCCGCGAGGCAATCAAGACAGCGCTTTTGTAAGTTGCCCGATCTCAATCAATCACAAGATACTAACAAAGAGAAGGAGTGTCTGGGCTTGCTATGTGCAGCCATCTAATTACAGCATGAAAAACTTCCTGTGGGATGAGAAGAAGGAACACTTGTAAGCATCGCCGCGCCTTTCTTGTGCTGCAATACTAAGACTTTTGGCAGCTACATTGTTGGGTTCGAGAATTGTCTGTTGCCAAGCCTGACTTCTGAGCCCCAAGCCTGGTCCGATTCACACTTCGCGGCGTTGAACTTGACCGAGGATCAGGTCTTGGCCTGTTGTCCGCAACCATCCTGTCCGTAGTCTGGTCCATTTATACATTGACACGCACACACTTACAACTTGGAGGATGCGTTCCAATGAAATGACCAGCGCATTTGACAAGCGTTACCAGTTTATGGGGTAGGAGTCTTCACCAAAGATGAGACTGGTGTACACAACTTGTTTTCGATCAATCAAAGCATCATTTGGAACCTTCTCAGCGTGCCTAGTGGCAAAAGTTCATTCGTGGTCTCCACATTCAGTTCTGCCCAGTACATACCACAACTCATCGGTACCGTCGTCGGTGTGTCTGGATCTGATTTGTACCTCAATGAGAGCGAGGAGAGTTGCATGAGAATTTACGAGAGTAGCAGACTTCAGCAAGAATGCAAGACGCATACATAGGAGTCGATTCTGAAGGCACTAACTAGTCTATGCTGAAGCGTTCGAGATTCCAGAGTATCGACTTTGGCACGGGCTCCTCTTCATTGTGCGTGATAGATAGGTCTTACTTAGAATTGGCCTCCAGCGACTTTGCTACCCCGACTCTGAACTCTTCAAGGTGGGAGACAGCATAGCCGGTTTAGCCGCAGGTCAGCTAGGGCGTGTTAGCTTCACAGCGCTGCCAGTACCACGAAGGAAATTGCTGTCCGCTTCGCCCAGGCTACTTGAATGGCAGTGTCAGCTTGAACTCGTCCTTGTTTCGCTTGGAGTGTGTCGTTATGCCAAGTGTAGAGAAGACCGAACGCTGAGACAACGCTCTGCCTGTCCTCCTGTTGGATCGATGGCTGCATCAGGATCCAAGCGTCTGGTCACATTAAATAGACTCGGAATGATAAGGTCTGTTCATGCCACCGGCCCAAAACCTTGTCAATCATCTAGCATCGCGTATTTCTACTCTCTTCGGCCCTGTTTACAGATACGTGATGTCGTCACTTCTCGCTGCAAACCCTCGATTCATATGACTGACCTCGGCTGACGCGCACTCACATTCTATGATTAGGTACGTATACTTCCCCCACACACGTACCGTTTCGGCTACCATAGCAAGGCTGGAATGCATGGTCAGGTAAACTCATGTCACGAAGCTGCAATAAGCTATTCTCAAACTCAAGATGGCATGATTAGCAGCAGAGTTAATTGGACGATAGCTGGCCTCCTGTCAGCTGCATGGTTCCGCAGCCTCTCAAAGCCGTTACGTAGGCATCTTGGCAATGAGGTGTGCCCTTCCGAAGAACATACACCAGGCGCCGGCCCAGCCTTGCATGAAACGGCGCGTGGGGTGAGAGCCCACCGCGCGACAGGTCAGAGATCATGACATTCACCCTGTGTACATGAACTCTGCTGTCATTCCTACTTTATAGGACGCGCCGAAGCTTCGCCCACGTCCTTTTATGGACAGTCCGGGTGAAGATGGCTTATGCGATATGTCCAAATGGGAAAGCAGGCCGCCAGACTGAGCTCATAGTAGGACGAGGTAGCCAAACGCTAAAGCTTACTAATCAGGGCACAAATCGTGCCAAATATCGTCCTATTTACACTCATATGTGACATGGAATTCACATGGATACCAGTCTCATGCAATGCGGCTCATACAGCTACGCACCGGCGACGCAATAGTTCGGTCATGACCTACTCCCCCTCCAGGTTTCCATCGATACGACTTCCAGCGACAACCCAACGAAGTCGTCCCACTACCGTGGAGTTTAGCTAGGCACATACATGCGAGATCTGCGATCCTTCGTCATCTACCAAGTTTTACTCGACTACTCTGCGCGCAGGACCGAATGCATGCTACAAAAAAGTCAAATCGCCGTTTGATTCTTCCACAGCTAGGATGGTTGGACTGCCACAGCAAGGTATCCTTCGTTCCAATCCAGATAACCAACTATTTCCTCCAATTCACGGCCGAGCCTTGTCATCACGACTCTTTGGTAGCGGAGGAGTGGTGGGCGCAACTGAGACAGTACTACGGTCACTTTTTGACGCCGCTGTATTCAAGGAGTGGTATGCCGAGTGTCAGGAAAGATGCGAAGTGGGACACGCCATTGATGTTCTCGCGGGATGTTTAGAATGAGGAGGATCTCACGGCGGGCCACATCATGACAAAATATCAATAGACGTCTAATTCTCTTGCGCGTAAGGGAGAATAGAAGTGGCTCTTGAGGAAATGCAGACCAGCTCAGAGCTTCCATGTTCGTATTAGAACAATGACAGCCAGTAGGGAAAATAGTCGTAAACAGCCGATGCGTCATGCATCGCTTTCTAGTCTTCGATTAGCGCAGAAGGACAAGATAGTCGGAACTTGCGTCATGTACGTACTTAATGCGGATGTCTAGCCTGCAGGCAAGTCTGGGGGAACTGCACGCGGGTAACCGGCTGGCTGACATATTACCTGCCTACGCGCGACTTTCGCACTACCTACCTTATGTCATCAACTACCCGTAACTCGAACAGAAAACGAAGACGCCCCAAGCGTCGGACTCGCAACTTCAGGGTCTAGGATCTGAAAATCCCAAAGCTCCTCGTTGCGATCTCGACGAAGTGCAGTTAGCTGCAACTACTAGATGAGCGAAAGCCATTGTGTGACACTGCAACCTTGGGACTTCCCTCCTCAGGCCGAACGCTATTTGCACAATGTTGAGGATAGAGCTTTGCGCCAGCAAGCTGACGTTCAGCGCTGTCACTGGCATGCAAAACTTTTCTGCGCTGGACGGAAGCGCAAGCCGGCCGCGGGCAGTATTGAACATCTTGACGTCTCTCTATTTGACAGACCTGATACTCTGTAAAGTGTTGAAGCATGTTGCAGTGACCGATATTTGGAAGCAGCGTACTCTTACACATACTCCGGCTTATCTACAGCTCCGAATGCTCAAATCTGCCGCAAACATCCAAACTCAAGTTCTGCCGTCGCATTTTGACGAGTCGAATGATCTTTGCTCTCAACTCGCAACGATTTTCAGGGTATCCCAGTATGCCTAGCTGACAGCACCTTCACTTCTGATACCGCCAGCCCACTTCCACTACTGCTACCGCGGACCCACCTTCACTCTAGGCCCCATTTCTTCGCCTCTCGCTCTTCACAATCTTACACTCCCCGTCCGCCGATCCGCCAGCGTAGTATCAAGTGAACAAAGCGCTCAAGCGTGATGCCTTCAACTAAGCCGCGCGGACGCAAGGCCGCTGTCGCACGTCCAGGCTATACGATGCAAGGCTTCAAGATTAGGAAGCCAGGAGGCAAGTCTCGAAATCAGCTTGGTGCGAAGCCGCGTTCAACTACTGCAATCGGGTCAGCCGCAGACGCTACTTTGGATGTCCGCGAACCAGGTAAGAATAATGCCGTGCGTGTGGAATCGAGCAACACTAATCATCGACAGCTGCTCCAAGCCGTAGTACCGGTCAGAAGACTACATCTCAGCGCACAGTCCCGTCCATATTCCCGTCGGTGCCTGGACCGTCAAAGACACCTGCAAATAAAACGACGCAGGGCTCTAGTTCCAAATCGTTCGTGATCGACCTGACGGAGGATAGCACCACGAAGCTATTGCAGGCTTCTTCAGATGCTAGCGCGTTTCTCGGAGTTCAAAATAGCGGCATCACGGGTTGCACACCAACAAATTCGAGATCCATGTCAGGTGAGGATCTTGCCAATGCTGCTATTCCGCATACACATACTTCACAACCTACGGTCAGCTTGGCCGTTCGTTCTGGCTCGTCACGGATATTTCGTGAAGGCAGTTCGAGGTGCACGCCGTCGTACGTTCGGCAGTTGCGAGATGCAGCGCAGTCACCTAACACTAGCTTCGGTCAGTCCGAGCCTGTAGACTTGGATCTCGGTGCTGCAACAGCCAGGTCTGAATTCGTGTTCGAGATGGAGGGTCTCAGGACTGAAGCCGTCGTTGACGTCTCCAGACGAGAAAGGGACCTCATCAGTACTATCGAACCTTCCTGCGCCGCCGTCGCTTTGCATGGCTTCCCAAGAAAGAACACACTGGGATTGAGCTTCACGTCGACCGCACCACAATTGATCGCATCCAATGCAGAGTATGATGAATATGTGAGCACAACCACCTACCGCGTGCCTCATGAAAGCGCGTTTGTATCTCCACAGATCTCTGTCACAATGTCAACCTCGAAGCTCTCGTGCCTGAGCCACGCTGATCGAACACACCGTTCTCAGTCCGGCGCTCTTTCCAAGCAACGCAAAGCTCCCCTTCTCAAGACGTCAGAGTCCGAAAAGACCGAATATCTGCAAGATGGAGACTTCATATACCGAAAAGTACCCCGGTGCAAGCCAGTGAGAGCTCGCACGCCTACACCTTACAGCCGGCGAACTCCGTTTTACCACCTCACCTCCAACCGATCAAAGATGCCAATCCGCCAACCTACTCCAGCTCCGCACGGCATGAGGAAGCGCCAAACCCAATCTCCCGGTCCGCATTCGAGATGCACACCCCGCCGCAAAGAGACATGGCGAAAACTCACGTCCAAAATGACCGAAAATCAGCGCCGTCGCCCAACATTTCCCCGCCGTTCTATGTTCACACAGGCCATCCAAGAACCTCACGTTACTCTGCCTCCGCTTGAGAGATACTGGGAGGTTCTTTCCAATTTGATTACCGACAAGAAGTTGTTTAGTAGGGATATGTTTGACCACTGGGAATACTTGGAAACATGTACGCGCGTCATTAATGGGAACCTGATTGACGAGGAGGCGTTTGGGAGGAAAGAGAGCTGCGCAATCGCCAGAGAGTTGATGAAGCAGAGATTTATCATGTTCTCGGGTGGAAATAAGGTCATGCTGACGCCGAATGCGGGTTGCTCGCGTCTGAGCTAGAATAGATGTGTCGGATACCAGCACTGTCTTTGGTGGTGGGGATACCAATCTGTTCCCACCAATGTTCTCTCGCGTTGTGCGAGGCTTTCGTATCTGGAAGTTCCAGCAACATAGATACACACAAAAATGATGTGTCGATGCTTGGAGAAAAATACATAATGATGGAGTGAGATATGTAGCAATCTAAGACTGAACATGACGAGTTTGATTGTTGCGGAACAGAGTTCGTCGGAAACTCTGTTTGACTCATCGGCCGTATAGCTGAAGCATGAGGTAAACTGTCGTTGGCGAACGGTGCGAGCGCGCAGCTTGCATCAAGTATTCGTCGTCACAGTGAATGATAATGTCCCAGATCGCTGCCAGAGCCCTAGATGTGCGGCTGTTGCCGTTCTTGTTTGAAAAGACGCCTAAGCCCGTCATGCTGACAGGCATGCGCTCCGCCAGCTTGAATAAGAGCCTTGTCTTTTCTCGCCCTCCCTGCAACGGTATCTTACCTGGTACGTGAGTGCCATTATTTCAAGTAGCGCGGTACACGCAGCGCATGCCGATGGCTACCCGTCATGTCTTTACTCCTCCTCCAGCCACGAGTCTAGACACTTGCAGGATTCCGGCTGCGAACCACACGACGCCACGCCACGTATTGCACTAATCATCACTTTCATGAGCCAGTACGCCTGCCGCGAAGAGGGGTCCCGTGTTACGCGTCACCGGTCTTGCAGCCTGCAGTCTGTGGAGGAGCTCGCGGTATTGCTGAATGCGCTCATCGAAGATGAGCTGACAAGACGAAGAAACTGAAGATACGTGACATGACACTCTATATCATGTTCTCCTACTACCACGACAGAGAAGGGTCGCGCTGGTCGAGTGCCGCGGAAGGCTGCCTCCGTTCCTGTCGAAGCTGACGGTCGATTCATCATAGATCAACACAAGTGGTATGGATATCAACTCTTACCAGCACTTCTTCGGCTTTCAGCAACTGTATGAATCAGCCTTTGACAGACAGATCGTTAGTTGCGGAGTAAGTACCGCGTAAGTCCATTCTTCAAATCTAGGTACCTTTGATGTGGTCGGCAATATTGTCTGGGGACTAACTACGCCCGCAGCGTGATTGTAACTACCGGTCACGATGACCACGTGTATGGCTCGTGGCGAGGAAATGCCGAGGTTGGTCACACGTGGCTGCGTGACCTTTTGCGCGAAGACCCCCTACCCTACCAGGCGAGAATCTATCTAGATACGTAATGACTCAAAGCTATCACCACATCACAGAGTGAGCACAATGAAAAGTTATGGGCTGGGTCTAGTGTAGGAGTCCGACAAAGTGTAGGGCATGGCGAAGGTGAGTCCAGACAGTGGTGTTGTAGGCTCGGACTGGTGTAAGAAGATATCTATCCGCCGAACCCCCTGTCAGGGTAGGTGGAGCAAAGCATCGGCCCACTATCATCGCAACTCGACACCTTCAAGGACCTTGGCGGAGATCAACGGGTTAGAAAATTTCATGAGAGAAAACAAGTGCAGCAGCTTCACCTGCTAGGGTGGTTAGAAGCGATCAAGGCTCAAGCACGTCACAGCCGTACACAGCATCTCCGCGCTTCCCCAGCTTCCGGATAATGTAGAGGATAAGATCCCTCTTGCTACCGAGCATTCAATGATGTTTATGTTTAACAACACGAAGGTCGTAGGTCACAGCGCAACACAAGAACTCAAGGAGTTCACTCAGGATACTCCAGGAGCGATAGAGTATTCCAGTGGTGTAGTCTTGGTACCTAAGATTCATCCTCCCCCGCATGTTGTTTACATCTTGTCTCATCTTAGCTGACCTGGCTCTAAGCTCGACCAATCCCTCTAAAGCTTCTGGCAACCACCCTTTCAATTTGAGATGTGACGCGATAGTTGCATTCACCAACACTAATGTTGCCAAGCGCCTCCAGTAGTACTTGTGCTGCCACCGGGCGACAGCGTCCCTTCTGGAGGATCCTGTCGCTGCACACAAGGGCTCCAATTTAATTTCCTGATTGTGCAAGCGGTTCTTTTGGTTCTCGGCCGCAATTCCATCTGCGTGCTCAAAAGTAAACGGTCATTCATTGCTGCTTCAAGCTCTAAATCTTAGCAGGCTTCAACCTCAACGTCCAAGCAATATGTCAAGTAAAAGCACATGCTGACCTTGGTATGATGTCCCTCTACATTGAACAAATTACTTGGCCACTTTGATTTCCATAGTCGCGCGCTGGGGCGGAAAGCATACTGTCGCCGAAGACATCCACCATTAGCAGTCCAGTCATATATATGCTTTAGGCAGCAGCTACATTGTACCCCTCCCAGCATCACCTAGTGTGGCGGTCTTGCCAGTCTCCACGGAACAAAATGAAGGGCTCGTCGCGGTTGATATTTGCCCGTCACTTGAGCTATTGGAATTCTTATGGCTGACTGAATTGTTATTACATTAGTCGCTGCTCTCACTGGGCTTCATAGATGATGTTTTTGTTACCCTCGGCTATCGGGTTTGTCTTTTGCAAGTTTCAAGAAGCCGGATCTCTTTCTGGACATGAGTGCTAATTTGGGCGTTGTGTAATACAAGTGTTGTCATGGCTTCCATCGAAAGACTTCGGGCCTGGCTGCACCTATTGTGCGTCCTAAGAACATGATACATTAGATACACTTCAAGATCAGTTGCAAAGATACAAATGGTCACAAGCAGGAATGGTGCAGCCAATGTATGAAGAATGATTGTAGAATGCTAACAGGACATATTAGTTGGCTCGCTACAACCATGCAGGCAGGTATTCACTTGGTCGTATCTCTACAATGGTGAGGTTCCTACTCATTCAATATAACATGTCTCTGATAATTTCAGAGGCCCAGTCTCGGAAATCTCTTCTCGCCTTGACTGGTTTTGGCTATGTCAACATCGTTTCAGCTGCAACCAGCTAGGCTAGGCTACAGTTCGACGCGAAAACGATAACGGCAAGGATCGTTGGCGAAATGCTAGACTGAGCCCTCGCCTGCCAGCTTACACTTACGACCAGTAATTGATGAAGGCTCTAGAAACTTCGGGATGGAAATCTGTCTTCGAATGCACTATTATATTTTACTTCCTAATCAAGGCTATCGCATTTCTGGGGTTCCGCTGTTGAAGTATGTATAGCCTGTCTCAGCAGATTCCCGGCGGTTTTGAGTATGCTATAGACATATGCAGCTTCATTATTACAGTTTCCATTCTCTCCTCCCGCCTTAGTGGATTGCCCCGAGCGCAATACCTTGACTCCGGTACCTACGCGGCAAAACAGACAAAGTGCGGCAGCAAACTTGGTTCCAGCTAGGAGGGTACTCAGAGGCGCGCTTCTCTCATCTGCACTCACGGTCGCCCACTAAGGGTCGTCTAACAAGTGCGATGACCTTGACCAAACTATTGTCGTCCATCCACCTTCACCGACAGCAGAAGCGCAGACGTGCACATGCTGAGCAAGATTTCGATCAACTTTCTCAGCTGAACGAGCGTGCTGCCGGCTCCTCCCAAGCATTGTGCTTGGGGACCGCAATACGAATCTCAGCGATCCTGAAACCATATCGCAGACGCCTGCGTTATTATCGCTTCGCTCACATCTCCTTCATCCGCCGACCCAAGACTCTCCACCACGGCAGCTTCTGCCGTTACTATCGGCGGCAGGTCTCCGACTATAACAGCCTGATTCCTCTGCGCAGCTCGCGGCCGAGAACCTCCTCAAACACACTCAGTTTTTGGAGCGCGGCGTAAGCATCGTAATGAACATCACCCCCTCGATAACTAGAGGAACGGGAAAAGCGATGTCAATCGCGCAACTCCGATTGACACTTCGACATGTTGGTACAGATGTCAAGACAAGGAGGCCATGCCCGCCGGACCCACAACACCACATCGACAACATTGTGAGGAGTAAGTGACCAACCTAATTACCAACCGTAGCTAAATTGGACGACCTGGTTAAGCGGCTGGCATCGGCGAATGAGGCAACGCTGGTTCATACCTTCGCAAGGCGCCTGCTCTTTAGAGGCAAGTTTGACAACGCGGAGGGCGAAGAACACACTCGACTCAATATCAACGTAGACTTTAAGAAGGGGTATGTTGTCTCCAGCACTATCACTTTATCTCGCCCTGACTTATGTGTTAGATACACGCACGAACACGATACAGCCGCTCTGACGCCGAACTCCGAACTGGTCTACAGAAGGGAACGAACTTGTCCTTCTGCAGTAGACTCCCAGCATGAGGAATGAGAGACTGAGTCCTCTCATCACTGCACAATCCAAGACGATTGGGGCTGACAAATGGAATGGCAATTATCGGGTCTGTTGGCGATGTTATGGCGAGTGACACATCTCTTCAACGACTTTTCGAGTCTTCCCGAGTGACGCCGTCAGCCGTCGACTTGCGAAACTGGTCCGTGACTTGCAATTGAAGGGAGTCTGATTTATTTGTTCACTGGAGTGAGGATAAGGGCAACGGAGAGCTACGGCCCTGCGTAAAGGAATCCATTGCGATTCACTTGGATGGAGACGTCGAAGATTCCCGACTCTACGATTTACGAGAACATCTGCGCAACATCCACGAATCTTCCGTAACAGGCCGTGTCCACCGTATCAAGGAAGTTGTTTCCAGGATTTTGAACCCGAAACATGACTCAGGCTACTCCAGCAACCAACACGATTCATAGACCCAGTCACCATTTTTGTGGCCTGTAGCACACACATGCCGCAAAGGACTTATGTTTGCAACCTAGTCTGAGTGTACACCGGCACGATGTACCGATCAAGCCACAAACAGTCCTTCGCATACCCCCGCCTCAGTCAAATATGTAGACAGAGCCTAACCGGGGCTTTTGGTCGTCACCCTGCCAATCGTCGCCCAGGAATTTGAATGGCGCTCCCATCCTGCCACTTATCTAAGAGCGTGTATTTGAATGCAAACAACATCAAGGTTCAGTGCCGCAGGAAAACTACTCAGAGACACTTTTACGAGTTTCTATTAGGTCTCAGCGGGGTCGCATGGGGCTCCCGTATCCATCCATCAAGCTATCGGAACTTGCCGGTTCAGCGCTTGTCGGGGCTTCCACTGTTTATTTTAGGATTTCCATCTCCTCCCACGCTACCAGACGGTGGCAGATGTCAGAAAAGGCGTCGATGATCGTGGCACCTGGCAGAGGAATGTGTTTATGTGGTCATGGCAGAGGTCTCGCAAGTGCATTACACAATAGTTTACTCCTCCTTTGCAGTGATACGATGCGCGTAAGAGAAGACTTCGCTTTACTTGCTCATCAGCTTGATTAGTGTTCAGCAAGGCGTTTCTTTGAATTGAAGAAGTTTCCAGGCTGCATTCGATGACGGCAAAATTCCGATAGATCAAGAAATGACTATCGCCTGATGCTGTTCTACCTAACACTATCCTCTTCCGTGTTCTTCAGTGTCCGTTTGATCGGTCTCTTCAACCGCGGTTAGCAGACCTGCCGTTGCACAGGGATGTGTCGCCGCCAACTTCATCTTGGTCACCTCGTGGCCAGCTATCGAACCCGTATACATCCCGTACTTTCCAAGTTTAAGAGCGGCATATAAGATGCCGGCAGTCTCATGCAGCCTATTGTTCAAGAGTCGCGATGTCGTCGAACGCAGCGTCCAAATGCGCTCGACTGGAGGAGCTAGCACTGTGGGGCTTGATTGAAAGTGGACGATAGCTGATCCATCTTCGATCCGGTCACTTTCCGCTGCTCACTAAAGAGATTGTTTTACGCAGCAATGACTACAGCTAGGTGCATTACGGCTCTGCACGTACAGCGCCTACAAAGTGCAGATCAGGCGGCAACACGAATAGAGGCGGAGCGCTCTTGGACGCTCAGTCATTTTTGGCATTGGAAACGCGTGTAAACTAGGCGCAGCACGTCTGATTTAACGCGTTTTCTGTTCCAACGCAGTATACGTACACTCAAGAAGCGCAGCTAATTCTCTGGGTCGCAGTAGCAGACCCCGATAATCTTAACGCCAGCGTTGAGCTTCACAAACGCTGTTGGAGGGGCCACTTTACCGGACTGTCTCGCTGCGGTGTACCTTGGGCGAAACATTCTTTGATTGGCCTCATGACTGGGAATAGCATTAGCAATCTCGAGCTCGTTCATGTTCACAGGGACATGATGATGGAAGTCACTTCAGGTGCGGGGATGGGTTGGATACCATGGTAAAGATATTTGTATTCAGCGGAGAGTGAAAACGATACAGCTTGTTGAGAGGATAGGACATGTCATCGCCCAGAGACAAATAGGAAAGAGCCGGTAACAAATGAAATTCACTAGGAAGGAGACGTAAACGACCCAGTAACAAACGATACCATGGAAGAAAATGAATGAGACCGATCCGACGAATGGAAAGTTGCAGTACCAAAGGAATTTGAACGAGCGTCGAACAAAGGAAAAGGCAGCTGAACCCCCTGAAAGCTTTTTCTGCGACACACCACGGAGTACGAAGGCTTGTCAGCACATCCGCTGAGATACGTCACACGCTCCGCGGTCGGGAAAGGCAGTGACTGTCTACTCAGAGTTCAGTTTGATTAGATCCAGCGCTAACTGGGCGACCTCAGTGTCTAAGGCCTTGTAACAATCGAGCTTGTTCTGTAAGACCTGGCGCTCATCTAGACACACCTGAATCGTCTCATTAAAGTCTTTCAAGCGGTCGTTCCACTTCTCCACAGAATCGCCCTCTGATTGGCAGTAAGCATGGCGAAAACACAGTGGATTGCCGGTTGCTTCCTCGCGTAGCGCCTTCGTCGCCTTGAGTTTCTTCTCAATCTCATCCATCTGATCCATTATGCCAGCATACTGGTCAGCGCGGCGTTTCCGCTGCTCCGAGAGCCGAACGACAAGCTCGAACTCGTCGTACTCGAAGTCTAAATCAAACTTCAGCTGCGAGGCTGAATGTCGTGCTGCGTTGCGCTCTATGTCACCTTCAAGCGTACACTCGATTTTTGCAACGCAGACACTGCCACTTCCAAGATGTTCAATGGCATGTACCCACTCCCGCCTAGATATTGGAGATTCTGGGCTACCAGTGCCCATACTCACGTCGTCGTTGATTTGTTCCTCAGCATCGCCCCACGAATGGCGGTCTGGGGTCTTCCCAGACTCATTCAATGGGTGAAACAGGATGTGGCTGTAATTCGGGGGAATGCTGGAAGTCGACACGTTGCTAGAACGAGACGTGTTACTAGAAGTAGACATATCGATGTACCGAGGTAGAGTGAGGTACCAGATGCAGTATTTGCAGGCTAACGGATGTTATGGTTGTAATTGCGAAGAAGAATGAAATGGCTGTAGTTGTAAAATAAAATTCAACGAAGAAGCCGACGCAAAATGTAAATACAACGCAGGGACAACGTGGTTATACACTCGGACATTGTGCAAAATCACTATGCGCCTTGATGGCGTACAGGTGAAATTTTGGCCATTAGGTGTTCACAATGCGAGTGTTGGACCAAAAGCCAGTGACCGAATAGCCAGTAAGAAAAAACTTGTGGGGAACTTAACCTCGAAAGCTGGCTCTCCTTTTCTGGCATTAGCCGTGTCTTGAGTATCTCGGCTGCTCTAATAGTCGTTGACTAGATGATAGAGTTGAACATATCGGGGTCTCACATAGAACGATGTGTGAAGAAATAAGGGTGACTGCTGTAGGATTTGTTACCGACAAGGAGGGTGCTAGACTGGACTTGCTTAGTGCACTGGAACGCTGACACACCCGTAGTGGAGACTGAGCCTAGACTTTCAAGGCATAGTTCGCTGTTGAATGCGACCCGGCTTTAGTCTCCTGCGATAAAAAATACACAGCGAACGCCTACTCTAATCTGGCTGGCACAGTGAAAATTTGAGGACAGTGCAAGTTACATATACACTGCGTACTTCCAGCCAAGTTACAAACATCACCAGTCTACGAGAACTACATGACATACTGCAAGAGCTACCTTGCAGAATTTTTGCGAAACTGACTTTGCAACACGAGCAGTTTGTCGCATTCTCACCCTCTTGTTGTCGACCTACAATATGTGACTGGTGTTTTGAAGTTATGAAAGTTCACCACGACGAGCTGAGCCTTCATATCTCTATACTTCTGAATCGTCGCGCTAGATACTACGGTTGTTTCAAGACATCAGAGCTGGTCGTTGCCATTCCTCCGTAGTCCAGGCAAGCTTTTACCGTAAGGTTGCCGTCGTTTTGCATTATTCGGCATTCCGTGAAAGGACCTCGCAAAAGACTCCCTTCGCCCCAGCATAATGGTTGACATAGATGCCGCACATCATCTCATGCAGACAGTGCCCCGTTCTAACATGCCCACTCCTTCAGATAACATCATGCAGTCTGCCAGCCATAGTGACAAACCCAGATCTGACCCCAGAGTTCCTAGAAGCGCTTCGCAGCCCCCCTTCCCGGCACTTTCCCCTCTTGCATCCCTCACAAAACAAGTGCTCGTGCGGCGGACCCTCTCTTGTTTTGAAGACTGGCGCCTTCAAATTCATGCCTGCCCACTTCTGAAGCCGATAAGCTACCCTTTTCACATAAGAGTGCTGGTCCAGCTCTAAAGTGCCGAGATGGTTGCACGCCGTGCATCGCTGGTTATACACTGTCGCAGCGTAGCCATTGTCCTTGTATCCTCGGATCTCGATGGGAACTTTTCTGCTGGTCCAACAGAGCTTGGTACAGTTGAGGTTGGCGCATGTGAACTTGCCCATGACATGGGTTGAGTATTCGCGCTCGGGAATTTTATCAACGTTTTCAGCGTCGTTGAACCAAGTTGAAGAGATGCCTGGTGAGACTGCAGCTGCGACCCTTGGATGCAGATCAGGGAACAACAAAACTTCTCGTGTCTCTTTCTGAAGTTGAGGTTTAGCCCTGTCGACTATTTCTGGCTGTGTGGTTTTTATCTTGAGTGGTGCAGAGAAGAACATCCAACCCAGTTCTGAGTCTAGCGGTTGACAGAGCTCTATGTGCGTCTTGAAGCTCTTGTTGTTGCCGAATGATTGACCACATGCTTGGCAATGGAAGCCTTTGTTGTCAACAGGTGAGTCTCGCAGATGAACAGGTGAGTCTCGCAGATGCTGTGCGAGAGCTCCTTCGGAAGTAAAGTCGCGATCGCAGATCTGGCAGGGAAACCTCTGACGGTGCATCGGCGAGTCCTTTTTGTGCTGCTCCAACGCCATCGTGCTGGCAAATCCGCGACCGCAAAGGATACAATCGGTCATGTTGCAAGTAGCTGGAGTTATTTTGGGACTTGTATAAGAAAGGAAAATAACAACGAGGGAACTGTGTGTTCGAAGGTAGCCGAGTCCTTGGCGTTTCCGCCTCCACGTTCACGGTGAAAGCTGTCCCTAGATCTTGGCACTCATCTTCTAATTCATTGGCCAACATTCCAAGAACGATTGGACTTGTCAATCTGGATTTCCGTAATGACAAGGGTGCTCATATCGGCATGGTAGATCCCGACGGATAGCACGCCGAATGTTGTCTTAGAAGGCGGCTGCTGACTTTGGCGCATGGATGTTCTACACAAGAAACCGACATGAGGCGTGCTTTTGGATTTTAGGCAGTTGATAGTCCGGAATGAGGGATGGGAGGATGGATCGGGACCTGTAACGACGCTGTGAGCTCAGCGCAGCTAAATCGAAGCGATGCTGACGCCATTGAGAAACACAGAATACCTGTGGGTAATTGACGCGCTGTCGCAAGCGCCGCAAGGTAAGACATGGGTGAGTGCAAGTGTAGGGCGCAAGTGGACGCTCATGGATATTGAGATGTTGATTTATACGTCCCTAGTCCTGGGTTGGTATGAATTGAACGGTCATTTGCGAAGCCGGAAAATGACGCTGAGTTAGATTCAGTCGCCTCTCAGCCATCACGCACACCAATCCTCTACGGTCTTTGGGCTCCGGTCTTTCCTCTGAACGTCTGTGCATGATGCGTTCATCTTTTACTGTATTGTGTGCTTCAGTCTTCTGTTATCTAGCTGGTGATTGCAGGCTCCAGATTAAGGTACAGGCATGAAGCGTATCGTAGGAAAGCTCACAGCGCATTCTGTCCACGACCCTTGATTCCAACTCAGCCGAGAATCGTGAGATGCAGTATACTCAAGCTCGTCTTTTATATGTGGAGTTCGATTCAGATCTGGAGACGGAACACATCGCTAGCCGCACATGGTTAACACAGAATAGTACTTACTGCACTCTACGGGACGTTCAGGTCAGCAGAATGCAGCTTCAGATCTAGTCATTCAAGTAACATCTTTCGCGACCCAGCGCATTGTTCTGCACCAATCTCGGCACTTGGTACAGCCAACGTCATCTGCGCAGCGTTTACCACGTCGAATATCTGCATCCCAGATCACAGTCCACGATGTAACCTCACACGTCATCAATCCCATAAACAATAACCTCCAAATATTCATAACGTATACGTCGCACCAGCCTTGCCATGTGAATACCGTATTGAGTTACAGGCACGCATACCTCTTACTTCACAGCACCTTTCTATTCCGCAGCGGCGCACAAGCACGTCGCACGTAGATGTATGGTAGACGGATCATGTAAGAGACACCTCATCACGGTTTTGTCACTATAGCTAGTTTCGCGATAGGAAAAGGGTGTCATTGAACGAGAGTCCAGACGATGTCGTGCTGCTGGATCCAGTTAGTTGACAGAGCGGGGATAAGAGAGATGGTTCAGGGCCAGTGTCGCTGTCGTGGTTCAATGTTGGTTGTGTCGGTGATTATATAAAAGTTTGCATGTGCAGTCTTGACCAAGCCCATGCTCAAGCGCATCCAAGATCTGACTCCAGGATACCTATGCCAAGATCAACCATGTTACACGTGACGACATCATGCCGTGTGGCAACGCCAACGCCAGACACGTCGCTTCCACTTCCCGCAGCAGAAAGTTTCTTTTCGGCTACGACACACTGAAACTCCATCAACATCGCGCGCCTAACCTGTGAACCGTTACTGATGAACATCCCCTCCCTCCCTCGGCAGTACCGCCGCATACAACAGCTCCACCATGGAGTTTGTTCTTCTCTCCTCGCCCCGGTCGAAGAAGCGGAGCCGCACTCGCTCTACCACAAGTAGGGCGTGCTAACGGGATCAAGAAGAGCGCCATCAAGACAGAAAACAGTATTTCGCCCAGGCTACCCACAGGTAAAACAAGCAATCAGTACCGAGTCCGCGGTTCCGTTGATACCTCAGCTTTGCCGCCAAATTGCACCTTCTTCCAGCCCGTGTCTTCGCCTGTGCCGCACGTTGACCAGTGGCATCGACAGCGAGATATTACAACGTACAACTTCTCCAGTCTTGCAGACGGCGACGACTCCAAGGGTGACGTCTCCCTTCCATCGCCGCTCCAATCGCTTACCGAGCGCAACCTTCGCGAGCATACACCGCGTACCACCCTTAGCGAGGACACTGTCGACGACGATCTCAACGCCCAGCAATCAATCCTGTAAATAGTGGCTGCCGAACGCGCGAAGCTTGTGCCGCATATACGGTGTAACTATACATGAAAGCGACATCCCGTTGCCGCCCGCGGTCTAGGACTTCCTCGACGACGGTGTCATGAGAAGTAGATTAGTGGACTCCTGGGGCCCAAAAGCTCCACGCCATGTAGCCGAGAGCGAAAATCAGGACCGAGGCCAGGGCCACTGAGCTACTCAGTGAATGGCTTGTGTTCAGAGATGCGTGCCACCCATACGCACCCGGAGCACTTCACGTCTCTACGACCCATAAGCCTCAGTTCGAACGCCAATATACTAAACGTCCTACCAACATCAAAGCTGATCTAGCCCAGTCCAGGCCGGGCAGAGTCAGTGCTTACGTCAGTCTTTCCAACTATTGATCAGGTTCCAATCACCGTTCAACTATAGAGAGAAAGGCGTTATCTGCAATCACATAGTTCCAATTCTTCACGATGAGGTCCTCTTCGCCTGACTGATCGCTGAATTCAGAAGCGGTGTTGACCAGAGCATCACATGTGCCATCCGGCAGTGAGGGCGCGCTGCTTTGGCCGCCCGCAACTATCTGTACAGTCTCTACGACAAGGCTGGTGTTGAGTTCAATGAGGCTAACACAATTCACTCTACCATTGCATGCGATACCGAGGGTGCCGTTCTCTCTATTGGATCGACCACAAGTGTCGCCCTCACATGGGACGTGTAGGTCGTGCAGACCTTGCCGCTAACTTCTACTACGAGACAAAGAACCTCTTGATGGTGTTGATGCGCAGGTACATGAACAACAGTATCTAGTGGGCGCTTGAGGCGATAACAGACAAGATCAAGGTCGCCAACGCCAAAATAAAGGTTAGGCGCGATGCTGAACAGGAGGAGTACAAGAGGGCTGAGAATACACTTGTCGCGCGGTCCGTTTCGGCCCAACGGCCCAGCAGTGTCAGATCTGCATCACTGGTCTCGTCTGTCGGCACCCAGAGCCGCGGCAAAAGAAGCCGCCCGTTCGTGTAGGAGAAGTGTCTCCCAGCTTTGCAGACGGCCAAATTGTGGCCTTCAAGTATTTAATACTGTACTGCCAAATCCTGTAACGTGTCACTGCTTGATGTGCACCATGGCCGTCTTTTTCTGTCTGTCTTGATAACGGCAAGAGCGTGTCACACTGTGTTGCCACATCTAATTTTCTAGCACCTAGCTGATGCCAGAAATGTGACTGGATGATCGAGTGATCTCGACCACGGTGACACCACCAGTTGCACGCGACAACGTGTTACGTCACGAAACCAATGCCGCACCACACGCGCCTCCACTTTCTATTTCAAAACTCATCTTCGCCACCAAACCATCACAGCGCCGCTCACTGCTCGCGCGTCACACCAGCGCGCTTTTTTACGCTAGAGCCGCCGCCACAGCTTCTGGGATCGAGATGACCATCTTCTCAATTGCCTAATACACCGAGTCCTTGGTACTGTACGTTCATTGGGTTTCTGCTACTGGGCGTCACACCATGAAGCGAGTGTACCGTGCACATCTGCAGTCGAATACGTTCTTTCGCGACAATAGCGACGACTTGGACATCCTAATGAGAAATGTTTCTGCAATATTCTGGACTGGGCGAGGACACCGACGCTGGACAGAATCTAGCAGGCTATTGCGATTGTGGGGCAAAAGAGAGAGAACAAGAAGAGAGAAAGAAAAAGCGCGTTTCTACTTGACGTGGTTCAGGCGCTCGACTCGCAAGAAGAAGACGTCGGCATCTTAGATGGTGCGCGGGTGACGGACATGACTCAGCTAAGGTAGTGAGACGTTGTGATGGAGGGGTTGTGCATGCTTGTTCTTCAATCAGTGTGGATGGCGGCTAGGAGCACAGAAGCCTTCTTCGTCTCGACGAACACGTGGTCATTTGCTCATACACAAACTTTGGTTCTGCATTATTTGCCTGTCTTTCTTGCATCGAGCATGCCGTATGTGAGCAAACGATGCCCGGATAGATGACACACCTCAACATTGTGCGGCAGCAGCCTAGAAGACTTGAAAGTCTCGCTGCTTGCTGATATTCAACCACCAGCGTCGCCTATCCTAACCCGTCCGCCGATGTGATCGACTGCACCAAGAGCCCCGGCAATGTCGTGGATCCCCAACGCCCGAGAGCGCGTGCCCGCACCACCGTCCACGCGTCCCTGCAGCGGCCGCAACCTGCACCGCACACGCTACACCCTAGCCCAAGCCCAGCGTCGCCCCGACTCGACCGGGATCTTCGACCCTGAGCGAAGCGACAACCATCCCGTGCCGACGGGACACGCTGTATTCCGCACAAGACGGGCGCAGGAGCCGCCGTGCGGCCCGGTAATCAGAATCGGACCGACCGGGTCGATGCGACAGCGGCTCCGCTTAGTCGTGTGAGTGAGGTGCGTCTGGCTGCTACGCGGCCCGTGGGTCGAGGTGTCCGCAGCCGGCGTCACGGTGCCCGGAGCCTGCGGCGGTTGGACGGGGCCTCGTTTGCTGTGGAACAGATCGCGTGCAATGGAGCGGACTGCGCGGCACAGACCGGCACGTGGGAGACCTGCGCGTGGAAGGCGGTGGCCGCGCGAAGGGCGACGGGTGGACGCAAGGGCGGGCAGGCAGCGCACGAGCTGAGGAACGTGCGGAGCAGCGCGTAAGAGGGATCGTGAGGAGTGGGAAGCTTGTTCTGACGTCTGCATACGGTGTCACGGCTGTCGCTGAGGGGGTTTTGCCAAGGAACCTTCGCTGAGGG